CGTTATTTATAAAGGTTAAATATAATAAATTAATAATAATTATTATTTTTATAATTGCTTTAAATATTATAATCGATATATATTTTTATAAACTTTTTAAATTTTTTATTTAGTTTTATTTATTACTACTTTTGCTTTTTATTTAGGATATATAAAAAAAAAAGCTGCAAAAATTAACGCTATACTTTAATTATAAAAAAAGCAAAACCGCTCGATTAATTTTGCTATTTATGCTATTATTCGATATACGCGCTTTTATATAAAAACCTATATTATATTTAAAAATTTTATTTTTTTAATTTTTTCCTAGATTTATTAATTTTTGCAATATAACCCGATTTTTTAAATTCTTTATAAAAACTTTATACGCTAAACGCGCCGCTTTCCGCAATATTTTATAAATAATAATTACCTTAAAGCTATAAATAAAGCGCAAAAAATTAATACGGCTAGCCTTAACCGATATTTTTATAGCTTTTTATAAGCTTAGCTATAATTTAATATTAAAAGCTTTTATCCGAAAAATCTAAAAAAATTAGTATTACTAAAAGGTTAAAAATATAAAAATGCATAATATTACGGTTATAAATAAATAATTAACGATTAACGAAATAATCCGTAACGGTAAAATCGAAGCAAATTAATAATAAAAAAAAAAGCAAAAAGGCGGAAAAAAGAATAATAAAAGGATAAAAAGCAGAAAACGCAAAAATAAAAAGTATAAGCAACGCGCAGCAAATCGCTTATATAAACCGCTAATTATTACGTATTATATTTTTAGGCAACGCAAAAAAAGCTTCGCAAATAATATATTTTACCGCTTTAACCGTTTATCCTTTACGGTTAAAAAATATTATTAAAAATATAATTATTAATATAATTTTTTAATACTTATATTATAAATAATTTTTTGTTTTATTTATAAATGCTAATAATTAATCGTAAATATTACGGTGCTGTTTTTTGCTAAAAATTTGGATATTTTTTTTTATTATTTGCATTTTTATGCGAATTTTAGGTATACCGCGGTTTATTTATTTAAATATTTTTAAATACCTAATAAATTAGTTACCGGGCCGCTACGCTAAATAATATACTATTAATCGGAAGGCTATAAAGCGTTAAACGCTAATAGAAATATTAGCTTTTTTTATTGCTTATACCGACGTAATTATAATAAATTATTAAACGGTTAAAAAGGACTTTTTATCGTTAAATATATTTTTTATGCTTTTCCTTTTTTTTTTTGCTTTTTGCTTCGGGCTAAATATCTGCTTTATATATAATTAAAGGGCTTTTTTTTATTATTTTTTAGTTTTTATAAATAAATACGCGATTTAAATAATATAACTAATAATTTTATTTCCGCTAAGGCTTTAGCTAACGGCGCTTAGGACGGAAAAGCCGTTAATATTAAACGTAAATAAGCTTAGCTTTTTATATATTATAAATATTAATTATAAAATATATATTTTTTTTTAAATTTATCCTAATATTTTTAAAATAAATATAATTTATAATATCGTTAAATTATTAAACGGCTTATTTATTTAACGCCCCGGCTCCGGCGTTAATACCGGATATTTAACCGATAGCAAAAAAAACGGTAATGCTGCCGTTCGCGTTGCTAGTGGTTTAACCGATTTTAGCTTTTAATAAATCGGTAAAATTAAAATTACGCGGGTTAGTAATTTATATTTTTTTAAAGCTATCGAATATATTTACTACGTAATTGGTTATTATTAGTACGAGCGCGTTTTTAAAGGCAAAAAAAAGGGTAAAAATAAAAAGGAAATTAAAAAGGATATTAAAAAAAAGGAGGATAATAAAGAGATTAGTTAGGATACCGACTAAAATACCGATTAAAATATCGATAACGAGCTTTAAGGTAGTAAACGTATTAAAAAGTATTATAATATCGCTTTATTCCTTTTTTTATGCTATCGCGGGATAAAAACCTTTAATTCGTATATTTATTTTATTTTATTTATATTGCCTTTAATCATTATATAATATTAAAAGCTTCGTTTTAATATAGAGTATATTTATTTATTTAACTTTTAGCTCCTTTTATAAATACTAGGATTTTTAAAAATATTTATAAATATAAATACTGCTATATACGGTTTTAATATTTATTAAAATTTAATTATAATCGCGTTTATTAATATTTTTATAAATATATAAATTAATATAAGGTATTTATTATTATCGCTTCGAATAAAGGGTTAGCGATTACTATATCGCTTATATTATAATTATTATAATAAATAATAGATATAATGGCGCTAGGATTTCGTTATTTGCATTTATATCGTCGTTTTATATATTATAATAATTAGTGGCTTTCGTCTCTTTTTACCGCCTTTTATCTCTAAGCCGCAATAACCCCGGCGCTTTTATATAAGATCGATCGGCTTTTATATTTTATTTAGTTTTACTAGATTTTTTTTAGGTTTTAGCCTATTATAATAGTAATTATTATTAAAGCTAATCGTGCCTTTTAATATATTAATTATAAATATAGTTAAATTAAAACGGTAAATTTTATATTGCTTTATAGTTTTATTAAAGATTTTAAGATAAGGTGCAGAATATTAAAATGGAGGTTTTAGGGGCTTTATGGTATTAATTTATAGTATTAAATATATTTTTATATTTATTATAATAGCAATTATTATTAATGCTAATCGTTCTTTTTAATATATTAATTATAAATGTAATTAAATTGAAACGGTAAATTTTATATTATTTTATAGTTTTATTAAAGATTTTAAAATAGGGTGCAAAATATTAAAATAAAGGTTTTAAGCGCTTTATAATTAATTTATAATATTAAATATATTTTTATATATATTACGGGAAAGTTTATTTTATATATTAGTTATTTATAAAATAATATTATTTTTTAAAATAATATTTAGCTATTATATCCTTTTATTTTAAAATAAGATTTTTAAAGCGCTAAGAACTTTTTTAAGCATTAATTTATTAATCGGTATAAAATAAATATAATGCTATAAAAGTACCGCTATAATTAGCGTTATTTTAACGGGATTATATACGGCGCTATTTTTAATAAAAAATAGAATTTTAAAAAATACCGCGTTTAATAGTATAATTAAGGTAAAAATCGGCAATAAAGCGCTAATATCCTAAGTACCGCTTTATTATTTAAAAATATAGCTCCGGTGCTATTATAAATAAGCCTAAATATTATAATTTTTCCTAAAGTCGCCTTATTATTAGCTATTATTATTAATATTATAATTTTAAATATAACGCTTATTTTATTCGCCGGTTTAGCATACGATAATTTTAAATATTGCGCGTTTTTAGCCTAATTTTTTTTTTAATATTCCGTTTTTTAAGCTTATTATTAAATAAAAATTTAAAAAATCTTAAAGCGAAATAATATTAATTTAAACGCAAACGCTTTAAAAAACCGATATTTAGCTATAAAATTAAGTTATTAAAATCGGCTCGTTAATAAAAAGCGATAAAATAGCTTTCGGACGCTAAAAAACGCTATTTCGAATTATAAATCCGTATTTTAATAGCCTTATAAAGTTTTTTATTTTCCGTCGGTAATTGCGGTATATGCTTTATTTATTTAATAAATTAAATAAGCTTAAAAGCTAATAAAATTGCGATATATTTTAATTAAAGCAATATCCTAATAAATTAAACCGTATATTTTTAATTTTTAATTTTATAATTTTATTTTTTATCCCGGGAAATACCTTTTTTTTATTCCGTTAAATAAATTTAAACTAATAATATTTATAATAAAAATTAATTTTTATTAAATTAATTAATTTTATATTTTTACGCCCGTATATAATATTATTTATTTTTATTAAATATTTAAATATTTAAATTATACGACCGCGGCTATAAAAATAACCGCGTAATATAAATAATAGCCGCGTAACGGCGTAAAGCTCGATAATTTTTTAAAATACGGCCCGTTTTAATATATAAATAGCTTTTATTTTTGCTATAACCGATTTTATATTTTACCCTTTTATATCGTTTATAAGCCGGTCGCCGTTAATAAATCGTAAGCCGAATATTTTAACCGCGCGCGATTTTTACGGGTTTATAATTACCTTATCCCGGCCGTTTGCGATAAATATAATCCTTTTTATTTAATATAATATATAATATTAACGATATACGAAAAATGCCTAATTTAAATATAATTATACCGGGCGTTCCGAGGCTTTAAAAGTTTATTATAGCCTTAGCGGCTACGGCGGTATTTATTTGCCTTTTTAGAATACGAGCTTTTTATGCGTTTTATCGGCGTAAAATAAGCGATTAATATACGAATATATAATCGCGTTCCGGTCGTGCGAAAAAAATTAGGTTATAAGCCGGGTTTAGTATATAATTTATGCTTTTTTACCCGAATTATTAGATTTTTAAATATTATCGCTTTATAAAATTATATCGTTTATCGTTATAAGGACCGTAGCGATAAAAATAGGCTAAATAAAATACGCCGAATTACCGGGCTATAAAAGCAATACTTTAATATAAAGCTAACGCTCGATAGTTATAGCGTGCGATCGTTAGATTTTATTTTAAAGAAATTAATATAAATAAAATTAAAAGGTTTTATATAGGCGGATATCGAATAATAAGATTTGCAATCGTAATTATTTAATAATTTATTAATATAGCTTATAATTAAATGCAAATTAAGTATTTATAAACGGTTATAAAAAAAATGACGCTTAAACCTTTTAATATAAAAAGTTAATTAAATGCTTAAATATATATTAATTTATTATTATTAGCTATTATTTATATATTTAGGCATATTACGCTATTTATTAGCTATATTTATTAATAATATAATATATATATAAGGATATTATTTTAAATACCTATTATTTTTAACGGTATGCTTTTTAAATATGTATATATAAATCGCATATATTGTATTAAGGGCAAATAACTCGTAAAACACCACAAAACCTGCGTAGAACAGCATGAAAATTGTGTAAAACAGTGTCTTCGGAGTCGATTTTTACCCAAAATAGCAGTCATCCCCACCTATTTGTCAGATACGACCTGCGCTACGCCTTGATCGAGGTTGGATTCCTATACGTCGCCCATCACGGCGTGCCCGAGGCCATCACGGAGCGGCTGGTGCAGGCACTGCCAACGCTGTTTGCGCTGCCCCCAGAGGCCAAGGCTGCTGTTGCCCTCGAAAACTCGCCGCATTTTCTTGGCTATAGTGCTGCCGGCCGGGAGAGCACTGCTGGCAGGCCTGATTTTCGGGAGCAGGTCGAATTCGCGACTGAGCTGCCTGATGACTGGCGAGATGGTGATCCTCTATATGACCGCTTGCGTGGCCCAAATCAGGTGAGTGCTTCATCTCGGCAGTCCCTATTCTGTTCTTTTTCATTGCCACATGCTAACTTTCGTTTTGTTCCCCAAATATAGTGGCCGCCGGGCTTACCAGAGCTGCGTCAGATTGTCACAGAGTATATCCAGTCGCTGACGACGCTCAGTGAGCGCTTCTTGATGCTGGTCGCTCGGGCTCTTGCATTGCCCTCGGATGTATTCCTACCGTTTCTGTCTGATCAGCATCGTTTGAAACTCGTCCACTACCCATCATTGCCTTTTGGTAGTGCTTCAGTATCTGATCAAGGAGTAGGACCACAGTACGTCTACTTGTATCCCATCGTGTCATCTGCTTGGTTTGTGGTCTCAACTTCACCAAGAGATTTGGCCGGTTATATATTAATTCAGACGCACCAGAGTCAAATACTAATTCTTCCTCTCGTAAAGCAAAGACTCCTCGGGTTGGTGGACATTTCTCCTCCAAGCGTCTCCTCCAGAGGTCCCAGGACTACAGGCATTGAATAAGGTCGGGCAGTGGATTGATGTACCGGCCAAACCTGGGACACTGGTGGTGAACATTGGCCAGGCATTCGAGGTTGTCACGGACGGCATCTGCAAAGCCACGACACACCGGGTCCTCTCTGGTCCTCAGGAGCGCTACTCTGTGCCCTTTTTCCAGGGCGTGCGGCGGAGTCTCACAAAATACGAGGCCCAAGTCCTCCGGCCTCACTTTGCCTCATTCAACGCCGGGACAGAATCCATCGAGGGCCGTTCGGTTGACTCGGCCTTTCTACGGGGCAGGTATGAAACTTGGGGAGAGTCGCAGCTGAGGACCAAGATTCGCAGTCACATGGAAAATGGGAGAAAGTTTTACGGGCAAGTGTACGAGCAGTATATGCAAGACGACGCATAAAATGTGCGAGGCGTGTATCAAGCAAACAGACTACAGCAGGGATGCAGAAATATAAAGTCGATACTCACATGACCCATGGCAAGGAATTTTATATACATGTATACACTCTCAATCATAATACTTTGCCGACTTTCCGCCAATGATGTTCTGCTCGGCAACTTCACTTCTGGGCTTTTCCTTGGCCACGCCCTTGGCCACCCTGGCCTTGACCCATTCTCCGGCCGTGATGCCGACGGCGGCACCGTCGGTGGACTTGTCGTAGCCGCGACGCTGCAGCACGTCGCTGACGACGGGGCGGAGCTCGAGCGTGTCCTCGGGGCGGACAAAGTAGAGGACGCCGAGGCGGTCGACGTCGGCCTGGTCGGGCGGCGGGGCGACGACGCGGTGGATGCTGCTCTTGAGGAAGCCATTGGTCAGGAACTCGAGCGAGTCGGCCACGTTGACCGTGATGCTGCCCGGGTACGGCTTGACCCACTTCCAACTGCCCTCGGGGGTGCGGACCTGGAGCGCCGCGACGGGCTGGCGGAACAAGAGGGTCAGACTCCCGAAATCAGTGTGGCCCTTGACCCAGACGTTTTCTAGAATCTTGTTCTGCTCGGCGGTACGGTGGTGATACTTCATGTAGCGCAGGTGGCAGTCGCTGCGCTGGTTGTAGCGGTGCCGCTGCAGAAAGTAGTCCTCGGGCAGCTCGAGAATAATGGCAAAGAGCACGAGCAGCCGTCCCACGACGTGGTCGTTGATGTGCCGCGCAAAGTGCTCAATCTCGGCCCGGTTGGTGTTGATGACATCTGGGTGCGGCCGTTCCAGCTCTGGTATGAACTTGGGAATGTTGTAAATCTCGGTATTGTCGTGCACACCAGGTCTCACTTCCTAGGACGACGTTTTCAGTATTATATTTCTCGGGTTGTGCATATCCCGAAGTGCCATGACTCACCCGAAGACCAAGAGGCTTGTATCCATTGTAGCCTCCATTTTCAAGGTCTGCCCTATACTTGAGCTTTTCTTCCGTCGAGAGCTGAAAGACTTCCTTTCCTATCGCAAATTGACGATCCACTTGCTCTTGAGTGAGTCCAAAATCAGTAATGTAGAAGAATCCTTGTAACAGTCGTAACCATTAGTTTCTGTAGCCATTCATTCCCGTTTCATATCTCAAATCATACCGATTTTCTCGATGGCCTCGGACAGCTGCTTGGCTAATTTCTCCTTGCCACCAGGTTGGTCAAACTGAGAGAGATCAAGCGTGGCAAGTTGTGCCCAGTCAACTAGATATTTGTTATGAGCGATAAATTCTTCATGTACAAGTTCAAGCTGTTTGGCTTCTACGTACGTTCATACTGGGTTTCTGGTATTTGGTGGTAGGTTGGGATGGATGATGCAGGCTGAGACGCGACGGCAGCTGCCATTTTTGCTTGTACTTTGATTTTAGAATCTAGTCAAATATTCTTCTCACTGTGAAACCGAACAAGATGACGATGCAATAAAGATACCAACGACGTCAAAGCCCATCTCATGTGGGATTAAAAAAGAGGTGGTAGCGAGTTGATACTCCGCACTCCAACTTGCACGTCATTGGCTCCGAGGTTCTGGGAATAATACCGTAAACCATGGAAATAATCTCCATAGGGCTTGGCGTGGGAAATTTCAAGTCTCCGAATTAAACTTGGAGCTGGGTAAGCAGTAATTTGCACCCAATATAGGGACCGTCAGGTGTCGTGATTGTTAGGGGCGATGACGAGCTCAGCACCATGCAGCCTCTGGTTGGCCGTGGGCGGTGGGACCCCCATATAATACAACCAAAAAGACGCTTCCGATACCAGGGACGACGATATCGTGGTTTCTGGGCTATACTATTTCTGCAGCAGCGAGTTTATCGCATACCCTGGCCACCGTGACGCGGGCCTGGGAAGAGCTGCTTGCTTGCACGGCCGAGTTTGCATTGTTCGTGATAATGGTGGGGGATGATGCTATATTCGGGCTCTGGCCCGATAACTGAGCCAGGTTAGATTCAGAGGCTCCGCTGGGACGCTCCTATTCTATTCAAGATGCTTAAAAGTTTTTGATAGTGCTTGTCATCGACACCTCATTTTGGGGCGTACGGGTAGCTATTGTTGATCGGTTTGTATTACCACCACCACCAATGTCGTCGATCAAGGAACCAGCCGCAACGTCCAGCCAACCAGCCGACATGAGCGACGGCAGCGACAAGGCGCAGGACATCCTAGCGACTGCCTCCAGCGGGAACAATACCGACGTCGAAGATGCCGAAGAGGCCCGAAGACGAGCTCTCGCGGCCTTGACTCCCGAGGAGGAAAAGAGTCTCTTGCGGCGTATCGACTGGCACTTGATGCCACTCTGCTCTCTGATTTTCATGTTCAAGAATCTCGATGTTGACAATGCAAGTTATGACAAAGAGAACACATCCATGACAACCATGTTAACTGTAACTTTAGGTCTCAAACGCGCGTATTATGAATCGCGGCACAAGTCAAAATATCATGACCCAGTTGGCCATGACGGCAGATGACTACAACTTGGTAACAGTCATGTACTATGTAGGGTTCATCTTTACGAGTAACCAAGATTGTGGCTAACACAAATCTCAGATCCCCTATATCATTGGCGAGGCACCATCGAACCTGCTTCTCAAACGATTCTCGCCCTCCAAGTGGCAATCTCGAATCATGATCACATGGGGCATTGTTTTGGCATGCCACTGTGCTGTCACCAACAAGAGTGGTCTATATGCTGCTCGATTCTTTCTAGGTTTGGTGAGACTCTATATCCAACCGCAACGAGATGGGTCCAGATTACTAATGACCGTCAGGCCGAGGCTGGTCAATTTCCTGGTGTTATCTTGCAAATGTGCTACTGGTATCGACCAGATGAAATGTCTCTTCGACTTCTTTATTTCTGTAAGCCTGCCTAGGATGACACCAATCGGAAATTACTGACAGAGAAAGACATTTGTGGCAATCTATCTGGGATATTCAGTGGAATCCTCGCATATGCTTTTGACCTTGCGTCCGGAAGAGGTGGTCTCTCTGGCTGGCAATGGCTCATGCTCGTCGAGGCAATCGCGACTATAATCCTCGGCTCGGCCATTTGGTTTCTGCTGCCGGATTGTAAGTCCAGATACATCCTATACTGTTCAAGACCACCAGAGCTCACATGGAGACAGTCCCCGAGACTGCATCTTGGTTGTCCGAAAAGGAAAAGGCCTTCATCCAGGCTCGCTTACCTCCCAACGCTCCACGAGCCAAGGAACAGCACTTCAAGTGGAGGGAAATTGTCGAGTCCCTCAAAGACACTCGCCTTTGGCTATTTACCTTGATTTGGGCGACATTTACTGTAGGCACCTCGGGAGTTAGGTTCTATCAGTCCACCGTCATTGCTGATTTGGGATTTACGTAAGTCTTTCTGGGCACTCTTTTGTTTTTTTTTAACCCCTCGTAAAAAAAAACGAGGAAAAGAGAACGAGTTAGCTGACATCACTTTCAGGAGCATTGCCGCCGCTCAATTGCTGAATCTACCCATCACAGTACTGGGGCTCATCGTCATTGGAGTGACGGGCGTGTTTGCTGATAATGGTCGCTTTCCTCGACCTCTCTATCCACTGACTTTCCTGGTCATCATTCTGGCCTGTTATTCCGTCATGGTGGCATATCCAAACAATGGAGGCGTATACGCTGCGACCATGATAGGAAATGCTGTTACAGCTGCTTGTAAGTCTTGAATGAATTCGTCCATCTCCAAGTCTCTATTGCTGATATATATCGTAGGGTTCCCTACCATGTGGCCATGGAGGGTGCAGACGACAAGCCGTGCAACCGGTTCTGCTTTCTCTATAGGCTTTGTCAACTCATATGGGCAGATCGGAGGTGCCATTGGTCCACAGCTCTTCAGGAGCGCGTATGCTCCTCGTTACCAGCTGTCCTTTGGTGTTGCAATGGCTCTTGTTGGGTGTTGCGCCTTTACGACATTGGTGACCTGGTGGGTTACTCGCGACATTGAGGTTGAGACTAGACGATTGAAGCGCCAGAAGGTTGAGGCGGCAAAGAGGGGCGAGACCGTGTTTCAAGATATAGCTGCCGAGGATGAGTTGAGAAAGGCCCGGGCTGTTCCGCAAGGCATCGAGGATGCTTAGGATGTAAACCATTCAAGGGGGTATTTAGTATGGAAGGCAGGATCTATCCCTTTATTCACAACAATCTCATAGAAAGGCGCACAAAACTTTTTGCTGGGGTGAAAGTGTGCTGAAGAGAACGCTGAATAAAACAACTATCTGGTAAGCATTCTCTTCGCTGCAATTGCTGCGCCCATGTGGTGAGATGACTCAAGAAACAGTCAAAACCCATCAGCCCACGTATTCCAAATAGAAGCCAATATATGCAAACCGCCTATTCTTTTCCGAGGCTTAACTACCCTTTTCCAGATATGGGATGTGTTCAATTACCAGCTTTGTTGTATTTTAGCACCTTGGGCCTGTATTCTTTCTGTTGCTTTGCAAGGTCCTCTCTCAGCTTCTGCAATTCGATGGCCTTAGCAATGAATACCTGAAAGAAGTCGTCTAAGATATTATTAGATCTAACGTTGGAGCATAGTTGGATACGAAAGAACCTATACATACCCAGATCTCCAGGAAGGTCTATGTGCTTGTCGTCGGCCAGCCGGATGAGCATGTCCCTTGTCCACGTAGTACAGTCGTAGCCCTTGTTGTCAATATGAGCCTCAACAACGTCCATGCCATGTGTGACAATCGCTGACATGAAGTAAGGCGCAGACAGCTTCTGCCAAGCGCTGATCTCAAATAGCTGGACTATAGTTGCGCTTTCTGGTAGCCTGTAGGGTTTCTGCTCAAATTTCCAAGCTTGTGGCCCACTGTCGGTTCCTTTAGGTACTGAGTGACTAAGGGTAACTTCTGGATTCTCCGAATCATCGCCCATGATCACGACGAGACCCCAATGCTGTTGATATTAGCTGCCAGGAGAGGGATCGGTCGTTCCAGAGGTTTCAACTCACGAATGGCCACTGCGCCAGACCATCGTACCAGGCGACGAGGTACAGGGTATAGGGCTTCAAGATGGTTTCTTCAAGTCTTTCGTCCAGCACCGACCCCATTGTTCTTCGTGTGATGAAGTCGCTATGGAACCTCTGCGCAAATATGTTTTCTTGGTCGAGTGGTGAGGTACGCGAGGTCATGTCTCGTCCGGTCTCGCACCGGTCGTGCCTTATGCTGGAGGGTTGATGTAGTTGTCGTTGTAGGGACCCGAGGGTGTGTCGTACTTGTGTCTCTCGAGGTGCGGGTGGGAGTGTTTGGGCATAATTTTGGTGTCTCGGTTGCTGTACCTAAGGCAGATATAATATATTTTCCACAAATGTAGTCTGTGACCAAGGGTTTTCTCTACGCAAGCAACAAAGCCAGCAATATAGCGCTATCGAGAATGAATGCAAAGATGAATGGAGGACGTGATAAACATGAATCTGTACTTCAGAGCGAGGCTTTTGTCCATCTGACCGTGAAATACAGAAGGAGTTCGGATGGGCCGTGACACAAGCAAAGCAGGAGCTTATTGGTTCTGCGATACAGCATCGCAGTTGCCCTTGTATGAAGCCAACAGATGGGGTGGTGCGATGCACAACTTGGGGTGCCTCAACACCATGGAACCCGATACATTTCGCACATGGAAGCGCGTATGACCACCATGTTTCGCTCGCTCGCCTTGAATTTCATCTTCAATCCAATGTGTTGGATAATGATGTTGTCCTATAACCAACACGAAGAGAGTATCATGGCTTGACGTCCTGAGTGGCAGCATGTGCTCCAAAGTTTCCATCATTTGCCAGCATGTTACCATATTTAGAATATGCCTCAATTCAGCTCAATCCCGTTGTCTCTCATATAATGATTGCACATTTGAATTTTGAGATTGCTTTCAGGTTTATAGTTGGCTGACTGAAATGATTATTCCTACCCCGGTCGCCACCCTTCCCGCCCTTACCCTTCACCGTTCCCCTCCCCTCTCGATCCTTGGCATGATCGGTGTGTTACTCAAATGCAATCCTACCTCGAAATTTGAGTCGATCTATTTCTGACACCCAGAAAACTAAATCCACGAACCGACGGCGTCTTTTGTGGCAACGACGTTTCTGAGCAGCCCGAGGATGGAGAATAGGGTCGAAGTATATCAGAAGCTGGAGTCCATGGCCGAGAGCCATCACGTTCAGCTGAGCCATCGACACTGGTCCTATCATTGCGCTGAGGACTCGGCGTGAGTAGACCAGTACGCCTGACCCTCTTGCCGATCAAGCTATCCGCCTGGTGCTTTATCCGCTTGACCTCGTTTTCCAGGATCTTGTTGACCTGCAACTGCTCCCGAAGGGCGCTCTGCTCGCCCTGGAGTCGCCACGTCAGTAAGTCAATCTCTTCCTGCTGTCGATGGACCCTCTCGCTCTTCTTGAGCAACTGCTTCCCTAGCTTTCTCGCATCAATCTGGTCGTCCCGGTAGCCTGACATAATCACGCGCTCGCTAATCATCTCCTGCAGCGTCTCGTTTTGTGCCTTGAGCACTTCAATCACAGCTTCGCGTGAGTTTATCTCGTTGTGATTGGCCGACTCGAAATCATTTTCGGTCATGTCTGTGGAAAAATAACCCGTGCCTGGATTAGGCATAGACCCTCTCGTAAGACGATCTATTTCGTTCTTCAAGTGTGCGATATGGTCAAGAGCATTGTCCCAGTGTATCAGCAACTCGTCATGCTTTTGCTGCATAGCGCTCAGTTTCAAGCCGAGGGCAGCAATGCTTATTGGGCTCTCTTTCGAGGCCGAGTATACAGCTGTTATGCTTTGATTTTGCGAAAACGCGTGGTTATTCAGTGCGGCCAGGGGTGACAATATCGGCGACGAGGAACCGGAGTGTGCAGAGTCGAGGCTCTCGCGTCTATTCGAGATTTTGCAGGCGTCGGAGTCGGCCAAACTCTGCGACGCCTGGATTTCCTTCCCGTTTCTCAACAGCGGTTCGTGGTTGTCATCTAGCCGGAGAACAGCTTGGCGCAGATTTTCGATTTGCTCTGCAAAAGCGTTGAGCCCTGTGTTGATAGCCTGCCCGTCGAACGCTGCTACATTCCTGCCTAGCTTTGCCTCAATAGAACCCAACATGTCTTTCACCTCGATGACATTCTGACTTGTCTGAGTTGTGGTAGATCTACAATCTCAGTCAACAACGGAGTCCTTTAGGTCGGTATTTAATCAGCCGGGAATGTAAGAGTGAGACTGACACTTGTATGGTACTGAGCTGTAGCCCAAGATCGTCCCTCGCATCACGGAGTCTCTTTGTACACCTCTGTATCTCCTCGGCATTGAAATGCCACTTCCAGTTCCTCCACGCGTCCCTCATCGCATTGCTGCCGGTGCCAGTATCTTTTCTCCGCCCACCTCTATCAGCCTCCCAGTCCTCGACAAGCTTTTGCACTTCGCCCAGCTCGGCACCAATGGTCTCGATATCGGCACTGACGTCGTCAAGCCAGCTGTCCGGCCACACGCACTTGTCACCATCATTCATGAGAGCCACGAGGCGGGATACGGCGCTCTTGACGCTTTCGACGGTGGCGTAGAGAGCTCGTACATCCGAGGGCGCGTCCTTGAGCGCTTCGACCGTGTCGTATACTGCAAGGTTTCTTAACTGTTAGTCGCTCATGCTGACCCAAAGAAGTGTATGATACAGGATTAATATGCCCCTGTTCCCCGCTTCCCTTCATGGCTGTCAATCTCTGGTACACGAACAGTCTATTGCACCGAGTGCCATTCCAAGAGACTGCGAGAGAATAGGTCATACCAGGCCCACGTACGAGTTTTGGAGATTTTGATCGCGGTCCCTACAACCGAGGCTGCGGTCGTGATAACAGTCAGGGGATCCATTGTAGTGATTTCTTCAAACTTTTTGATCAATACTTATGCGAGGCAAATCCAAAAGGCTCGTGCCCAAGTAAAGGTTGAGGTTGTGGTATACTTGCCATGTCGACATCGTGGCTTTACTCGATGGCATATTGCTTTTACTTCAGCTCAATAGCCGCCCTGCAGCCACGCCACGCAAGGGAGAGGGACCTCGATGACGAGCCTCCCCGTCAACAAGGCAGGCAAGCCCTCAAAATCCAGTCTTGATTCGAAGAGGACGGAAGTTCCCTCCCTGTTGTGCCACCTTGGCTGTAGTACTAAAAGCCTAGATACGGTAGCTCCAGTGAAAAGCAAACACACAGTGTCAAAAGCAAGCTTCCGTAGATGTAAGTCTATATCCTCACAGATTCAAAATTACATAGATTTTGCGTCCCTCTACTAAGCGCCTGCTCCTATAATCAACAGTACTTGGACTACCTCTCATGCTCGCCATCAGCAAAGTACCTGTCTGGCATGTCCGTCTCAAACAACGGCCTTTCTACCAGTGCAACCTCGAGGGTCTTGCGCACTTGACCATTTGCATACGGTTTCACAACGTCGTCTGTCGACGATCCCTCCTCCGCGGACTCTAGAGGCACAATGCCGAAAATGGGTCGGTACTTGAGGGTATGCCAGAAACCAGTTCCCTGACTTGGCAGCGCGTCCGGACCTTTCTTGCCTTCTGCCCTACGTCTGGAAACAAGCTCACCCTGGAGCTCTTCTTCCGAGTCGTCGCTGTCGCTGTCATCATCCGGCGCGCTGGTGGCATCCGTGTCCATGGCATCGGGTCCATCCAGATCGAGCTCTTCCACCTCGCCTTCCAAATGTCTCTCAATCTTGGTGGGACCAATAGCGCCCTTCGCCATCTTGTTTCCGGCACCGGTATCGGCTCCTCGCTTGCGCTTCTTTGGCCTCGACGGGGTTCCTTCCAAAGGTACCAGTGCTGAAGATGGATTCGTAATCTCCTCGGCAATGTCCTTGGTCATGTCGATCATGGCAAGAAAGCTGTTGCCATAAAGCCATGCACGATCTCCAGCCCAAAGAACGCCCTTGACCAGATCGCGAATGTTGCGGAACTCGACAGGGAATCGCGCCACAGGGTTTCGCTTGGACCAAGGTGTGATGCATCCAATCCGGGGGTGTAGAGTTAATACATCGGACCTCGCGTTGATAGTAAGGAGCACATAGTCGTCAATGGCATCAGCGTCTCCATTGACCGAGACGGTACGGTCAGTCGGTATATGCTCCGAAAAGGAAAGCACAGTGGGTGCACATCTCAGTTTCGGCACGAGTGCGCTGTTAGGGTTGCGAACCCAGCGGGCACTGGTGGGATCTGTCTCGCCATCATCCTCGCTGTCGGAGCTGTCATTGTCGGAGTCGTTCTGTTTGTCGGCGATTTGTGTCGGGTCCTGCAGCAGCCAAGTATCAATGTAGCCAGCCATGTCGGCGACGGCGACCATTTTGGTGTCAGGAGAGAAGGCAATTTGCGAGATGCTCCTATCGTAGGGACCCAGGCCTCCGAGGGCGATGTGCTTTGGAATGTCGCGCTTCAGTCGATTTAATCTGACTGGCTTAGATTGTACCAGAGGTCTGTATTCGTCTTCCGGGTCCTTAGCCAGCTGAAGGAGTAAAGTCTTACTTCCCTCTTGCACTAGGCAAACCCATTTTCCATTGGGGGATATTTTGAGATTGGTGGCTCCATGCTGAGCAACTGCTGCCGGAATATCGACCTTGGAGATTTTGAGCTCATCGCTACGAGACTCGCTTCGAGGCTTGAGGTGGAAGGCCTTGATGTCTGATGCCGTCGAGACAAGGAGAAGTGAACCATCGTTGCTGATTGTGGCGGATGTGATATTTGCCTCGCCTTTGATAAGGATTCTGGCGAGAAGCTTGCGGTTCTTGGTAACCGCGGTATCAACTTCAGCGAGATCCACTATCTCCTTCAGTGGTTTTTGCAGGCGCCAAATGTGCACCTCACGCTCCCACCAGCCGACTATGAGGCGGGCACGCGAAGCACTGGCAAGAGGGACGTTCTGGGGAAGGTTGGACAAACTCCTGTGGTTCTCCATTCCGGCTTCTCGCAGGGGAAGCACGATTGGCTGCGCATCAGGTCCTATGGCGGGAAAAACATTAGCATAGTCTCAGACAAGTTGAAAAGTCTTGTAGTTGAAACCTACCTCCGGTCACAATGACGCTGATTCCAGGGCCTTCGTGTGAAGCCATGGTCTTGACATCATGACTGTGGTATCTTCTGTGCCAAACCTTGCCCCACCTTGAAATAGAACCAGTAGTCTTTCTGTAGAGAATTGTTCTCTTGTCCATTCCTCCGCTGATGATGGTAGACCCATCCGCGCTGACAGCGAGAGACAGAACGTCCTGCTTATGGCCCTGAAGTCGCTGTGCCTGAGAGTAGGTTTTTCCATCCCAAATGCAGACGTGCCCGGTAGAGTCGCCCGAGACAATGTCGCCATCGCTCAAGCACTTTACGGACCAGACTATAATCTCCTTATTTCCTCCGGAAAGGTCTGATCCGAGGGTCATTTTGCGCAACAAATTGCCATTTCGCATGTCGTAGATCTGGACCGCGCTGTTGGAGCATCCGACCACGGCAATGTTGCGGTTCTGGAATGCGATGCTGACCATTTTCGTCTTTTTGGAAGGAGACCGTACGAGGATGCGGTCGAAGCGTAGTTCGCCGTCGTCGATGGAGTAGAGGGCGAGACTGCCGTCTATTGTGCCGGCCACGAGCCTCTTTCCCGTCTGGGCAATCTTGGTCGGCTGGCCCTTCTTGCTGGGGTTTTCGAACGGCTGCACGCCCAGACACCATATGTCTCCATGCATACCGCTGGCCTGCTTCTTGGGTCGCCTCTTCTCGAGATCCCACTCGGTCACGGTGCTGGTGTATCCAATGCTGAATAGCCTCGAGCGGCCGACGAGAGTGTTGCCATCTTGCAGGACTTGGTCAGGCTCGTTGACCCAGACCAGGCCGTCTATACTTCTGTCCTTGCCGCCGTGGAGTATAGCCTCCTGGTGCCATTGACCGTTGAGGGGGTTCCAAATTTCAATATCGCCATTGGCTCGACCGATCGCCAAACGGATTGGCGCCGAAGACTTCTTGCCGGGAACGTAGGAGTGCGAGAAGGCGACGGCATTGATGGCCGAGGGAGGGTAAGGCACAAAGCGGCAACGGTGAATATCCATGGCTGCGACCTTGATTTCCGACCCGGCGAGGAAGAAAAAAAAGGAGGATAATGCGCACACGGTAGACCGAAGCAAACACAAGCGAGCGAAGCTGAGCCTGCCTCGACTGGGTTGAGAGTCGCAGACAATTGAACTTTTTTCCTGCTGGTCAAGCTTATCGATAACAATATTTTTCTGCGGCGCCCTGGCCGAAAAAGACCTGGGAGCTTTCCGCCAAAAAGATATTAAGGTATGGTCAGTGCTTGCCTTCAGCGTCAATAGCCCCCACGCCGTCACCATCCAGCATTGTGACTCGTCACTAAACAGGCATTAACAGGAGCCTACACAGCAATTGCAGAAGCCCCCAAACCCAAACCTCACCTGAAAGGGACCCCTAGTTGGTCACAAAACCTTACGATTCCGCAACGCACCGTTGACTTGTGCTGTAGGAAGGTACTCTGTACTTGCCCTGGTGACGTTTAGTCAGCCAATCAGTCAGTCAAGTAGTCACGAATTGGAAGGAGGGGCAGCTTCAAATGTATCCATACAATGGCTTTTGCGACCTCTTACCCCGCCATTCCGCGCAATGCCGCTTATTCATGAGACGCGCAAGCTGAACAAAGAAGAGAGAAAGAGAGTAGGTATCGCCGACGGTAGACGACGCGAGGCACATCGTTCTTCCCTCTGACCATTGTAGCCGGAATCTCGTCTTGTGATTAGGCTCCTACATCTACAAGTTTAATCGTCAAGATCCAGTCCAGCCTCACCATCTTGTTTCAGTCTGTCCCACTGCGCTCGGTGCTGCTCCAGTTTTTCCTCCATCTCATACGCAACTGGTTGCTCCGGCCTCGCCGTGATTCACGTAGCTCAGGTTGCGTTCTTTTACACATTTTAGAGCTGCTTTGAAGTCTCCAAGGTTCTCATTTTCTCAGGCCTCATCTTAAAACTTTGCTCCGCAAGGTGTCGACGAACAGATCTGTACATTTCTGGGATAAAACCGGCAACTTGTCACTGCGTCCTCCGATTCCTTTCTTCGCCCTCTACTTTTCACCTGGGTTAAACTTCACGGCATACTCTCACCATAGTCGATCAACAAACAAAGCCTAGCGATCATGGAATTCGACTGGTCGACGCCCTTTCCGGAGGGTGTCATATCCTTCCTGGATACAGACTTGTACAAGCTGACCATGCAATGCGCCGTCTTCAAATACTATCGCGATGTCCCGGTCACATATGCCTTTACGAATCGCACACCAGAGAAGAAGCTTTCGAGAAAGGCGTTCAAGTGGCTTGACTTGCAAATCAGTAAATTGGGAAATATCTCTTTGTCCGATGAAGAGTTGCGATATCTGCGGAAGCATTGCTCCTACCTCAGCTCCGACTATCTTGACTTCTTGAAAGAATTCCGACTGTCGCCCCGTGAACAAGTTTCGGCCACCTTTACAGTTGTTGGCGACGATACTGGAAGCGACGACGACGTCGGCGATGTTCACCTCGATATTCGTGGCAACTGGGTCGACACCATTCTCTACGAGATCCCTCTGTTGGCACTCACTTCCGAGGCCTACTTCAAGTTCATGGACAAGGACTGGAACTACGATGGTCAGGAGGAAAAGGCGTTCCAGAAAGGAATAAAGTTGCTGGAAGCCGGCTGTATCACCTCGGAGTTCGGCACGCGCCGCCGAAGAGACTACCACACACAGGCCTTGGTCTTCCGAGGATTCGTCAGAGCAAGCAAAGTAGGACAGGAGCGAGGCTTGCCTGGCAAGATTTCTGGCACCAGCAATGTCCACTTGGCCATGCGCTTCAACCTTCCGCCTGTTGGAACTGTTGCTCACGAGTGGTTCATGGGAATTGCTGCCATAGTAGACGACTACCCCAACGCTACCGAGGCTGCCCTGCAAAGATGGATTGGCTGCTTTGGTGAAGGCACTTTGGGTATAGCACTCACCGACACCTTCGGCACCAGGGCTTTTTTGGAGGCCTTCAAAAAGCCTGTCAGATACCTACCTGGAACACCAAATATCCCCCTGGACCGCGAGGACACTGTCTCGTCCAAGACGTATGCTGAGGTGTTTGCTGGTGTACGTCAAGATTCGGGCGACCCTGCTGATTTTGTCAGAATGATGCGCGAATTCTACGACGAGCAGGGCATCAAGGACAAGAAGACCGTTGTTTTCTCTGACTCATTGGATATTGAAAAGTGCATCGAGTACAAGAAGATATCCGACGATGCTGGTCTCCAGCCCACGTTTGGTGTCGGTACATTCCTCACCAATGACTTTATCTCACTGAGTACTGGCAAGAAGTCGACTCCTTTAAATATTGTCATCAAGCTGAGCTCGGCTGCGGGTAATCCGGCTGTCAAGATTAGCGACAACATTGGAAAGAATACTGGTGACTCTGCCAAGGTGGCCGAAGTAAAGAAGACCCTTGGTTATCAAGAGAAGTCTTGGGAAGGTGGCGATGAGACCTCCAGATGGGGTAAATAATCTCTGCTCGGTCTTCCTGTTCGACCTCTTTCAGCAGATGATTATTTAGAAAGGGCCTTTTGCCTATAGAAGATAGCTCAGGGCGTGGTTTGTCTGATTTTATTTTGATACCCTGATGATGTCACATCAGCCTGGTTGCGAATAGACAGCATTATACAAAGGTGCATATTCTGCGTGTCTGGCAGGTCGACGTGATAGTCTGTCTTTGAACCGTGAGGGCCTTTTGAGGCCAGGTTGCTTCTCCATTACATTTCTGCCACTCTTGAAGAGCGATATGCGCCTTGAAAATGGAAAACGACAATAAGATCCGAAGGAACGCAAATGCTTTCCTGTCTATCCAGAAGATTTGTCAAGCTGTCAAGTTTCGAAGCTGCACGCTCGATACCACGTACGATCGTGCACTTGTGGCTTTGATGTTGATCCCGTCTGTGCTCATTGATGACAACCGACCATGCTATGGCTGGGAGCCACAATAATTATGGCGGTGACTGCTTAGCTCGTAGAAGAAAGGCTGTCACATTTGATTCTTGCTTTCACGATCGATGAGAAGCGGAGGTAACCAATCAATCTGTACACGGCTTATTACGGAGTATTGTTGGCTCTCTCCTCTGCGCAGCTGGCTTCTGGCATAGTCTTCAAGCCAGACGAGAGAAACGGGGATGAATTCCCTCGGATTGTCCGGCTACACAATTCGATCATCCATGTATCTGCAAAATTTCCGCTGTTGAAGCTAAAAGGCTAGAGACGAAAAGTTGATCACGTCGATGCAAAGTACGTACGTACGTACATAGACAAGATAGTTTAGGTACGGAGATGGCTTCAGCAGGAACAAATCCACCTCATATGCGTTGGCATTTGGAGGCACGTGCAATGCCTGTGAAGGGGCGCACTGTCCAGCCCACGACTGAACGAGGTGTTGCCGATTCCGTGAGGCTCAAACTGTTTGATGTGCAGAAAGCCCGACATATATGCAGGGAGATGGGACGACGACTCCTCCCACTGATTGATCCATTTCATGCCTGTCAGTTTGGACCGGACCGTGGGCACGGCAACCCAAATCATTGACCGAATGCGTACATTTGTCGAAGAAGGATGGACAAGTCGATGATGTCAGCCGTGACCAAAACATTGGCATCAATCTTATTATTGCCCTTTAAATTTTTCTCTCTCAAACTTTTAGGCGTCCTCAATTCGGACATTTGCAAGATGAATTCAAAGCCTACAAGAAGCCGCCGCCCTTCAGTGGATCGCGAGCGTGCCGATCCCGAAGGCTAGACCGTCTTGTCTACCCACATGCCCAGGTTATGGTAAATTTGTTGCTCACAGTTTTGGTCAAACAAAAGTTTGTCAAAGGAAAATGCCAGCCCATTCATTGAACCAGCCATATGCGGATTGCAATGGAAACCAGTTAGATATATGAAATAAGGAATGCATAGTCCTTGCTAATTGCAATGGTCGGCCGCATGCGGATGTAAAACGCTGCTACTGCAGAGTTGCTCGGAGCGGCGCCTGATATTGGCAGTAGTAACATTGGTCGGTCAATCATGGTGTGAATTCCTTTGAATTACTGTATTGCCTTTGCACAGTATGCAAGGTATTCTGCAATGGTTGGACCGAATTGCTGACATGGACTTTGACAACATTTAGCATTCCGCGGTGCGTCGTTGGAATTAGCGTACAGGGGAAGAATCAATCGGCTCACAACCTCCCAATTGGCCAGGCGCCTAGAGGAGAGAGGGACCAGCCTGCGCGTCCCGGGGGGGCTTGTGAGATAGATGCAAGGCACAGGGACTAAAAAAGAGACGGACGGGAAGGGGGAGTGGAAAGGATTGGAAGGGGGAATATTGAAGCTTGTGATGCTCTTCAGGGGGGTTTGCTGTTCCCGGCCATGGCACCAATCCAAGATCAACCAGCTGATCGATCGCTTATGTGCGTCGCCACCAGCGCTGAGAACCTGACTGTCCAGTAATAATGCAGGGCCGCTGGGGTTGGCATCGCGAGTGCGTACCGCATGCGGTCACTCGTCTATTCGTTGAAGAAGTATGTGTAGCAAACCGCGGCCAAAGATTGGGTGCGCATGTCGATTTCGGTCGCTCGAGGTTCCTTGCTAGCTCTTCAAGTAGTTTATCAAGTAGGTAGCTCATGTAGGAATGAACCAACCTACTGTGCGTACGAATACGTACTTATTAACCATTGACAAGGAGGATTGTCGGTGTGATGGTATGGATTCCACAGACGGATACTCTACCCCTTGAGTCGTCATTGGAGTCTTCTTGAAGGAAACCTCGAGGTAGCGCGCGCGACAAAGATGAGCCCAAGGCCAATGGCCAGCCGGCTATTGAACTCGAGTGGGGTCTCGACCCCATGCTGAGAGTGGTCGAGAGTCGTCGGAACATTGAATACCATGTACTACATAGTATGCAGCAGTGCAGGAGGCTCCTTTTTATTTGCTTCTTTGAGCCACGCTGCAATGAGGCTCACAGCGCCTACTAGTCTTTAATGCTGAGAGCCTAGCAAGGCCTCACTCTCAAAACTTGAGAAAAATACATACGCACGCGACCACCTGATCAGAGTACATACCTACAAATCACCCTCCCCTCCTCCTCCTTCTTTTTGTTGCCTTATTACCCCACGATGGCAGCACGGTAGAGGCGTGCTGTCCCTCCACACTTGAGCTCCCAATCTCCATGTATGAATCGCACTGCCACCACATCTAATGTCCGCCATTTCCGCAAATGGGTAATTAAGTGGGACATGGTTGAATTTCCAATACACAGTAGGCAGGGCCAACGACTACAAGCCAAGGGGACAGAGTCTTATAATTTATTACACAGTACTACTACTGCTACCTACTACTACTAAAGCTTGCGCCGGCTACAAAGCAAGTGGTTCATGCCAGGCACGGCGCCAAGGGCCAGCCCAGCGGCAGCAGTACATCAAGATAGTACTACTGGATAGCACCAACACCGTGGCTTTCCGTCTAGTTCAGTCGAGGCAAGCGTTGTGTCGTCGGGCGGGATTGCTGGAAGTAGTGCCGGGAACTGTGGATTGCGAAATCACTCGGTAGGCCACTAGGCGCCGACGACGCCGACGACGCATTTCCCATACATATTACATTGATAGACTCACCTGATTACTTACCTGGGTATGTATTAAAAGTGCACCCGACGATAAGGCTGGCTTCGATGTTGTTGTTCAACGATTATTGAAAAAGAGAATTCTTAAGGTTCTATGGCGAAATCATGTTCGGGAATTGTATCATGGACATGTCCTTGCTGGGCAAGTAAGTCGGGTGTATGTAATTCTGCTCGAGTCATTGGCAGTATAAGTTTGTGTATAGTCATGGTGCCGCTCTGGAAATTGATCTACTGCCTACCTTCTTCCTACACTAACTTGCTACACAATATATAATGCACAGCCATGATTTTCGCTAAGGAAACGACTTTTGTTGATGCCAAAGATCTGTTCACGCTCGCTGCTTATCTGATGGCGGACAGCATCTCATCGCCCTCTTTGGATATGTGTACCTACTCTCGTGCCAGTAGGCTTGACCTGGCGTAACGAATTCCACCGCCGCCACGGTCATTGCTAAAAGGCAAGCCTCCAGCAAATTGATCATGTAGACTACCAACTGTATTACTATGGTAGTATGGGTAAGTTTTAGCCGTACATGAGGTATATCTCCACTAATGGACATGGGGAGGTGGTTTGTGCTTGTGTAAGTTGTGCAATTTATGGCTGGAAAAGTGACTTGCCCCACGTTGAAGTGAGCCCTGCCAGATACTTGACAGGGAGCGAAAACTTTTGCCTGCAACCACAGTAGAGTACCTGGTAAATTGGTTCTGTATGCACCAGCATAGTGTACCCAATGAGCCAAGCCTAAAGAGTAAAGCTCAAGCCTGTGCATGGCACAAGCGATGACAGGGCCACAGACTTTTCCAACGGCCGACTGGGCTTGAATTGTTCAATTGCCTGTGCTTGTGCAGATGGGATGGGCAATGGGCTTCTAGACAATTTCCGTGGCCCTTCTGGATTAGCGAATACCCAGGCGGAATCCTCACCAGGGTCCCGCCCCCTTTCCCGATTGGACAGGCGGCGGGCGGCCCCAAGAGGACCAAATCCCCCCTACCCCCTGCCGCTGCCAGCTCCCAGGCCCTGCTTCCATTCTCCATGTTCCTTTCTTTCGCTGAGAATGGAGTTTCATGGGTCTAGCTAGGTACACTCACTCCTGAAGGAAAGAGGGAGGAAAGAGAAAGAAAAAAAATAGAGAGGCAGATCTGGGGCACTTTTTTTTGGATGGGTTCTGTCAATCTCACGAAGCACTTTCCAATCTGGCAGTGATTTCTTTTTTCATCACATCCTTCTCTTTCTCTCCTCTCTGATACCTCTTTTTTTACTTCATCTCTCAGGTCCAGCAAAGTAGCCGCTGACTCAACTTAATCACCCTCCCACCCCCCGTCTTCCCTCCCACCCCACGCTCATCCTCTTACCGCAGTGTTTTATCCCATTCCCAAAACACCTGTGTGCTGCGTCCTGCCTTTTACTTGCCAGCTCCAGTTTCCATTCCTCCTGGCTGCATTGTACGTACCTACATACTGCTGTATTGTACTGCACGGCGCATTGCACCTATTCGAGAGGACTACATTTAGAGGCATTGACTCTTCTGGAACTTCGACAAATGACCGTGCGGAACAAGCCCAGAGACATTTGAAAAGAGAGCCTGGATCGCCCTTTAATTATCAGCCAGTCACTCTGTCGCTCATCTTTCTATTCCCGCTGTCTGTTCTTGTGTGCGCCGAGACACCAGCGACTCGTTGCCGCCTGACACGACATTTGATACACGACATCAACTTAATTCCAATCGGGACTCTTTTTTCCCTTTCTTCTTTCTTTTTTTGGTTTGGCTGAGACCCCTTTGCGGCTCCCTGCAAACCAACCCACCTTACGACGGCTTGCTATCCCATTACACCGGCACCTGCGCAAGCGCCAACTTAATCCTAAATTCGACAACGGGGATCTCGACATTTATTTCTTCGCGCAATTGAATGCTCTTGTTTCCGTCGATCCCGACGCCGACGCTTTTGATTTCTTCTCTTCTGACCGGCTTGGTCGAGGGGAGGACTCCCGAGTTGCTTGGCGCTGCACAAGTTGACTGCACCCTTGAAGGAGTTGCCAGTTGTTGTGTCACAGGACATCACACGCGCCTGGAGAGGACGTGACGGACTACGAGTCGGTACCTTGCAGCAGCCTATTCATCCACCTGGCGTCACTTGTCGCGTTCTTTGTTCGACAAGTGCCCCAGCTCCGCTAAGCGACAACACCACCGGCGGCACTTGAATTTTTACCTACCATGAATAGTCGAAATGCGCCGCTGTCTCCGGTCTCAGTAGGCGGTAGCGAATATTCCGTTGGCAAATATCAAAGCCTCGATAACGGCGATCCCTACAACAACCGCGCTCCCATATCACCTCCCGACTCTGGTGGTGCGAATCCCATGATGAATGGCTTCCCCGGCCCTAGGAGTGTCGGTGGGCCTTCTCCTCCACCCTCGGTCGCCCGTTCTAGCACCGCCTCGGGGCTGTACGCCGCGAGCGAGAGCGGCAAGAGCATGCGAGATGAAAACAATGAGGTTATACTTGGAGTACATTATGTTGCCCTGAAGAAATTTTTGCAATCTACTTCCAAAGATGGAAGAGCCAATCCTCCCCCCAACCGAGCACGCGATAAGCTATTGCGTCTATCCGCTGTCCAATTCCTCGAGCTTTCTACCGATGTATATGACGAATTATTGAGGCGCGAGAGGCTCGGTCGGTCCGGTCCTGGCGGTCCAAAGCCGCCGCCGTTCCTGCAACCCGAAGACAACTTTCACCCAAAGCGGAACCAGGCACGACAGAAGCTTTCAACCTTGGGGCCGCCCAGGTTCAGAGATCTGGCTACAGATGTCTTCTGCGAACTCGAGCGGCGGTTTGAGGGCTTTGCCCGGGGCGATATTCCCCGCGTTGGAAGTCCTGTTTCGGTAAGGGGTGCGAGTAGGGCTGGCACTCCCGTGAACGGTCTTCCCCCCAGAGGAATGAGAAGGCCTTCAAACGCAAGTTCTATCCGATCGGATGCACCTCGATTCAACGACTACCCTATCCCTCCTTCTCCTGGCATGCCGCCGAACGGCTTCGCTCCTCAACAGAAGCAATTTCAAAGCAATACCATTGTGCCCAACAAGAGCACCATGCTGGAGGAGGATGACGATGGCAATGATGATGGAAAGGACTCCTTTGGACTCGATGGCGCGAGGCAAAGAAAGAGAAGCTCGGATACTGGCATTTCCGAGGTAAGCTACACTGATAATGACATTCAAAAAAAAAAGAAAAAGAAAAAGAGAAATAGAGATTAACGCTGCTTATAGACCGATAAGAGACTATTGGAGGAATCTCAAGCGCAAGTCCTCGACTTGCAAGCAAAATTGGACGAACTTGAAGATCGATACAAGAAAAAGGACGATGAGCTGAACAAAATGCTCAACGAAGAACGTTCCCGGGCTTCGAATGAGAATGCAGAAAAGGCACAATGGGATGATCTTAAAGCAGATCTCGAGAACCAGCTGGCACAAGCCAAGAGTCTCAGCAACACTCTACGAGATGACCTCGATCGTATGCGTGAAGACCACGATGTTGAGGAGAGACAACTACGCGAACAGCTAGAGGAAGCCGAGGCAGCCGCCAGGAATGCAAGCAGCATGGGCAACAGGGGCAATGCGGATGCAGAATTGCAGCAAGAGAACCAGGAACTACGAATGGCCCTTGAGGAGCAGCAGCAAGTCACAGAAGATGTTCGCAAGGAAGCTCAACAATTCCTTCAGGAAATGAAGGTCCTTTCTGAGCAGCATACCCCTTCTTGGGAGAAACAGGCTGAACTGCACAAGTCAATTGAGCAATTGGAGCAGGAGGTCAAAGACTGGCGCAACCGCTACGCGCGCACCAAGACGCAACTGCGCAGTCTCAGAGCTTCGTCTCTTGGCTTGACCATTGATCAGGATGCAGCGAAATATGTGCGTGAGAAGGGGTTCACCGAGGAGAACGGTCTTGTCAAGGATGTCCATGTTACCAAGTTCCAGATCGCTATTGACGAGCTCCTCAAGCGGGCGCGAACCGACACCCCCGACAGGGCGATCGACTCTATGAAGGCGGTTGTCGTTGCTGTTCGTCGCATTACTAAGGATATTGACGCATCGGCACCTCGGGACGAAGATGTCATGGCGCAGCAACAAAAGCTCAAGAGTCGCGTTTCTGCCACTGCGAACAACCTCATCACTGCCTCGAGAAACTTTGCTACTGCAGCCGGTATCTCGCCTGTGTCATTGTTGGATGCGGCGGCTTCGCATCTCGTTGCCGCGCTTGTTGAGCTTCTGAGGACCGTCAAGATCCGGGCCACGCCGGTTGGAGAACTCGAAGACGACGACGACGGCACCATGACACCCGTTGATTCCACGGGTTTCTTCTCTTCAAGGCGTACAACACAGGACGAGAACTCGTTCCCCAAACCACCAACTCGGGGCAATCAGTCACCGCTTGACCCCCCGCCGCGTTTCATGGGATTGGGACCCCGTGAAAGTGCCCAGTCTTCTGCCTACAGCCCCATCAGTTCTCCTCGCGAATCTGCCGACCAGTTTAATAGTAGAAGATCGATGCCGCGGAATATGCCTGCCAATGGCATTTACGTAGACAAGAACCCGCCGCCCGCCGCCGGCGGTTATGGGGCACAGCGTCTTGATATAACCATGGAAGACCTCAAGATCTACATGGATAACCAGTCCGATCAGTTGGTCGAGACGATTCAAGGTCTCGTAGCCTCGATCCGCGGTGATGCTCCCATTACGCAGATCAAGGAAGAGATTGGGCAGATTGCCGAAATTGTGGGCAAGATTGTTTCTGAAACCGAAGGCACCAACACGGATTCGATCCTTATCGACAGCTTAACATCCTGCCGCCAACGACTGCTCGAGGCCGGCGACCTTGGCTCAGATCTTGTCTCAAAGGGTCTCGGCCCCAGCGACAGGGAATGGCGCATGTGGACGCAAACTCTACCACCCATTGCCTTTGAGATTGCTCGCGAGACGAAAGAGCTAGTGGAGAGCATTGGTCGCTTGGTCATGGCCGACGGTGATGATTATTCATAAATCATCTTGGACTTCTGAGAACATATTCTTATTCACCACCCTTTTACGACGTCTATGCCCTTTCGAGTAAATTAGGTCCTGCAAGTCGCTTGCGACGCACTTGATACCCCTCTACAGTCTAGAGTGCTTCCTAGAGGTGCCCTTTGGCAATTCAGAGACCCACACCAGGCGATTGAATCATACATATTATCTTTACCTTTTCAACCAAAAGAAGCAGCCAGAGTAGCTTGGCATAGCCTTCTTTCTTCTCTCTTCTCAAGCAATTCTTCACATTGCTGAAAACCCTACTACGACTGTGCGATTACGAGATGTCGGTTCTTTGCATGTCCTGGTCAATAGGAATGCTATACACTTTTTTTTTTACCATTAGTCCGGTTCTGGCAGTGATACAAGAAGACACTGCCCATTATGCACGGCTTATAGATTGGTGGGATCGGCTCTAGTGGCCATGCGTATTTGGCGTCACGAGTATAAGCATTTGTATTATAGAAAATGACCTAGACATAGGCACTTACTTACCTGGCATAAAATTGTCGGGATAATGGAAAATAAATTCATACCAACAATCCAAAGCCTACTCTCCATATTGGATGGGAACATGATTTGTGCTGGTCTTGATCAAATAAATAACTGGTTTGTATGCATGGTTATTGAATTTATTCATTTTCGTCCTGGACTTTATTGTCACGAACTATGTGGTCGTACTACAGCAGTGGGTGGTATCCAGCATATGCAATGGACCACAGACAGATGAACTCTTCAGATCACCATGCGACACCAAAGTGCTATGATCTGTGATTCTGATTGAAAGTATCATTCGCCTTCCGCTCAGCGACGCTATCTATTGATCAAATTTGCGAATTGTAATGATAGGCCCAGCGTGAAGCAGTAAGGGGATTTTGTGAGTCTCGCTCTAATCGTGGAGACCCGTCACCAAGCCATCAAGTGTATATTTCAAAACCAGGCGAGCGTCCAGGTGGCCGGGAGGTTGGGCCACCTCTCCTGCCAGTCACCAATGACTTCGGGCACCCGCTCGTCAAAAGAGGCTCGGCTTGCGGCAGTGGCCATGTCGAAGACGGCCGAGCCGACCGCCTCGCGCTCCTCCTTGGCACAGTTGTTCAAGGAATCTGCCAAATCCAGGATACCACGTCCTCCAATAGAGGCTTCCTCGTGGTTGTCCTTGATGTCAATGTTGATGACATGGACGGGGCGGTTCAGCGGGGCCCCGCGGTTGTGCAGGTCGTCGATGACGGCATCCCAGCAGCGCTCCTCGCAAGTGAAGACAATGTCAGCGACGCCCCCTTCGGTACCGTCGCTGCCCCGGTCCGTGGCGTGATTGAGGCGCGGGATGCCCACTTGCCAGTCCTGCCAACGTTCGGGCCCCCACTTGACGCCGCGGTTCCTGTTTAGCATGTTGAGAAGACCGTTGCGGGTATAGAGATCCTCGTCCTTTTGTTGCAGCTCCTTGAACATGCTGTCATAGGAAGTCTTGTTGAACTGGTAGACATTGGGCTGGGTAATGGTTGGGCCAGGCAGTCGGACCAGCGAACCGGTGCCAAAGGAGATGACGGGATAGTGCGCTCTGGATAGTTGCAGGTGAGCTTCCATCGACCTAGTGAGCAATTAGTCAAATATCTACAAAAAGGGTATGTGAGGAATTGGCATACCTGTTCTGATTACTGGCGCAGACGGTGCAGAACTTGAGCTTGTAGCCGCCTGGGTCCGAACGCTCGCCATTCTGTGCAGGAGCTGGGGTAGGAGCCAGCACTGCCGGCGCCGCAGCTGTGGCATTTCCGTTTGCTACCTCCATCTTTTGAGCTGAGATTACAGGCGATCAAGCTGCTGTAATCGACTTCAAGTGGTTGGTGCTAGAGTAGAGCGCATGCTCAAGCCGACGCGGTTTCGGATGTTGGTCAAACAGGCGTGGGGAAAGACCTCAACGTGGGAATGTCAGCTGGATGTAAACACACAGAGTGGGGCGCAATTGAAATTATGAGATATTGCTCTACAAAATTCAGATATTGTTGCGTAAGGTAATATTTTAGTTGTCACCATAGAGGTTCAGACAGCTCCAATAAGTTATCATCAGGTAGGTAGAGAATGGCAAAGTGGGAAGATGATGGCAGCGCGGGTGAAAAGCCGCTTGGGGCATTTGCCAACCAGGGGATTGGCGGAGACGAGGGGGGGAAAAAAATAGGTAGCACCAAAATTGACTTACCAGGCGCGACTCAAGGCAGATTTGACACGGCGCGAAAAGAGAGCATGCCATCAACAGGCGATGCCAATGAATGGAGTTGTTGTTTGAGTGATTGAGTCTGCTGCAGGACTCATCATACTCCTGGCATATTGCGGGAGCCCATGGCAAAATGGGAATCTGGCGTGGAGGTCAGCTACTTTGTGGTAGCTAGGCTTCCTTCTTCGCCGATGAGAATGACGCTCAAGAGAGAAAAAGAGACAGGAGGGAAAGATTTTTGGGTAGAAAGCTGGAAGCTGTGCTGTGAGCCAAAGCTTGAGCTAGCTAAGCAAACCCACTGGGGCTTTACCGTAGCTGTGGGACCACGGTCACTGACGATAGCGATAAGGGTGAGTCTCTTTGATGAACTTGAAACGCCTGTCTAATTCAATGTATGATCGTCCACAAACCGCCTCTCTGGCACTACCGTAATTGCTACTTGCCTCGATATAGCAGCCACGGTAGAAATGAATCTGGTACGAACTTTTCATCTTTTGATTTTCTGTCCAGAGTATTGATTTTGAGTATAATTGAGGACCCTTTTGACCAGAGAATGGGGGCAACCATGTGCCAAGGTAACTTGTAAATAAAGCACGAATAGACATGAACACATCATCACGCGGTGCTACATATCATGGTTTCCTCCTGTAAGCCATACATACTCCGAAGCCAGTATACAACTTGGCAGTCATGCCTATTAATAGTAGCTAGGCATATATGTAAATTATGTTGTACAGCCTTCCGCCTCTGCAAGCCTCATCAACTCTGATGACTCGGTCTATTCCTTGTTTGCAGATTTGCTTACTTGCAGCATCAAACAAACCATATAGACTCCTCGATTCATCTTGACCGCCATTCCCACACAGCGAACATGTTTCTTGACCCCGCTGAGCGCAGTCTACCTTTGCCTGCATTGATTGACCCGCAGCATGTTGCCGTGCTACTTGACAGCACGAGGGTTTTCCGCTAGCAGAGCTGGAGTGCCAATCGTCTGGGTGGATATGTAGCAGTATGTATGTATGGATGAATGCATGCGGACTAGGGTAAGGAGTCACATAGGTAGACATTGTTTCAGATCTGCTCAGTTTTACGGAGCGGATATGAGATTCGATTTGTTTCCTACGTTTCCATCCTTACACGATGTCTGACTCAGAATAGGCTACATACTACCGCAAACAGTCATTGCAGATATCCGTCCCTGCCTTTTCATCGTGGTAGCTTTGCTTGAACTCCCATTGAAACAATACTCGTTGCCCTCTGGCTGAGTTGCTCTGGCTGAGTGATTCTCCATTTCTGGTATCGGATCGAGTAATGTGAGTTCTCCTACGATCTGTCAGGCTGTCTCTGTTGTTTACCGCATGCACAGACACACGCATGCCGGCGGCTTCTTAGCGGCGCTGCGTCTCACACGTCTTTGCAGCTAGAGATGCTCCATTTCTGCGGCTAGATTGCCTTGGACACATCTCCGTGCATATCGTGAAACAGAGCCACACGTGACAGTCCTACGTCTGTACATTAGGCAAGTAGCAAATCACCGGACACAAGTCCGAGACGCTGAACCCGTCAAGCATAAGTCGGCACGATGCTTGCGATATGTGGCCGGAAATAACAGCTTTCCAGGGCACAGAGCTGTGAGCACTGACTTGTTATCTTGGAGAATATGTGACTATGCCCCAAATCGTGATATGTCAGAGATGCCAGGACATTGCAACCAGATTTACTATCTAGAGTGCTGTCTTTATTACAGAGTACACGGAAATGGATATATTACTCACGTCAGACCCTTGTTTCGTCCACGGTACACAACATGGCATCATGGATGTTTGTCATATAGAACCCCGCAAGCCGAGCAGTGACTTTCTGTATAGTATACACGAATGTCATGCTTGTCCTTTGTCTGCTACTGCTTACGTGTATCTAATAGGTTACTCTGGTAGTGACATATATGGTATGTTCATTAGCCAGAAAACAGTTTATATCCAAGTAGTACTTAGGTAGGTAGTTGTGAAATTTAGCAGCAAGCACAAGACTACAAATAATAAGATACAGATAGGCAGCTCGAACAACATGTTGGGACCAGTGCTCTGTCTATAGATGTAGTCAACCTAAAATTTGGATGGCATTCCCTTTATATACGCTGCAGCAAGGTTTGGGTCGAACACCTCGCCTGAAAATGCGTTGGCGTGTGTCGAGTTGCGAGACTGTGTAGCTGGTATCATGTTAATGGTCTCCAAAATCTTAGTAACCATTATGGAGGGTTTCCGGTTTCTGCGCGCAACATTTGCCAGCCATGAACATCCGGACCTTGTGCAAATCCTGAATTCATCCCATCTTTACTATTTGTAGGGCTGTCATGGGTCTCGGCCGAATTAGGTGGAGGAATGGTCGGATAGTAGATTTGTATCTATTTTATACGAACATGTAGCATGTTTGGACCGAAGCGGGCAAAGGATTGGACTTTGGCATGGCCATGTTCCGCCCCAAGAGGTTTTGGGGGGCAAGACAGAGAGAGAGCATTGCAGATTATACAAAAGGCACCTTTTATTTTACAACCCACACAGTACATGTGAGTAAAGTAAGTACGGCCAGTAATAAGGTCACAGAGAGACTGCCCTGGACGATCGATCGTCGCAAAGTGCCTCAACCTTCTCCCTTCTATGCTTGGAAACGAGACACGTTATGGGGCCTAAATTTAGACTGTCCACTCGGTTCCAGCAGGAAGCAAGTGCAGTAGGCGATAGATAGTAGGTACTTACCTACATCCTAATGTAGGTTGTCGGACAAAGAAAGGATTGGATTGCTCATCAGGGCCCCGGAATGGCCCGTTGTTGTCTGCACGACATTCATGTAGGTAAATGTGTCTCCACGCTTTCTCTGTCAAGGCAACGAACTGCTTACTTTTTACAGTTTATAGGAAACAACTGCTGGTTTTGTTTTCTTCCCCGGGATCAATCCAAACTGGACAACAGAAACAATAGATGATTTACTCTCAGTCAAAGATGGACAGATAGGGATCTGAACTGACTCGTCTGTTTAGTCTCTTATCGAGCTGCTTCTAGGTATGTACCTACCTATGGATCACCAACCAAGAAGAAAGCCGTTGGGGCGCATCTGCTGCTTCCTCCGCGCTTATTTAGCACTCTAGGCGTAGACCAGTGCGACAAAAGCCACCCCTCCACCCACCCAACGCGCACCGGCGAGACAGAGGGTCTGGGCCTGATCTGACAAGCGGCGCTAGAACGACCCCGTTGTCACATACCTTCGCTGCATTACGCCAGCAGTTCAAGCCAAGTATCTAAAATTTAGGAATGGAAACAGGATCCAGTCGGCCATAACAGTAAAGTTGAGGTCATCAGTATTAGTATCCAAAGAAACCCGGACCATGTGGTTCACGCCCCGGGCCACCTCGGACACCGCGCGGATTGAGAAACATCAAACATCCCTTGAGCTCGGGCTCCTAATCCTACCTTACCTTGTTGTTGCCGGGTCCAGGTCGAGTACCTTTCCTAGGTAGCCAAGGCCCAAGCCGAGTCGAGTCTCAAGGACCGATGCTGGGTCTTAGACCCAAAGGCCGGGATTGCATTCGAGCGCCAGGCACACACACGCACTCGCTCTCACTCAACTTACCAACCCCGGGCCCCCTCCTTCAGGACTAGAGGGCGCAGAAGCCAGACAGACCAGTGAGAGGGCCGTGAACGCACCCAACGAGCGAGCGAGCCAACCGTTGCCGCCCTTCACGGTTCCCTAGACAAACCCACCCATCTAGGCTAGCCACATCCAGGTATCCTTACCTTATTTACCTCGAGGCTCGTAGGTAATATCTGGTGCTGGCTCTGGCTGGCCAGTTGGCGCTCAAAGGTCTTTTTTTCACCCACTGCCAAACAGGTAGTAGTAAAATAAACAGTAGTAGGTAGCTGCTGCGCCTAAGAAACCACCCCAATATCGTACCTACCTAACCTAGTACCTAGGAACCCTCCCCACTTCTTCATCTCAACGTCGCCAATTTTGACATCCGCCCTCGCGGCCCTTTTTGCAACTGCGCTCTACTTCACTTCTTCTTTTCTTTCTTCCTGTTACCTTTCTTTGCTGTTGCTGCCGACCAAGACTGCATCCCTTTTGCGGTTTGCGCCGCCCAAACTGCGACCACCCTCCTTCTCCTCATTTCTTCTCCCCCCTCCGACCCAGACGGGCGCATCTACGCTACGGACCGTTCAGCCAAACCAAGCGTCTAAACTTAGCAGCGTCAGGCTCAAAGCTGACTGACGCCCGCCGCCCGTTCTTCGTCTGCACGCTCACCTGACAACGACGAGTGCACAACCACCCACTTTGAGCCGCAACAGTCCTCGATAATACCGACAAACAACCTCCCCCGCTACTACAACCGTAGGCACAACCCTTGGTCGCATCCAAACCCAACCTCTGCCGCCACCCTCGACTCCCAATCCCGCCCGCGAACCTCTCCGGTCTGTCTGTCTGTCCGTCTGGCTGGCTTGAATTCGGAAACGGCTTGCTGGTCAAGTTGTTGCTTTACACAAGGCGCATGCGACTTTGACTTTGGCAGTCTCATCGTCCAGTGGCATAAGCCATTTCTGCTTCCTCTTACGTATATAACGTACATATTTTTTTCCTCTACTGGGTAGGCCGACGTTACCAAAGATGACTGCAATCATGTCCCCGAGCTCATCACCTGCGACGTCCCCACCAGCAGTCTCATCGCCGTCCTCGAACCCTAATCACCCCGCTCTACCTCCGTTGATTACATCGCCGCCCGGCCGTCGCACGAACCTCCCGCGCCCCATGTCGCACGCCTCTAAGAATCGCCTGTCGCAATACTCGACGGGCTCGGTCCCTTCGCGCTCCCGGCCGCCGTCGTATCTCTTCCCCATCTTCCACTCCAGCCTTACGTATACCGTCGTCCGAGATTTCGCCTATCCGCCCGTTCATCCTATGCACTATGGACCACCTCCCGAAGGTTCGAGACCGCCCTCGGGCATGACGACACCCATGAGCGAGTCGCGTCGCTTGTCGGATCCGCCCGCTTCGTGGGAGAGCAAGCTGGGCTGGGAGTGGACCTCGGACGGTGGTCTGGGCAGGGGAGGAGAGCTTGCGGCTATCCATCTCGGCGATGGACCTCCGTGGAGCGAGGACGAAGATTTGCAGAGCCCGGTTGTCAGTTCGCGCCACAAGAAGCACAAGTCATCATCCGCAGCCTTGCCCCACCGCAGAGAGCGCGCATCGCATGAGCCTGGCGGCTCGTCCGTTCTCAATGCCGATAATTTCGACAGCGAGCGGGGCTATTACGCAGGAACAAGCGGCGATGGAAGTGAACGGTACTATGTTAATCAAGATGGTGAGGCAAACGGTCCTGGTGGGGAATATGTCACATACCCACCTAACCAGGCGCGGCACTCTACCCACGGCTCCTTCCAGGAAGACCAGAGACCGCGACAATATGCGGAGCACGATGCCGGCTACCGCTCCGAGTCGGATGATCACTCAAGTACTGCTTCATCCCCAGGATTCAATGCCTACGACGAATCGCGGTATTCCAGAGACTACCAGTTTACAATTACCTCCCCCGATGAGGAAATGCACGGAAAGGCCGTTGCGCTTTTCGACTTTGCCCGAGAGAATGAAAACGAGCTGCCACTAGTAGAGGGCCAGATCATCTGGGTTTCGTACAGACATGGCCAGGGTTGGCTTGTTGCAGAAGACCCAAAGACGCAGGAGAGTGGCCTTGTGCCCGAGGAATATGTGCGCCTGCTACGCGATATTGAGGGCGGCATGAATAGCCTGACGGGACAGCTCGAAGGCCCAGGTTCTCCAAATGATTCGGGCACGCCTACGCAGGCTGAACACACCAACACCTCGTATGGACATACTCCCACAGCTAGTACCGGGAGTGCCAATGGGTACCACCAGCCAGTTGTATCAACCTTCTCCACCTCGAGCGCAGATCTTAACCCATATCCCCAGCATCTGCTTGGTTCCCAGCCCGGACAGGCCCCTCCTCAAGTGGTGCACTACCACGGTCAACGAGGAGGAAGTCAAGCAAACACGCCAACCGTACAGTCATCCTTTGACTCCGGACTGGGTCGTCGAGGCAGCAAAGAAAGCCAGGATATCTCACGACGAAGCGATTCAATTTCCGGAAAGATGCAAGGTCTAGATCTGTTGTCAGACAAGAAGCTGACCTCCCCAGTGGAGGAGTCGGATTCGGAAGAAGAAGATGACAACGAGCCTACAACCAAGACGGAAAGCTGATAATGCGTCATTCCTCAAAGAGCAAATGGCGCCTCTCTGCTGGTGGCTCTTCTCACGAGCCAAGCCAGCTAATCGCTGGTATTCTACCAGTCTGCGTTCTGCAAGTGCGGGACAACGCACTGATGCAGACCACAGTTAATAAATCGACCTCTCTCTCTCGCTCTGCAATGATACATATTGGTTTCTCCGAGGCCAAGATCAGAGTCGAGACAGGCTTTGGCAAACCCTTAGCCGCGAGCGACTGCAGAAAGCCCCTGAGGGAATGTCAAAAACCAAAGTTACAGGAATTCAATTCAAGATACCAACCGGGGGGAGCCGTTGTAAAGGCAATGATTTTGATTACAACAAAGAGCATAGCGTAATGGATTTCGACAAGTGTAGCTTGTGCTGGAAAATCAATGTGACAGCAAATCGACGTTGACGAATCAGAACGAATCTGGACGCCGCATAATGAGAAGAATTGAAATCATTCACCCTTGATCCTGTCGTCGTACTACTTAGCGATTTGCTCTTTTGATGAAATACGGAACGTTCTGGATTGGAATTATTTGCCGCAATCAAATTGTACGTGTATATACCATATCGAGCCTGATGATGCTTACCAATGGCGTGTCTAGAGATGAAGGGAATGACGATCAATACGATGAGGCCGATAGTCTCCCCAGTGTCACCTTGTTCAGCTCGTGGCCCTCGCATTTGCTTTGAATTACTGTACATGGACAATGAGTGTATTGTCAAACTGGAGACGCTGTCTTCATCAATGAGCCTTCATTCGCCTTGAGCACTTTTCCATGTTCGCTCAAGTTTGACAATTCTAGATGTACAAACTATGAGCTGTCTAAGTTTGGAGACGGCAGAGGCTATTCCGGGCGAAGATACGCCATGCCATTGATTGATATCTCTGGAAGAAGCGGGAGTCTGAACTGCACAACATTGAAAAGAGGAGGGAAAGAAGCATGGTCCGGCAGTCTGAAGAATTGCAAATGCTGCCCAGGCTTCTACAGCCAACATATACAGCCTAAGAGAGGTCTACTTACTGATTGTGAAGTTGAGAAATTTCTCCCCTCCTTTCTTGTTGTTCATCTATCCTGCCGCTCCCAATGTCCGGCATTGCGTCGTCTGTCAGTGTCGTTCTCATTCCATAGGCCAGGTAGTTATAGGCCTGTGCAGTTCCCGAACAAGAAAAGTAAATCAGCATCGGCCTGCTGAAGGGTATCGTAATGGTAGGAACAAGAGGAGAGCCGTGGTCTTTTAGGTTGTTTGCCAAAGTTTTATTTGTCTGAATGGTAGGTAGCCTAGGTTACGGGGGCGTGGCTGAAAACGCCTCGCTTGCCGTAACCTCTTGATCGGAATGTTGTGGGGGTGAACAAATGCCAGCGCACCCAGCGGCAAGCTTTGGTATTATTCGAAGAGCTGATTGACAGTCATGCGGGACAAAAGGAGTATATAGACTTCCCATCTTGGTCGGGTCCATACACGCCTGGCTATGTACCGATCGACCACGGATCCATCCTGTCCAAGACTTTCAAGCTCTTGAATCCAGTTGAAAGAGAGAGAAGTACTGTCACAGCTGAAGCGGAAAGTAAGAGCTCTGAGTGGAGAAGAAACGAAATATTGTTGTTCATAATGGCCCTCCAAAAGTGGCCGAGTGCATAAATGAACAAGATTCAATGGGTCAGCTCCATCTCTAGGACGAGAACAAGCTTTCAGCCCTGCCCAAAAGTGCCTGCCGTAATCATTAGGCAAGTCAGGCTGGCGCGCCATCATGTCTCAGCGCAATCAATGTGCGCGACCTACCAATCACGAAAAAGAAAACAACCATACGAGATGCAGCTGCAGCTTGCTTGCAGAAGCAGGGTGAACAAAAGTAGAATAGCAACAACGCACCTGGGGTTTGCTCGGATGCTTGCTATGTCCTCTACCCTATCCTAGAACCAAGCATGATGAATTATTATAGTTCAACGTCGATCTTGGGCCGAAAGCAGTCAAAATCCCCACACAAGAGCTAAGCTTTCGCCGTTTCGCAACCCCCTGAACTCGCCTATTTCCGCCGGAATGGGAATAGTGCCATTGGGTAGCCAAGATTGACTGACAGCAGCACAACTCCGTCTTGGGGCATGGAGCTGCAGGCGAGAGGAGGCGGAGTTGCTTTGGCATTATGTGATGTGTCTGTAGGGGAAACGACTCTTCTTCTTTTTCCTGCCTTCCGTGTAACCGAGGGAGCAAAGAGTGCCATTTGGAAATTGCCCACATCACAAGATAGAAGTCTATGTACTGTTGGGTATCAACTTGCCTCTTCTTGACTCGATTTATGAACCCAGACAATATCTACTTGCATATATTCCGAACAAATCACACGAGACTTTTAAAAACACACATCTGTTGTTCACAGCAAGCAGAACTTGAAAACATAAAAGAGTGCGGCTCTATTCCGTCTAATAGTCTGTTTGCGACCTTATTTCAGCTGACAGGGGTCCAAACCTTCCGCATAGTTCAGCCGCATCCAAAATCCAATCCATGTTATTATGTATGCCCATGGGACCTCCACAGATGTCTACTCAAAGCTCCTCCTAGTCCAAGCCAAGGGCGTCATCACACATGGGGAAAAGTGCCCAAGCATAGCTAAGGTAGGCGCCAAGATTTGCATATAGGCGGGTCGACCGCTCCAATATTTGCTTTGCCGCTTTTATGATACGGGCCGCTGAGTGGTCAACCTATACCTAAACGTTGTTCAGCGGGGCCCCTCCGGTTGTCGCCTACACTAACATGGTAGAGAGACATGGCGACCAAAGCGGTCCTGGTCATGGGGATGAGATAGCTAACCATGGGGGAGAGAAGAAACGTAGGTCATTCACGATGCTCCCAGAGAAAGAAAGAAGACTTATTTCCATGTTTGTTGTGTCACGGGTCGTGTCACAGCTCGAGCGATTTGAGTTAGAGATGAACACTTCCCAATGCTGCCCGGGGATATTATCTCAGCCTCTCAAACGACGGGTCATGAGTTGGTCCCTGGATCTTTTCGCCCACTGAACCCTGAAGCATTACACTAAGATGCGCAAGGCAAGGCAAGGCAGACTTCAAATTCCACCCGAACACTTTCAATATGCAGGGATGGCGGCATCTGGACCCTGCTGAAGTCTGCCGTGGCTGAGTGTCCAACTTGGCCGGCATGACAGCTGGGTCTTAGATTGAATGGGGAAACTTTATTGGTAGGTAGCTGATATTGGAGACGCGAGCTGGCCCGTATATGATAACAGGTCCTTATTTTCTTATTCATCAGGATGAGGAGCTCCAAGTATTTCTCTATCCCATCTCTGCCTGCTTTTTTTCTGCCGTCTTTTCTCCTCCATCTGCAGCCCAGTATTTGACACGTTCGAAAACACCAAAGAGCTTGTAACTATAATAGACGATACAGAGCTGTGGTCGACATGTCTGGCAGACAGTATTCGAATCAACGCAAGCCCGGGCGTGAGCACTGGCCGCTCTATCCCAAGGGGTTCATCGCTCTTCGTATTGTTCAACTAGTCCTCGCCGTCTGCGTCCTGGGTCTTGCTGGCTTTTCCGTCGCTCTCATATCAATCGATGGACTTCATCTCATTCTCTTTGTGGTAGGACAGCTCGGACTCCCAAAAAGATATAAGATTACTGACATGTTATATAGGCTATCGCTACCCTCATCACTACTATTTACCTGATTGTCGCCCAGTTTGGCTCGCCGGCGTCGTACAACTATTGGGCAGTCCTAGCCTTGGACATATTCTTGCTTATATTCTGGCTCATCTCGTTTGCCTTGCTGGCGACTGAGATCTCATTCCTAAGCACGTATACCTTTTACTGCAATGGCGGCTACGATATTTGCACAGTCTCGGATGTCTATCAAGCTTGTGTTGCTGCTGCGGCTGGAGTCGGTGGCGTAGAGTTGTAAGTTTTTTTAGTTTTTTTTTCCAACCCATCGTCGAGAGACTATAGTAGTCGTCGTAACTATCGAGCCTAACATGCCATGTCTCAGTGCGCTTTTCATCGTTTCCCTCGTCATCCACAGCGTCATGATCCACAGACACAGAAAGGCAGGCCTACACTGCAACCCGGTCCACTCGTCGTCTGCCCACCACGAGACTCAGGCTGCCATCCCCCTTGGCGCAACCTCCAACAATGCCGAGAAGCCCGCTCCTCAGACGCACAGCCTGCCATACCAACAGGCTCAGCCTGCTCCGGGCTACGCACAGCAGCCCCAGGCCACCTATGTCCCCTCTCCCACTCCGCCCGCCGCTGCCTATAGCTCGCCTCCTCAGCAGTATCACCAGCCGCAGCAGCAGCAGCAGATCCCTAGTCCCCTAACGCAGCAGCCCACGGGTGCTTCGGCGCAGCACTTTAGCCAGTATTCTCCGCAGAACTCTGGTCCTCCTTACGAAGCACCTGCGCAGCACCCAAATCCGGGACCCTATGAGGCGCAGACCCATCACTAAGGAGATTAAACGATTCAGTCATACGACTCCGACCATGGATTATGTGTCACATCATTGCCGTGTATACATGAACCTCATGGTTCATGAAAATCTATAGAGACGATCTTTATTGAAAATGAGTTTTGTGAATGTGCATCTGGTGTCCCATGTCACTCTGGTGCTGGTTAATATGCAGTTGGGCGGTATATTCTCTCTTGTGCTTGGCCTTCAAAGCCAAGTGTTACGCGTGTATGAGATTCCCTGCAAGGATCTTCACAATCCTGCATTAATTGATTTACTTTTTTCCAGAAATTCTTGTTCATATGTGAGGATTCATTGATACTATGTGGGATTGAATGTCGTGTGAGATTTTGGCATCTTGGAAATCCCCGTACTGATCTCAAGTCTTCATGAGAGCGACATAGATCCAAATGCTGAGTTCTCAGGAGCGCCTGATAATGCAGATTAGTTAAGGCTACAATTAGTTTCCTAGTTGGCTTTTCAGATGAAGACAAGTAAAGAATATCAAGCATCGTGACCAATTCCAGAAGAAATCTCTGATGGCTCTTATTGAGCACATTATTTCTGCCTTGGCAAATGAAATCTACAGAATTTCCATTTTATCCTATTCTTTCAAGGTCTCAGACATGGGCTGACTAGACATCTGAGCGCGACTGAGGAATGTTGTGTTGCACGGTCCTTAATGGCTATTGTCTTACTTGTCTCACCGAAACCGTTGTACCGGCACGAAAACGGCCAATGATTAAGCATGATCCTCAAAGAAATCTTTGATGCCGACCATGTTCTCTTTGTCGACTTCATATATGATGATATTATCCTACTTCCGCAGAAGCAAACAGAATCATGAGCACAATCCATCATCATTTAGGACGTTTGGCCTTCTTCGTTCCTTTTCCTCTACTCTACTATTCATGCAAAGTCCAACTCTTCGTACACGGACGGTAGTGAGAAAGAGGTGAAGCTACGAATATGAGCAACCAACGAGCCGAGCTCCAGCGGGAGTTCAAGGCGTACTGGGCAGACAATGCCACCCCTTTTGTCGATCAAGACTTGATCAACTGGCTACAGAACAGACGGACCGACGCCCGAGATGACTGGCGCCGACTCCGCAGGCGAGTTGCCGAGGAGGGCCTGAATGCGGAACGTCAAGCGCTCGAGGTGGCCTTTTTGGCGCAAAAGTACGCTCGTTACTATAGTCCCGTCGGCATTCCGGCCGTCGACGGCAAGAGGGTGCCCTGGGAGGACCCAAAGGAGCGCAACACCAAGAAATATCCCGACGACAACAATGCCAGTTTTTGTGGCGCGTTACACTGCCAGCGCCCCATGCCCACGTCTGGGTCGTCCCTCAAGGACAGGGTCCCTCCTCAGTGTGGCGTCTGCGGCACCAATCTGAGCGAGAAGAGACTGGCTCGTGAAAGATCCCGGGACGAGGCTCTCTTCCACTGCGGAAGCTGTGGTCACGATATTTGCATCAATTGCGGACGGAGCTGGATCGAGCGACACTGCGATTGCTGCGAGAGGGTGGTCGGGGTGCCGCCAACGGAGAAGCTGGCAAACACGTCGTCCTTTAGCTGCTGGGTCTGCGAGTCGGACCAGACGGAGCGGCGACTCGAAAAGAAGCACGCGCAGCAGCTCAAGGGCGGGGACAAGGACACGTTCCGGTGCGGACAGTGCTCCACGTCCATCTGCCTCGAGTGCGGCAAGCCCTCGACGTACACCTTTGAGCCCAACTATGGCCTCGTGCGCAACCTGTGGTACAAGTTTGTCGACAATTATTGGGATCCGCCCGAGCTTTATGGCGGCTTTGAAAAATACCTGCGGCGCGAAAGACGTCTCGGTATCCCCCAGTTTGATCTCGAGGACTTGTATACTCCTGCCCATGTTATAAAAGACGACAATGATGACGATATGATGCTGTACGATGGGGTTGCGCCCAAGCTGGCCAAGAAGGCTGATGAAGAGGAAGAAAAGAAGAAAAAGAGGGAGGAGAAGAAAAAGAGGGAGGAGAAGAAAAAGAAGAAGGGTAATGAAAAGGACGATACAGAAGACACCGAGGAGGAGGAGGAAGATGAAGATGAGGACAGTGAGGAAGGCGGCCAGGGAAAAGACAGCAATGCAAGTGGAACGTATTCTTCGGCTTATGGCCCCGTCCCCGGCCTCATACAGCCAAAGAAACCAAAGCGACCAGTCGCCTCATACAATCAAGATTTCAAAATCCGGCGTGTCGAGTTTGGTCGCGAGATCCCGCCGCCTCAGGGCTACGATGACTTTTGGTATGCCGAGAACAACAAGAGGCTCTACAACATGGCCTCGGCCTGGTCAGAAAAGTACTTTGCCAAGAACGAATTCCCCGTGAGGTACGACGGCAAGACATGGCTATGCGGGCTCAATGAGCAGTTCATAAACTATGCAAATATCGTGGCACATGAGGACCCCTTCTTTGGCCCCCATGACGGCTATCGACACGATGGATGGGAATACATGTTGAGGGATAGAAGCAATAGGAAATGGCTCATCATGTCGATACTGGCACAGATTATCGAAAAGAAGATTTTCGTCGAGCTTCTCTTCGGTGCTACGCCTGCCGAGCGAAAGAAGTTAGATGAACAAGACAGTGAGAACCTTGATCACGACGGTAAGTTTTCCTCGAGGCAGATCATGTATAACAGACACGTAACAGTCAAACAGGTTACCGCCGAGCCGCAGCACGTTCGCACTTGATCAACCTCATGCTGTCACGCAGAGTGGTGCCGCAAGACTTTTACAAAAAGGTGGACGAGTTAACTTCGTACACGGCCAAGATATTCCAGGACATTTTTACAATTACAAACTTGCTCGATGACGGATACTGTCAGCGTCGCGCGGTCGCCGGCACCAGAGACAAATTCGAGGTGGCGCGGGAATCTAACATTGCCTACATGTACACTGAACTTCACTACATAATCTCGCACGCCGCGTACTTTGCCGTGTGCATGCGCCGCTCTGCCTCGGTCTTTCACTTCCTGTCGGCGACACCGGCAGCACGCATGGACTACCCCATTGAAGCCCAGGCCAACTATGACTTGTACAAGCTCTCCAAGGACGAGGCCGACGTGGTGGAAATCGTGCGTTCCGAACAGGACAAGGCCGAGATCGCGGCCGCCAAGGCCAAGGGTTCGGCTACCGCACAAGAGATCGAGGACCTCGAACGCGAAAAGAGGCTGTCGTCGCACCACTGGCTCCGCGGCGCCAAGGTCAAGTTTGCCGTGTGGCCCATGATTACACGGTACCGGCCCGAAAACGTCGGCAGACCAATCATCCGTGGCAAGGTACCGTACCACCTTCGCGGCAAGGACTGGGTGGCACCGACCGTGGACCAGATCGAGTCGGGCGAGGGCCAGCGCATCGTCGAAATTGGCAAGTGCGTCGTCGTTTACTACCAAGGCATCATATACCCGCGCAACGACCAGCCCGGCATGGTCTTTGAGGAGGACGGCCGCTCCCTGCTCACGTATCTGGCCATGGAGAGGCCCGCGCAGACCACGGCGCGGTGGCGGCACGTCAGCAGGCTGTACTTTGCCGCCAGACTGCTCGGCGTGGCCCTGCTGGTCGCCGCGTACGCTCGCCGCGACTGGGTGGCCGAGCGCTGGGTCGACATTGTCAGATTCGTGCTGGCGCTGCCCATTGCCTACGCGCTCGTCACTGTGCTGACGAGCGCGCGGAGGTTCCGTGACATCATGTCGAGCTCGGCCAGAGTCCTGCTTGCGCTGGGTCTGGGGCTGCTGGTGCCTCTCAGCGTGTACTTGCGGCTGCCCTACTTGGTTCGACTGGCCAATGACTTGTCCCGACCGCTCGCAAACGGGGTTCCGAACACGACGACAACGGCCGTGATTGCTTCCCTGGTTGGTCTTGGGCTGCGGCGGACGAGGAGCCTGACTTCCTCCATCATGTATGGATCCGCGTTCTTCTGGGTTCTGTGGTGGTATTACAACAGTGCGTTGCCACGGATTGTAGCGCAACTCGACCAGTTGGCCGTGATTGCAGCTATCAAAATGCATCTGCCATGGGTGGCTGCCACGTCACGGAATTTGATAGGTAAGGTGGTGATCGAATAGTTGTTGTTTATTTAATTCACGGTAGTGGCAGTTTTGGAAAAAGGCTTTACAGTTACTCGAACATGGTTATTCAACTCGCATTCATGATTTTGGCATCTTTTCTTCCTCACCTAGTTGCACCAATGTCACATAGATATCAATTATTAGCAGCAATGTTCAAGCTGATTGCCCCGAGATTGGGAATAACAGTTGTCTTGTCCGAATAATGAGAGAACTTCTTCCATCACTCGCTGATATGATGGGACGCAAACAACTTTCGTGATCAAGTTGGATTGATTTCTGCAGGGGTATTATAACAAGACCATACGACCAACAACGCTATCTTCGGATTCTTGATCATAACAAATAGTTCCCAGGGCGGAAACATTCGAAAATGCCTACCTTTATTACTCCCTGTATTGGTTCACAAATATAATGGGAAAGGGAAAAAAGTTCAAGTACATGTACTTGCTTAATGACCGGAAATCGATAGCCGTTGTGAATGAGTCAGAAAGAGTCAGCGAGTCATCAGGGGCAGTCATGGGTATCAATCTGTCTATCTAGACTATCAAATGGGAGGTGCCTTGTCAGAGATCTGCTACATCCTTTAGGTGTAGCTTGTCCCATATCTTCATCCAAACTACAAAAAAATGGTGATAATTGCAGGACGCAGATGGAAGAAAAGGTTCGCGTGTTGATCGTGTTTGACTACGAGGTATGCTTTGTCATAATCTCCATAGGTAAACAGCCAGACAAAGTTGACCAAGCTGGACTCTTCTAACATTTGATTTATCGCAATGTGCAAGACAAGAAGCATTCGAGAAGCCAGAGGACTGTACTTTTCCACAAGGATTCTGTCTCGTCCCGCCGACGTAATCCAACAATACAGATAGGCTGTCTCCCCAATAGCACGCGCGTGTTCATCTTGTTGAAAGACCATGACTCGAATCCGGTGAAACACTTCTCCGGATCCAGCGAAATACTGACAACTATAAAATCATGGCTTGCATGCATTCTGCACAACCAAGGGGCAATGAGTCGAGAGTACTATTCGACAATCGAGAGGCGAACCAAGCGATGATGGTGGGAAGAAGCTAGAGATCATTTCCACTTTCCCCAAGGGTAGTATCTTGCATCAGGAGGCAAGCGACTACAATACACTGTACTGTACCAAACCAGCTTCGAGGCACTATGCGCCGCAGATCAACATCCGTCGTCGGTATCATCGGAACGTGGGCCGACACGGGCGGCTTTGTGTCCTCGCTTGGCAAAGAACAGGGTCACGCATCATTTCAATCTACTCCTCTACACCTAGCGAGGATATGATGTCGAGGCAGAGCCGGGAACTTTCAAGACATGTTTCTAATTCTGTCATGGCGTTTGAACAGCCGCTCGCAGAGGAAAATGAATATCGTCTACAAGAGTGGAGTCAACAGGTGGCATATCTGGGGAAGGATCATACTATTCACGCGAGACATTATATGAATGAAACTGATCCGAGGGAACTAAGCCTCTTGCCTGTGTCCGCGAGAGTGGTTACTGCTGACGAAAAAGAAAAAGAGCCCCATGTTTGATTTCATGGTCCACCAATCGTGGCGATACATTACTGCTATTTTCTTTGGGGCTGAGTTCTCCCCCCCAAAACCCCACAAGCGCATTGATCATGGTACTGCCACCCTGGTTCTCTTAGACTATTGAACTATTTTTTCACCAAATCTGGGAGAGATTGTTGGACATTGGAATTGTTGGATGAAAATCGAGAAAATCGGAGAGAATTTTGCTACTACCATTTGCGTCTTTGAAGTAACCAGTGGTAGTTCACAGTCATGAGAATCGGAAGACGAGAGCTTGTGAAAGTCCCCTACGGATAACCCTTTGGGTACTGCCGCCGTTGGCGTACTGCCGGCGGCAATACTTGTTTATTACCAAGGTTAGACTTTTGCCAATAGTGCATCCAAAATACTATATAGTATAGAAGGAATTTGACCCAGCCCCCGATCTACAAATTACACACCTCTAACTGTGTGGTACTGAGGATCACTACATACACTTGAAACTTGGCGATTGCAAGCGCTCTAAATGTCAAATTAGGGCAGACTATTATCATCTAGTCGCCCGTGCGTAGTGTATATATAGATGTTTAGGTTGATTGGGACAAAAAGGACCAAGACTAGAACTGGGTGGACGATGAATGACCCACACTGGCTCAAAGGTTCCTTTGCAGAGCCCTATTGCCAGGAGGGTAAGTCATATTTTTGGTTTTCCAAGGCCTGCTGATGAATAATGTGTTGAACGGAAAGAAAGACAGACAAGGCAAATGGTGCTTGGCTCCTCCGGCCATGACTTTGACCGCGGTGATCTCTAGACGAAATTTCATGGAATTCTGCAGTCCAAGCATGTAAGTTTGTAAGTGCATGATTAAGACATGGTGATGATGGTCAAAGTATAGTACTTGAGCCTGTCTAGTCACCTAGTCAACTACATGTATTACATGCAAGGGAGTAGAAAAACTACCGAGAATTACATTCAGGCACTGAAATGTAGTAGCATAGCGTACGATGTGGGCAGCAAAGTTTGATAGGCAGTGTACCGTGGTCAATGATTCACCCGTAGCAGATTTGCAAAGGAAGCCATGAATTGAAAGATTGGACAGGATGATCGGCTATACTCGAAGCAGAGAACCGAATCTCCGAAACGATCAAGTATATTAGTCAGATTTAGTCAGACGTATAGTCATTAACGCCTAGCTAAACGCCTATGTATGCATCATCGGGAAAGTGGACGAAGCAATGGCGACATGTTTCCGACGCTATCGAAGGGCGCCGGCCTCCTTGCACTTGTCAGACGATCAAGTCGGCCAAGCACAACCGAGCAAACCTTAATTACCTCTTGAGATGGAGGGACGGGCAGCGTCCCGATCAACGGTCAAATTTGTTCGGGCGCATCGGCGCGGCTGCAAACGGCGCTTTTCCGCAAAGACTGGTTCAACGGCCAGGTCCTCGTCGTTCTTGAAAATCTGGCATTGGCCCATATACGGCCTCGTGGTTCCGTACACTCCCGGCGGTCCATCAGCCGCTATACTCAATGTTTACAACAAGAGGAGAGACTACACGGTAGATTGACTCTTATTCTCACTAGTCCTTTCCCCCCTCATGTGCCTCTTAGAATCGAACCTGATATAATCGCATTATACATTGCTTGTTTCTCCACCGCCTTGCGGCAAAGTGCGGGTGACATGATACCACACCAACTAGAACCTCCATCCACCGTGGATGGCTGCCATTGAAATTGCGTTTAGTCCCCTGAACCTGCCGAGTATGCTAAAGGTACAGTGCATGAGTCGACTGGTGCGAGAAACGGAAACTCTCTTCATAGGGAGTCGACTATCGCAGACTCGACTCATGACCAAGAGTGGTATCGGCATTACTTGCATGTGGCAAAGCTGCAAACTGCAGCAAGGGATCCCGTTTCAACGGTCAGCCGGAGGACCGGAAGCATAACAGCTATAGAACTGCACCATAAGCACTCAAAAGCTGCTCGTCGAGGCTCTTGCCGAGTACACACAAAGCATATGATTGCGCGGTCGACTTTGGCTCGGCGGCATGCCTACGCAGACGGACGAGGCGGTGATGACAGAACCACATGGATTGGCCTTTGTGCGCATCTATGAGATATGAGAACGACCGAGCTGCATCACCATCCACCCCTCCTCACCCCTTCTCTTGTCCTCTGCAGAATCAGCACATGGTGGTGGTGTCTCTCGTGACGAGGTCATTGTGACAAAAGTTTGGAATTTATACGGATATGAAATCCGCAGTATCAAAACTAAGCCCGAAGAAACAAGGTTCCCAATTGTGCGGGTTTGTCAGCTTTGCAGGCGTTGAGTTCCTCACATATACAATCGTGAACTTTTCCGACTGCTCGATCGTAGGGCTGTAGGGCTGTGGCTGTGCTGTGCGGCGCTGCGGAATTACCACGTACGTACTAGTTTTACCAGAAGGGGGCTGGGCCCATTCTTTTGTGCTGTATAGCCTTTAAAAAGGAAAAAGGAAAGGGAGCTCTAGCTTGGGGGCAGAATGAGCCCTGCCCCTTCTGGTACTTCCATGATTGCCTCCTTTCCCTGGAAGGAATAACGCACATGCAGTGTCTTTACCAACCCCGGCACTGGGTCCCAGAAGCCCAGGATGTTGTTCTTATCCACAGTGCTGGGAATCTGGACATGGCTATCGTCGACGAGAGCCGCCAATGCTGTGGTGACATCAGCCACCTCCTCGAGACCCCAGGAGTCGTCCTTCTTGACACCATACTTGGCACTCAATATAACCAGACCGTGCTTGGCACGCTCCATGGCCTGCCTAGCCTCCACGTTGGCTGATAGGAGAATGGTTATATCGTCGGCTTCAGCGCGTCGATCCTGAACCATATCAGCCAACTGATTGCGCGCCTGAAAACTTGCTGCTTGATGCCGTCGCCAGCGCGAGACAAGATCCCATGCTGCAAAGCTCATAAAGGGTATCACTACAGTCCAAAACAGCAGTCGCGGGCTGGACGTTGAGTGAAAGCTCGTCCACAGAGGCAGTCGAATTCTCTGGCCGAGCCGCGACCAGTAGAGGGATAGATGCAAGTGGTAGGCGCCCAGGCCAAATTCAAATCCAAGCCTTGAAAAGCGCCCGACTCGCCTCAAGCACCGCAATGCCAGGAACCTGGACCAAATCCAACCCGACGAGATTTCGGCCTCAACACGAATGGGCCGGCTGGGTGGTGCAATGTGCGCAAGTTGCGTCGGCTCACGACCGGGGCTTTTCATCCGTGCTAAAGACCACGTTGACTCGTCCACATCAATCATGTACTTGACAGAGGCACCAACTCCCCGCGTCTCTGCCGCGGTTGACAGAGCCCAAGATCCTTGGAACTCAGGAATCTGAAGGCAACCAGGTAGGCTGGAGCTGTACTCGAGTCGTGGGGCTACGCAAATAGGAATCAAACTCAAAAACTGTCGGTTGAGAATAGAAAAACGGGCGAAACCACGTGCTCCGGATTCGAATAGGTTGGGTGACCCCATGTCGAACTTCACACCAAGACCGAGGATACCATCCATCTTGCCAATCCAACGGCATATCTTGACAGGTTCGAGACCAATCTTATCGAGATACTTGCTGACATGTTCTCTCTGCACCGGTTGATGGTAGGTTGCGTCCTGCTGACCGGGATTATCATTGTCCAGTAGGTGCTGGCTACAAGAGGCAAGCGGCAATCGCCAGAGCTGGTAGATTTGATATCGACCGGGCTCATCTAGCACGAGATCAGCGGTATTGGTCTCGTCCACATGTTGCAACAGTCGCCTGTCAGGACCAATGAGTTGCTCAAATGCATCCTGAACCAGAGTCAGGTAGACACTAGCGGCTTTGCGGAGCTTTGGAGGATGGCTATCTGGATAAATCAAGACAAGGAGTCTGAAATATGCACGACGGATCTGTTGAGCAGAAGGGTTCCTGGGCAGCACAAGGAGGTCATATGGGTCAATGACGCCGTCTCGTAGCCACAGGGCCGAGGAGTCATAGTAGTCTACTATTTGTCCGGGATAGATATCGCGGCCATCTTGTCTGTCGTCGCGAAGATACTCCTCAAACGCCTCAGATGCAATCGTTGACCGATCAAATGTGGAAGCCCCGTCGTCGAAACCAAATTCAAACTCTTTGCGGGTGGCTGCAAATTGCTCGTTCAAGGAATAACGAGAGGCAGTGGAGCGTAGTCCCAAGGACCCCTGGCCAAATCCGTAGGCTTGTGACTGGGCTGGTGTATAGTCATCGTTGTATACAGCCGACGACCTGGTGGACGCGTTGCGTGACGGCCCCTGCCAGCGGTTCCGGAGACTTCTGGCATCACCAGCCGTCAGACGCGTGGACGCGGCGTCCGACATTGTGGCGATGGATTCACAGTGGCTTCCGGTGTAAGATTGACTGGAACCTCCGAGTGGAGCGTTGCGGACCGGAATTGATGATGGTGATGACAAAAAGATCCTGGAGAACCGGGGTCGGCTAGTTTGGAAGGAGCGCAGGTCTGGCTGTGCTTTCCTGGGGCGTCATGCGCATATAGTCGTTTCAAGCGAGTGTGTGCAAAGATCAAGAGGTTTTGCGACAAGTTGAGCATTCTCTGTCATCTGGATTGAAACCTTGGGTGCGGTCTCCAACTTTTTTTTTTCTTCCGTCTCCAAAGCCCAAAACCAATTCGCTGCCCCTCATCAACAAAGGCATTTTGCTCAAGCAGTAGCCCGCCTCACTTGAGCACTGTCCAAGCCAGGATATTACCAGACCTACCTAGTTTCATGTTATGGACAGGGATTGGCAATAGAGTACCCAGGTAAAATTCATGCATTGTTTTGCACGTTGGACCTGCTGGACCTGTCGCTGGATTGTTGGTTGACTCGACAAAAGTTGATGCGCCGACGAGTATGGAGATGTTTTCTTGTGGTTTGTTTGATTACTCGCACCTCTTTCCAATCCATGTAGCCACGTTCCGCATAATTACGGGGTTTAGAAGATGACGCTATTGCATCTGTCTGACATTGGAACGCTTGCGGTGGGCGGATGCGACAGGGGGGGTTTGTTTCTTTATTGCTAGGTTAGTGACTTGTAGCGTTCTATAGCGGGAGATGATAACCTCATCAGGTAACCACTACCGTACTTGGAAGTTATTCTTGGAATTCACGATACCCAAAAGGGATACCCGACGGCACAACTTGTCTGGGGGCGCTGAATTAGTCATGAAAGATGGACATTACCATGTAATTCCTGCGCCAACTTCCGAGGCGCCTAGGAGTCTGGACCAAGTTGGCTTGCTACTGTGGTACGCCGGCGAAAGGCTACCTAGGTAGAGAGACACAGTAGCACCTAGAGTGTTGTGCCGGTGGTTTGTTGTAGTAGGTAATAACGGTCATGTTCTTGGTGACGTCGTGACTGCCGATGGTATGCAGGCAAAAGAAACCCTCCGGAAAGGCTCCGGGTGGGTTGAGCACATGATGAATAGTGGCAGATTTTGGTGGCCCGGCAATCAGACTGCCCTAGGACCTAGGACTCTAGCACTAGCTAGTGCAATCATAGCCACGCCCTTTTGTTCTTTTTTTGACTCCTTCTAGTGCTTCTAGTAGAACCATAGTTGGACTGCGTATACTGCTAAAATGAAAAGGTCAGACAGTAGGTAATCAACCCAGGTTAGATGGGAATGGAATGGGGTGGTAGAATTGTTAGCCAGACCGCTCCTGCGGGAGTTATCAGGCCCGCATGGACAGATGCTTTTCGTAGCCGTACGCATACTGCCATCCGAAGAAGAAGAAGAAGCGAACGGTTTGCTTTCTTCAACTCGTTGCCGCGATGTGAAAAGAAAATGACTGGATAGTAGACGAACCGGCCCAAGTAGGTCGGAGAAGTCCCAATATCGCATCATGCACTTTGAGCCAATGACGACGAACCGTTCCAGTTGCGACTTGAGCAGCGAAGACCAACAACCCCCACCCCAAAGCAGGTCGACCTGCAACCGACTGACCGAGCGAGCCAATGGTAACAACTTGTTAAAGCATGGCCAGACGTGCTGTGTGTTGTGTTGTATGTACGGAATATTCATCCGAGCTCAATCAGGACCTTTCATTCAGTCTACCCAAACTCGGAAAATTGGAGATGTCCAAAAGAACCATGAACCCAGGACCGTGGGTTATTAAAGAATGTCCAAAATAATCATTGAAAACTGGGCTGGGTGAACCCTTGCTTGTTAGCTAATTACCAAATAGAGCAAGACTCCTTAATAGGTTAATAGGTGGTGTGTGTTGTGTGTGTGTGTGTGTGCGGCTCGCAACCAAGCGCAAGGTCCCAGTGGCTCGAGTGGTTCCAAGCTGTCAAGGTCTCGCATGACTCCAGATTTCAGAGTCCACATTGCGAGCCGGGTGGAGCCGGCAACTAAAATGCGGCCGCAAACTCCGTGAATGGTGACATAAGCAAAAGCAAGCTACTACGTACCTTGTTCGCAGCAATAAGTTTACACTATGGCAAGAGCACAAGCAAAGCAACCAAAAAAAGACAGTGGAACAGAAGGAGCCCAGCCGAGACATTCAAAAAAGGTCGGGTCACTTTGCGGAAGGTACCGTGGCTTATCTGATCATGGTTTATTCAACAAGAGGAAAAAACAAGCGAGAAAAATTTCCATAAAATAACACATGAATAAATTATACCAGGGACGAGATCCTGCCAGAGAGACAACCACCACCATAGAGCAAGGGGGAGAATAGGGCATGGCCGTTGGACTTCCCCTTCTCATTGCTCAATTCGACTCGTAAACCCTCCCAATCATCGACCTCTCGCTGCCCATCATCGATCAGCAAATCCCGTCAGGCTGTTTCCTATGCGTAGGTAACTTCTGCCCTGTGGATCCTATCCTGTCCCAGCCCTAGGACTAGGACTCTACAACTACTAGGTTCGCGACTACCACCACCAGGGGGGGCCAGGAGCCTCTTCGAACAGGGGCCAAGTGTGGGCTTGGATGCGATAGTATGTAAGTACAGTACATACATGCGTATCATTCTGGGAGGGGGGACAAAAATGACTTGTCCCCAGGTAACTCGGCCGGCTTCAAATGGCTGCCGCCGCGGCTGCTTCTCAATCTGGTGCCTGTGCTCGTGCTCGCGTGGCTGACGATCAATGGGCAGGCATATGAACCACCAGACTGATTATTAGTCCGACCGTCCGGCGATCGTCGCTAACCATTAGCATTCTGTCATGCGAATCCACTGCCCTTAACCCAACGGCGACGTTTCGTACCCTAACTCTATATGTTGATCGTGCTTGCTGGGGAAAAATCAGGCCCCGCTGCTGCTGACTGCCACTGGACCCTTGGCCTGAAAGAAGAGAGGAGTACCGTAGTAGACTGTAGTAGTCTAGAATAAAGTGAGTAGGACTAGACCGGGTGCGCAGAGACAATAGTATTTCGTTAACAAGGACCCAGCAAAGACCGTTTCCTCGATCCGGTCTTCAAAAATATCCCTGAAACTTTACATCCTCACAGGGCTGAGAAATATTGACCTGCAACCTACCTACGCGACCTCACGCCGTCTCTCATCGCGCTCCTCTTTCCGTCTGACTGCGGGCCCCCTTTTTCTTCTTATTTCACTGCAAACCGGATCCGGCGAATTTACTACTACTGGCAACCATTCCCATCTTTGACCTGGATCAGTCTCGTCGGCTGTTTGGTGCTCAAGCAATTTTACTCAGTGCACTGCCCGTTGCCCAAAAGAAAAAAGAACCAAGCCTGCGCCAGGACTCTCTCACGTACTTATATCTATAACATCCGGCGAGTTTGCTACAATAAGCCTCTCGGTATAAACACGATTCGGCCCCCGGATGGGACACTCGCTTGGGTCACTCGTCCTTCACGCAAAGACTACCCAAAGACAACAGTGTTTATACTTCTTATTTGCTTTTCTTTGCTTGTTGAATAATAACCGGTTGTGATGCCCGCCGTCATGGCCCTCTTTCCCCACGATGCTGGTGTTGGCGGTGGTGCAGCGGCCGCAAACCCGAGAAAGGCCAACCAAGCGTGTTATTCATGCCGTAAGCAGGTCAGTCACTATACACACATGGCGGTGTTGTGTGGAACCCCTCATGTGGTACAGACGACGAATGCTGACACTCGCCGCAGAAGCGCAGATGTGACAAGGCCTTGCCCGCGTGCTCCTTATGCTCTAGAATGGCACGGCATTGTGATTGTGAGTAATCAAATCATCCTTCGTGGCGAACATCTTTCTCGGGATCATCACGTTGTCGCTTCATTTTCATGCCTCTGTCCCATCTTATTTGGTACCATGAGGAACCCAGAAACACGAATCGTTGGCTGACCAAATTACGTCCCAACGTCAGACTCCGAAGTGCAGCCCGCTCCGACTGCCGAGGATTTCGCTTTGCTGCAAGAGAAGTTGCGTCAGCTGGAAGATCGATTATCTTATACAGGGACCTCCTCGGATGTCAGCGTCGGTCACCTTAGTCCGCCAAGCGCTCCAATATCACATGCTGGCCATACGCCTCAACTCTTAGGCAGAGAACCGTTATGGCAGCACGGTCTGGGCAGTTTTCCAGCTGCAGCCTTTCTCGATTCACGGATGTTCCAATGGAGTGGGTTGCAAATACCCAAACCATCCGGTGACATACCACCTGTAAGTGCTGCGACACCTGTGTACGCTGGGTATGCACCATCTATGAATCCACCGTGGCAATCAACTGCTCTGTAGGAGAGACTCATGTTCTTATCTATCGCCATGTCTGTTGTGCTACTGAAACACGAGGTTGATTCCTACGATAGTCGTTTGATCTTGAAAGACTGAGGCTGACTTAAGAACCCTCATCTGCAGGATGTATTGCAATGCATTGGCAGTGCAGATGACTTGGGGCAAATACTATCCGACTATTTTGGCGACATACATCCCTGGTTTCCCATTGTGCCAAGAAAACGGATGACATTGAGCTACCAGATATGGGAGGCGGGCAGTGATATCGCCTTGCTGCTACTGGCAATGAAGCTCATTACCTCACAGCCGCAGCGCGGTTTCGCAGCGTCAGAAAACTACCTCTATACAGCGTCGAAACGATACGCGGCTCTGCTCGAAAACGTAGGAACTACTTCGATAGTGTACTTGCAGGCTATACTCCTAATCTCTCTTTACGAATACGGCCAGGGGGTATATCCAGCTGCGTACATGACAGTCGGCCAATGCATTAGATACGCCGAGTTGCTGGGGTTGCCTTCTTACAGGAACACTAGTGCTGTCCTGGGTCATCCTGTCAGTTCTTTCTGCCATTCTCTCTTCGAATAAAAGAACGAGACATGAATTAGAAAGAGGTAGAAAGATTGCTGACCATTACGCATATGCAGATAACATGGGCTGATGCCGAAGAACGCCGAAGGGTATGGTGGGGTGTATATATTATGGACAAGCTCGTAGCCCTGGGATCATACAGGCGGCCAATGTGTACTGAGCCGACAATGGACGAGCACCTTCCGACCGACGATAAGGCGTGGGATATGGATGATAGCTCAAGGGCATACCAGCGACCAGTGTCTTCACCCTTGTCGGAAGCACAGTCGCCATTTGCCCGGCTCTGCCAGTCAGCACTCCTGGCGGGACGAGCGCTTCAACACCACGCTGATCTAGAGCGACGCAAAATCAGTGGGGCGCGATACGATTTTACCGACGTTGGGCGGCTCCTTGAGGATGCGCACGTGCTATGTAAAGCAATGGGTCATGACTTCACATCCGACCCAGCATCATATTTTCATCTGGTGGCAGCCCGATGCCTCAACTTCAATGCCGTACTGCGGATGCTGGGCATGTATGCAACGGGTGAGTCGCTGCGCGGCGTTGGGTCCGAGTGGAACGAAGAGGAGATGGCGCTTCAGATGACGGCCATGGACGGCGTCAAGAAGACAGCAGCTCTAGTGCGCGACTTTGCCGCCGATTTATTTGCCTTTATCTCGCTCGATGAGGACGTGGTTAAAACGCCGCCCATTGTGCTAGACGCCTTTTACCTGGCGTCCAAAGCCCACCACGATGCATGGAAAGAAACGGGCGACCCAGTCGCTGAGAGTAGCCTCGAGACCACCCGAAAGTGCCTCGTTCGCCTCAGTGGTCGATGGCGCCTTGGCAAGGAGTTGCTGGACATGCTCGAGACCCATGAAATGAATTATATTGTCGGCGCCAATTTCCATGACGATAAACTGGGTGGTATCCCATTGGTGTACCCAGTCATGTCGTAGGGACTGATACAAAACCCAAGCATGGTTGTGTTGGGCCGGATTTGCGATACGAAAAAGGGGAGGGAGAGAAAAGCGCGGAGGAAACGAGAACTCGAAGACTGGCAAGTCTGTTTTATGGATGAACGAAATAGCATTGCTTGGCGTCTGTATTGCATTGTGATTACTATTATTCCCCCAGGCCAGATTATTAGCATTATCATTTTCCCTGGGCATGGCTAGATATTTGGATATGTCATCTATGGCTGTAAATAAATTGTATAAGTAATCCGATTACGCATGACTGAAATCTGTCATGAGCATCTATTCAGTGCACAAGCAATAGAAAATGGGCACCTTGGATCAAAAGCAGTTCATTATTGTGACTTCCCGTGTCGCCGTCTAGGTCGCTAATCTAGCTCTAACAAATAAGCGGGAAAAGGGTAGTAGAATACACGTTGTCTAGTAGTAAATCTAGTGTTGCAAAACACTCTAGAACTTGTACACTTGGTCCTTGGAGTAACCGAGCTCCTGGAGGATACCAGTCAGCTCGCCCTGGTCCTTGGGGCTGACCTTGGCGCCAGAGACAGCCTTGTACAGGCCGGGAGGACCGCACACAAAGACCTTGATGTTGTCGCTCTTGGGCTCGGGAAGGACCGTCTTGAGGAGGTCCTTGGTGATGAAGCCCTTGCCGCCGGCCCACTCCTTGGGTGGGTTGTCAAGGACGTAAAAGGCGCGGAAGCGCTGGGGGTAGGTGTTTTCGAGGTCCTCAAACTCGCGCTTGAGCAGAATGTCCTCCTCGGAAATGTTGCCAAAGACCAGGGTCACCTTGGTCTTGTCCTCGGGGTTGTTGAAGATGCCGCGGGCCAGCTGGTACATGGGGGTGATGCCGGTGCCTCCGGCAATCAGGGCAATGTGCTGGTGCTTGTTGGTCTCCCAGGCGTACTTGGGCAACGGGCCCTTGAAGTCCAGTCGTTGACCGGGAACCATGTCATGCATGTGTGTCGACATGGGGCCGTTGGGGTACTTCTTGACGATCAACTCGAGGTAACCTCTGGTGTCTGTTGTGTTTGTCAGCATGGCGCATTTGGCGGCAGCGGATTTAAACCAAAAATAAACCACCCAAAACTTACCCTCGTCACTGGTGGGAGTGTAGGGTCGGAGAACAGGCTTCTCGGCGCCAGCATCCTTGAACTTGGTCAAGAGGGCGCTGGCCACCTTGAGACCCGAGACCATGTCATCCTCGGGGAGCTTGAAGCGGAATTTCTTTGTGTTGTGGTTGATGATCTCAACGTCTTCCAAGAGCAACGAAATGAAACCTTGGTCGCCGCCGGTGAACGCCTCCTTGGCCGGACCGCTCGCAATCTTCTTCTCGGCCTGCTGGGCGACGCTCTTGCCCTGCGGCGTAGCGAAGAAGTAGTATCCGGCACCACCGACAGCGGCGGCACCCGCACCGAAGACCAATGGGTTGGTGCCCTTCTTTGCGGGCTCGGTTGCGTAGGATCGCGAAGAAATGGCCGCCTTGAAGACATCATGTTAGCCGTGAGTATAACATTTCCCCCACCCTAACAAGAGCTACGAGACGCGAAAGCTCAGAGGAGCTTGGGTGGTTGGAGCTTTGAAGCTTTGAAGCTTTGCAGAAGCTCTGGCCTGTCGGATTCAACTTACGCGCTTCAGCGGTTGCGCCGCTCTGAATGCTGCTCTCGAAAACATGGTGGGCGGTGGGATGTGCGGGAAAAAAAGAAAAAGGAAAAGTCTATCAGCAATTCCAAAGGCTGACTTCTAAACTCAATTGAGTGGTGGAATGGGTAGAAAAAGTCGAGGCGCGCGAGAAGAGGCTCCCCAAAGGCTCTGTCGTCAGTCTGCCGATCAATGGTGGGATCGGCAACCAGTAGGCCGAACTAAGCGTTGGATTCATGACGTAGACAAACAATCACGTGATGGCGATTTCTCTGAATGTGCTGATGCCCTCTCACCATCCAATGGCACTAAATTGTGCATGTCAAGAGAAATTATTTTCCCCCACGAGGTTGGGAAAAGATATGAATGAGCATTGCTGCCAATTTTTTTTTTTGGTCAGGCATATATCAGTAATGTTCCAGTATTGAAACAGCAAATTACGGTGGCTCTAGACTATCTTGCCAATTGCTTACACAGGGGACCGCCAGTTACTACCTGACAACCCGGGTAAGTGCTTGACGAAAAAGGCCAAAAAGATATGCCTGCAATAGAGATAGTGCAACTATCACACATTCAAATTAAACTTGACTCGAAACCGCGAAATTCAAATAGTGGTAAAATTGTCTGACTTGTTTCAAGGTATGCGCTTGATTTCCTCATCTTGTGTTTGTAATAGATGATCATGATGACTGATGCTATAGACAAAAAAAGTTTTGGTTGCATGCAAATGCTGTCTGTTGTATGTATGGATGGACAAATGAAAACCAGTTACATGCCGTTCATCAACGAATGTCGTTATTGGAACCATATCTCTCACATACCCAGCCATGGCTGCCCGGCAACCTGGCAAGATCCAAAGCATTGCCCCTCACATTCCTCATGAAGAGAGATTTCATACAATGCTACTGTCCATGTAGCTTCTCTTTCAAGTATACCAGGGCAGCATATCCGGAGCAGCACGAAGTCGTCATACCATGAGCACACCAAGGGCATCTGACCGTGGTGGTGATAGCTGCCGAAACACCAAGGAGCTTGTCTTCGATTACAGAGTCAGGCTTAGCCATGCATTCGTAGACTCTAGACGGCATATCGTGGAAAAAGTGGCAATTGCAGCATTGTACGAGCACCTTGGCCATTGGGTCGCCCTTCTTCTCCGACATTCCAGCTTTTTGATGAGAAAGCGAAACCCTCGGTGTGTACATTGGACGGACGGTGCGATTCGAAGGACCTCCAGGCGTCGGCGCAGCTTTGCGTGCTTCTTTCAAGTAGGCTGCGCCAGCGGAAATAATGCCCGATGCCTCCTGGCTGCTTGAGCTATCATAACGAGGCGGCTTCATGGCGGAACGAAGAGGGTGGGGCGTCTCAATCTCCATCTCAGTTGGTGGAGAATTGGGAAGGCTCACAGATGATGCTGCAGCTTTGTTCCTCTTCAATGTCGAAGATGGAAGTCGGTCATGGAGAAGGGAACTATTCGTGCTGAGGTCAATGGAGGACAGCGCCTTTGGCGCCAAGGGCTGTCGCTTCAATGGCCCTTCGTCATTCTCTGCTTCTTCCTCCAATAGCGGTTCTGCAAAAGCCCTCAGGCTTGGCGATCGTATGGATGAAGACCTCGACAGAACATGCTCAGGGGTTCCTCCTCGCGTTGTACCGTCAGAGTGTTCGGCATCCAGGGAAATTGTGTGTCTATCGCCAGACTTGTCCTGTACATGTGTCTCCAATCCTCTTGTTTCTGAGAGCGACAAGTCTGTCATTTTTGAGCGATATGTCCTTTTAGAGGGTCGCTCATCTCCAAGTTTTCCCTCATTTGTTCTACCTCTGGCAATATCCAGAGAAGAACCTCTCTGAGATTGTGGTCTAGAGATATCTGGAGTGGTTGCGGGTGATGGCGAGTGGGGTGGATCATTATGAGTGGATGAGGAAGACCTCTCGGAGACAGTCTGACTAGGTCCGTCCTCAAGAGTCACTCTGACCAGGTTGTTCTTTTCCAGAGACGTTGGTGCTGCTGAATAAGTGCCCAATCCATCAAGCGGCGGTACAAAACTCTCTCTGTCATGTGCAGAAAGGGTGGGCGAATCGCATATTTCTTCAGACTCTGTACCATCAATAGCTTTTTGCTGTTCCTTGTCACGAGCTTCGTCAATCCTCTCGCCTTCTCGAGTGGCGTCAGCATCCGTGACCCATACAAGATCCTCATCTTCATACATGTCCTCGACTGGCTCATTTTCCTGGCACTCGTCTTGTACGGGCGAGCGCAGTTCCAAAGATGGTGGCGCATAGGATTCCGATACGAAGGTGAAATAGTCAGATGGCTTCGGAGCTCTGTGCGTTTGGTCATCATATTGCGCCGCTGCGGTAGAGGTCTCATCGGTCTCGCTGAGACGGCCATCTCTCCTTGATGTTACGCGTGGCCCTCTCATCTCTGTGACGCGCGGGGACCGCCTCAGCTCACCATGGTCATGAGTTGACGCAGGTGGTGCAATAGGCTTCAGACCGATCCTGTTGGGCCCAAGCCCATTCCTGTCTCCCCTCCGTGAGTCAGGTCGAATTATGGTTGCATGGGCATGATCAGAAAATTTCTCGCTTTCCGTATGGAAACTATGAGACTCTGAGAGCTGATCAACTGCATCCGTATACACGCTAGCATAACTTCTATTGCTCCGGGGGCTCATGGCCGGGGAAGGTACTTCAGCCATCCGGACTTGAGGCTGGACAGGACTTTGTGGCTGGCCTACATGAACAAAGTTGCGCCGCGTTTCTTTGGCATGATGATCGTTGGAATTATCAAAAAGAGCTTGTCTCGGTGACGGTATCGGCAGCGCAGAGGACTCGGGCTGCTGACCTCCGGCCTGCATTTTCTTGTTCGGCGGTCGTCGTCGACTCTCATTTGCAATGGGCGCCTCTGGAACTTGATGCCTGGTGTACAAATGGCGAGTATTCACAAAATCTCCCCTCCCGGAGTCGCTGCTAGAGTCTCGCGACTGGAGAATGTTTGCTTGAACCTGAAGCTGTCTTCCTCGAATTGTTTGTCCTCCTTCACGTTGATCATTACTTTGAGGGACATTAGGCGCAGCCGCAGGCACTGCATGGGTCGCGCTCTGGCTCACTGTATGCGTATCTGCCAGAGACTCGGTCTTTCCAGCGGATTCGGGGCGCTTCTGCGTCGCCTCTTCGCTCGAATCCGAGTGTTTGGCGTACAAGTATGAGGGTCCTTTCAGCCTAGCCAGTAGAGAGTTGCTGCGACCATGGTTGGATGATCTGCGTTCCTTTGTCTGCTTCAACTCTTGCGATGACTGCGATTGCGACGAGGAAGAGTTTGACAAGATGGAAGGCGGCTTGCGCGGATTTAGAAAATCCATGTCACCTCTTTGTCCGGACTTGTGCAGGGCGTATGCTGTACCCGCCCGAAGTGAGCTTACGTCTTCCATGCTGGCCCTGGCACTGGAATCTGTCTTCTGGCTGGTGTTTGAGCTATTTCCGGGCAGTCTGAAGCCGGAAAAGAAACCTTTGCTCTTGGGCTTGCTGTTCTCCTCTGCCGCCGGGTGCTTCAAGAGGTTATGGTGATTTGTCATGGAGTCGGGAGGATAGTGACTGGTGGTACGGCTTAAATTCCTGTCGCTGAGCTTCTGATGTTGATCCAACTCAGGAGCGGACAGGGACCGTTCAGTCGATATTGAAGGTCGGCCCTGGGCAGTACTTTGCGGGGGTGCCTTGCTAAGCCTCCTGGTAAAAGATTTTCTGCCGGCCTTCTCTTGGCGATTCTCCTCCTTCTTTTTCTCGGCGGCTTCGCGCTTCTTGTCCTTCTTCTTGCTCTGACCATAAACAGCCCAGCTGGGCGATTGGCAGATGGATGATTGATCAGAAAATTGGGCTTCTTCTTCGTCTCCTTCTGGCTCCGAAAAAGTCACAGTCTTTGTCCGTTCGACAGTGTCCTTAGGAGGTTCCTTCTGGGGGCCTGGCTCAATGGGCGATTGCGCATCCTTCTCGTCATCTGTCCTTACAGCAACAGCCGAGGAAACAGAGTGCGGGACGGAAATGGAAAGCGAAGGCAGAGCAGAGGCCCTGCGGGAGGCTTTCATCATCATATGCGGGCGCTGGCGAGGGGCAGGCGGAAGAGCGCTGGCATGCCGAGCTTTCAGTACCGGATTAGGCTGTGCGGAAGAAGCTGATCTTGTAATGGGGGCTCCTAGTGGTGTGAGCGGCGGTGTTGAACCAATGTCTTGTAGTCGCTGAATCTATAGAGCGCAGAATCAGCTATGAGTGGTGGGCGGAGTTGGGGAACGCAGCCAATGCCAACACGAAGCGAGGCTCCATGGCAGAGTCGCAGCCGGGAAATACACACCTTGTATTTTTTTTCCAGCGCGAGCATCCGGGTGAGACTTTCCGCCCTCATCGGTAATTCGGGTTTTGCATTCTGTAGTGTCGTCATATTGCCGGTGACGCGGCCAACTAAAAGAAGGGCGATCCGGTAATGTGTTTCAATCTGGAGAAGGGGACAAAAAAAGAGACCCTTGGTTAGGGAGTATATCTGCGTATTCTGAATACGGATGGGATTTCCAGGGGTGCGGCGTTGCCGGTGAAAGCCGCGTCCACAAAATGTGACAGTAGACAGACACTGGCGCTTCGTTGATGCGCTCCTGTCGCATGCAGGAATGTATTGAGGAGATGATCTGGAAAAGTCTCGGAGCCGGGATAGAGGCGGTGACAGTGACACCTCAGTGGCCGCGGGGGGTGAATGTAGAATGGAATGCAAAGCTGCCTTGAATGGCAGCAAATTGCACTATGTACTTTCCGTACGGCCGGCTGATATTTTCTTTGATTAGATGTGTTGATTTTTGCCGAGAGCTGGGCCGGGGAGCCAGCAACCTTCTGTATTCCGTTGCGTCTTCTAGAACGACAAGCGAGTCGCTCGATTGTGAAGTCGGAATCACGATGCTAGCAAGTTGCAATGTGCGCTTCCAAGGTGCTGGGCAAAACTTGAAAGGTACCTAGGTAGCTGGCAGTTGATGTTGAAAAGTGCTTCCTGTAGGGTCACCTAGGTAGGTAGATATCCAAGAAGACTCAGATTTCCTTGTACATTGGTAGGCGTGACAGTTGGCACGGAAAAGAGTCAGCGGCCAACTAGTGCCAGAATTGTTTGTTGATGCCACGCCGCCAGCCAGATGAAAGATTTAGTATGGAAAGAGAAGAAAGTAAAGAGCTGGGATAGAGTTCAAGTGATTAAAGAAAGAAAAGAGAACAGAAAAAGGCCAGTGTTTGGCTTGTGAGAATTGGCAGTGCGCACACTCGCATGTTTTTTTTTTTCGCCTCTGATGTACTTCTGAAGCGGCGGCAGGAAGCGAGCAAAAAAAGGCATGAACCCTCGCTTCAGCTTACATCTATAATGTGTACCTGGGTGAGAGGAGCGATATACCAATACTCGCCGACCAGACCTACCTACCTTACATACACGATGACTTCAACACGAGATGTCCAGCCGAAAAAGGTGCCACTAGGCCAAACCAGGCGGAGAGACTAGACACCAGAAATACCCTGCGCTAACTAGTATGTAGCTGGGACACATGGAAGTAGTACGCACAAGGTAGTAGACAGGGTAGGTAATTGCCAAAACGAGAAACAATCGATTGCACGGAACGTGGAGTAATACCTCCAAGTCAGTCTCAAGGGAAGGGCGAAACAGGCGGCGCTGATCACTCTTGGCTGTAGACCCAGACACGTTGTGGGTGGCCGTGGCATTGCCTGGGTGGCGCACAGGTGTGGTATCAAGGTAGACAAGTAGACCATAGCATGTATGTGGCTCGCTCAGGCGACGCTTTGGACGGCTGATGAGAACGATTCGACCACGATCTCCGAACGAGATCTCCGACTAGAAGATCCCGGGCAGTTTTTGACATGGGCAGTCTGCAGCAGCATTGAGCAGCTGAGGTTTGCCTGTCAGTAATTTTTAGAATGAATGGAAAGGGCTGGATTACGGCAAACGGCAACGTGCGTCTCGCGTACCTATCCAAAGGTACACATACATCAACCATAAAGGTAACAAACACACAAGCGGCAGAAGCTCATTTGCTGCGCATGCCAATGTCGCTTCTACAGACGCAGGCAACTTACTTCCTGCATGCGCATTCAGAATGGAACTATCGAGGAGGTTGAGCCCATCGAGGGTTGGCAGGCTGCGAGATCATATGCCTGCCACACCATGGTACATGGAAACGCAAATAGCCAATTACATACAACATCGCTTCACAAACACAGACACACACATCATATCATCCATGATATCCATACATGACAAGGTGGCATGGTAAGTTGAATAACCTTTGAAGCCACGAGCCTGGACTTTGAGTTGGCATTGGCTTTTACTAAAGGTATATAGGCTCAAGGTTAGGTTGGGCCTTGCAGACCCTGGATGGCGGGTCCAAAACGGCGGCAACGGACCCGGAACTGCTACGCCACGCTTCTGTTCCAGGCCTAGCTCTGTTCTCTAGTTGATCTAGTGTCGCTACGGTACCTGAGTGCCCCATCCCTTGGCTTGTTTCCTGATTTCCCGCCAACTGCAACAACGGGTCCCGCCCCCTCAGTACCTACTACCTACGCTGTAGTAGAATAAAGATCAGCCGGCCACTCCAGAGTTACAATTACATTGACAGATCGTGATGGCCACATTCTTCAACCGCCTATTGAATTCTCAGTATCTTGAAATGAAGACCAATACTGTTGCAATTGAATATTGGAGCACTCAAATTGAGACTGCTGCACCTTTTGGCAAGTCCATTTCGTTCTATCAACACCTCGTCGTCAGTGCAACGCAACTGGAAACACCCATCAACTCAGTAGCGCAGGTGAGAGCACGGAATGTCTTTGCGGCTCCCTTGGCTCCTCCCTTGGCCCCCTTGGCTCCAGGCATTAGCTAGGTAAATGCAACGACCTCGGGAGCAATCAATTCATGGAACAGATCTAATGTATGGGCATTGCTTCTCCCACGACCGCTGTGGAGTCGGCTTACCTGAAACTGCAAGCTTTTTTCAAAGTGTCCTTCTGCGTCGTTGCTCAAAAGAAAGGTTGATCCCGTTACATACTGACAAGAGTACAATATGTAAGGAGAGGGAGGAAAATGCCCTGTCGGTCGCTTAGGGTTCGCTGCCGCTACAATGCAACCATGTTCGTATTCCGGTACGATGACGACCTAGGTAAAGGAAAACGAAAATTTACAGCGACAGTGGCCTGATCTCCTCCTCCATGAGGCATCTTGGCCATTGGCAGAAGACAAATGGCTAGCCACCTGTTGACTTTGCAGTACAGCTCAGCATCTCGTCGCATCGCAGCGGCGCACTGAACAACCTGAACGGTCTACCATCATGTCTTTTGAATTTTGCAGCAAGACGTTCCAGATTTCAGGATTCTTTGGCTGACTACATGTATACTACTCCCTACATAGTAGGCAACCAGGATTCCCCAGCTTTCCGGACCCTGATGTCGCCTTACCAGGGGGGTTGCACTGGAGGATCGTCGCTTCTTCTGCACTAACAAAATAATGGAGCCGGCCCGCGATGCTTGCTGATGCATACATTAATGTACCTAGCAGCTGGGAACTTGGAAACACAACCTCAAGCGTTATGTAAACCTCGGAGAATATCATCCTCCCTAACTTTATCCAATTTAGCCGCCTCCTGCACAGGAGGGATATTGTTATTATTGTTATTACATATCGCGCGTCTACTCTGTTGTCTGCATGTACATGATCGGATATCCAGGTAGCGACAATCCAAAAGAGCCAGCATCGCGAGTCTGTAATCCAGGCTGCCCAATAGCAAATACCACCCCCGACAAGCTGTACAGGGTCTGGCGCAGCCAAAACAAAAAAAAAAAAAAATCCAAGGGACGTAACGAGTCTCAATGTACATCCAAGAAAGTAGTACCTCGAAAGCCACATACTCCATAGTCATCCGGTCGACGCCGCAATCTATTCGTAATGTATCGACGAAAACGTGCCAGACCTCGCGGGAATAACTGGTCGTCGGTCGCGTTACGCAAAACCTCGGGGAGTCAAAAGAACCCAACAGCGCATCTCATGCCAGTGGCGCAGCTGCTGCTTTGGACCTGCTCATCCTCACAGTTGGGGTCAACATCAAGGGGGTGGGATGATGGCAAGTCAAACGATGTCTGTGGCGTTGGTTGATCTCGGCAATTCTTCATTGGCATGAGTTGATTGGCTTTGCCCAAGTCGCAAAGAATGACGGAAAATAACGTCAAAAGCTGAACAGGAATCTCTTTCCGAAATAACCGCCCAGAGATGGCACTGTTCTTGTGCTGTTACAGCCTCGACATGTATCCTAGTTGAAGCCAACCGAGATGCGATACGTGAATTGCGCCATCAATGGTCTATTTCTAGAAAACAGGATGTACAGACACGGTACTTTTCGGGATATTATTTGGTGCTGCCAATATTCATTTCGCTAGAATAAGAACTTGCTCGACGGAAGGGTTTCATTCTCGTCTAATTAAAGAGATGTACCTAATGCCACCGGGAATAAAACGCCATGCTTCTGTTTCTTTTCGCCAGCACTATAAACCCTCCAAAAGAGAAAACAACACTATTGCCATGTTGTGCAAGAGGAATGCACGCCAGGGTAGCATTCGTCAAGCGACAATGCACTGCGATGAGTATGTACTATTTCTTCGACTATTTCGAAGATGCCATGCGGTTGGCATATCGGGACGACCTCTTTCTCCCTCTTCTGGGCTCACATGAACCCAGACCTCGTCCCCTAGACAACGTGTGATTATGCCGGCGAGTGGCTTGCCTGAAGCGTCTTTTGGCACTTTATCCTTTGGTGTTCTTCGGAACCAGCTCATCAGTCGGAGCCGAAATTCATTCGGTATCCGAAGGCGAGCCGCTATCCACTTTTCGTTGGGCTTGTGGGTGCTCGGCAATGAGTCGGTCGGGGATAGCGACTTGGTCTCGAGTATGCCCTCGTCTGCCCAAGAATTGCCAAATTTGTGCTCCTCTGGCAAGACGTGCCGAAGGAATTCCAACGAGGAGTTGACACTTAGCAAGATTGCCCGCCTAGGGTTGATGACGTTCTTTGCGAACCACGACATCCATCTGGGATACAGGACCGCAAAGTCCGTCTGCGATAAATGGGTTGATCCCTTGACGGTTGCCATCCAACACGGTGAACCACTTTCCTGTGTATCTTTGCAAATATTGAGTACTGCATCAAAGTTTTCTGGCCAGTGCATGAATGCTTCAGAACCAATGGCAAGAAGTGGCTTGCGAACGTGACTTTGATCACCTTCAACCTTTGGAATCGCGGGACCCCAAGCATCGAGGATGATGGACTGGCCAACCCAAGGGAATCTTTGTTCTTCCCGGGCGATTTGCACTGAGGTGGCACCTCCAAAAGAATGTCCCATTACAGTAACATTGTTCAAGTGTAGTCGTCCGACCCAGTCCGACCAGTTGATATTCTCCAAGCCCTTTGAGCTTGATCCGACATTTCCTTTTTTGCGCAAATTATTCTTCAGAATCAGCTCGCCCTGACCATTGTTGATGAGCTCAAGAGCGTAATGAGCCTCGGCCATCTCAGCCATCCTCATCTCGATTTGAGCATCACGGAGGTGATGATCCACGCCTCGCTGGTTGTGTGGCGAGGTGTCCTGGGCATTATCTTTTGGCCAAATATAGTCGACGACATATGACCTTTTTGACTTGGTATTGTCAAGAATTCTGCCATCGGCCAGGTTACCGCTCGGCGGGATGTTGACATACGACCTCGCACCACTACCATCACGATGTTCCACGGCTACTACAATGAATCCGTTGCTGGCAAGTTCTCCGCACACAGAGCTGTAACACGTCCGAGAACCACCCAGGCCGTGACTGAATATGATGACGGGGAATTGAGGTTTATCGCACACGTCTGCACCCGATGTCTGCTGGTCATGGCAATTTTTGGGACAACACTGCTCTCCAGGCCGGCAGCCCGCCAGCTTGGCGTTGCGGAATGCTGGTATCTTGGTGAACATGGTCGTAGCTGCAATATAAGCTGTAACGGGCATGTGGGGTATGTTTAGAAACTTGGCGTATCCTCGACACGTTGGAACTCGTGGTCTTGGGAGCCACGTTGCTCTGGAGGGTTGGTTCCCAGCCTTGGCGAAAGAGCTGGTATCGCAGGGATAGTAGAGTGCAAATAAAACCGTATCCATTCCCAGAGCATACACGTTATCCCTTTCAATCTGTGAAAAAGTCCGTGGTTCCCTGACTGGCAGTTCGATCTCCATAGTGCCTACGCTGTACGGCCCCGAGTACGATGGCAGGGCGTGAAAGACTCTCTCTCGGAAAGTTCTCGGGGGCGCCTGAGCAGGTTTTGGCTGCCGTCCCTCGGCGCGCTTTTGCTCTTCCGTTTCCATGTTTGTTATGGACGACGATAATATGATCGACCCTGTCTGCTTGCGATTAAGTGATGTTTAATGAGTGTGCTATCCATGTGGTAGATTTTTGCAAGAATGTTCGTCAGCTTGCTGACTGACCGGGGCAAATTATCCTTTGCATTTGTGGAATTATTCGTCAGTGCGAAAGAAAATTCCTCATTTGAATTTTTGTGAGAAAAAGGACGGAATATTTGTTGGTGTTGTCTTCGGGTCGCGTGCGAGCCGCAGATCTAAGACCAACCTGACGTCATATGGATCTGACTAGAATAAGGCCCGTCCTTCTCGAATCGGCGCCAGAACCTCCCGACACAAGGAACCCGCTTCCAATTCCTTCACCGAGGCCGAATAGAGAAGGAAGAGGATCGTGGTTAATACTTTCTCGCAGGGTTCTGGCATCGAAAATTCCCAACACAGTACTTTCTTCTTCTTCTCTTGCGATTCAATCGATTGTGGGTGTCTTGTCACACGACCATTCTCAATCAACTCCGGCGCCGTCTGTTTGGTTGGGACCTGCGTTAAGTCCTTGTGATTGCTGCTTGGCAACAACCTTTTCATTGGATTGTTCCTAGCCCTTGGAGATGACTTAGAATCTGGCCATAGTTATTTTTGACACTTGACAAAAAAGCTTCGCCCTCCACGTGTTTGTACGTGCAATTATGTTTTCATAGGCCAATACCCTTGCTGTGGCACTTGGTTCATCAGCGGTAATTCCTGGAGCCTCATTTTACTACTAGGGCGCCAATATTAAACCTTTAGAGGACTTCGCGTCCCTCATTTCGGCATAATTTTGCTTTCACTCATGACTTCCATCACTCGCAGGTTGCCGTCCGCCCAAATTGGAATGATTTTTTGCACTCGTATCCTCCACGGATTCTCTCCTTTTTCTTCCAGCTCAGGCACTCGTACTACTTCATACTCGGCTCGTCCCTGTTACGTTGCATGTCAGTCATTAATTTCATTTCTGAGTGGGTAGGAAATTACATACGCCATTGTGCGTGATTGGTCCACCTTCGGCTGCCTGACGGACCATGTGAGCGCCTCCATTTCCAATTGCTGTAACCGTGCTGGGCCGGACTGCCTTTGGCCCCGGCTGCGGCAGTCGAACCACTACGCCACTGCAAGAATTAAAGTGATGGTTAGTCTGTCAAGGCCTTCAAAATTCAACATACGCACTGATATACTTTGATTGATTACTAACCTTGCATAGTGTTGAGCATGATCAAACTTTTTGATCAGATTGGTGACGTCTTCCGCCCATTCCCTGCTCTTGAAAGTTATGGGCTCGCCGCCAAACATGGCCGTGTAGTCAATAACGCATTCGGACGTGTAGACTTCCTCCTCGAGGCCTTCGGCATATTGTAAGTCGTAGTAGAGTACCTAGTTTTTTCTTATCAGAGAGAACTGCTGAATTTGGGCCGGCCGCGATTAGAGTCTTTCCCTGTCGTACCTGCTTGTGAATTGTGTCCTCAATGTTGGACTTGTCGAGTAAATAAGTTTGGATATCGTAAGAGGATGCCATTTTAACTGCTTGCTATAGTGCTCCGCTTGTGATGATCAAGGTGAATTTTATAGGGGAAAAAAGCAATGGTCCTGCTGCCATTAATATACTACCTTACCCCAAATCTCAAAGTCTGCCACAAAGAGCTACTTGATTAGCTCTCGACAATGTAAGCACCAGCGCAAGGTGCATTGGTAACTCTCTCATCGCGCAATTGACCGTCCGTCCTAGACGCCGTTAATTCCTCTGCTGAGGGAGGGTCACGACGATCCACTGGTACCAGGAGGCTGCCAAGTAGAAGCGCCCATGTTTGATGACCCAAAGCTGTGATCCGCCTAAATCCGACTATAAAGTCCGGCCACGCTTATATCGCGGGGATCCTCACGGTGCATACGAGCAAACAAGAAGCGCGGGGGAAGGTCTTGGGCCCCGGTACTTTAGTAATCATAGACTTCCCCAATCATATAAGAAACGCATAAAAATGACTTTACCCGTATAATGTATTGGCTTCCATCTACTTTCGAACAATTCAAGCCTCCCAGTTGAAAAGGCAGTCAAGTGCGGCATACCTGGGAGCCTTGGCTGTTTAGATACTGTAACGGATTACTAGACGATCGCTAGCCTTAGTACTTACCTCGAACAAACGAACTCAGCACATCACTCTCGTGAGCTTGCATCTCACGATGTTCACTGGCACGATTCTTCTACTCGGCGGGACAGGCAAGGTTGCCTCAGAGATTGCGCCCCTGCTACATCCCACGTATCCCGTCCTACTCGCATCGCGCTCTGGCACGAGTCCCGACCCGGCCAAATACGCTGGCGTCAAGTTTGACTGGGACGACAAACAGACGTGGGAGTCGACACTCTCAGCAGGACCGACTCCGGTCACTTCGGTGTGGATCGTTCTTCCGACCGCACTGGATCCTGCTCCCTTGGTGCGAGAGTTTATCAACCTGGCCCGCGAGAAGGGAACCCTAAGATTCGTGCTTCTCAGTTCGAGCCAGCTAGATGAAGGCGTCGCAGCATGGGGCCAAGTTCATCAATACCTCCGAGAGCTTGGTGAGAATGGAGATGTAGAGTGGGCTGTTCTCAGACCCAGCTGGTTCCAGGGCATGTCAAGAAACATCCGATAATTTGCCAATAATAGGCTGACAACTATCTTTAGAGAATTTTTCTACCCAGGATCACCACATCAAGTCCATCAAGGATGAGAATAAAATCTATTCTGCAACAGGATCAGGAAAAATCCCCTGGGTCTCTACGCGCGACATTGCAGCGGTTGCGCATCATGCACTTACAGATCCTCAAGCACCCAATAGTGACTCGCTAGTATTGGGCGGACAACTATATACTTATTCAGACGTAAGTATCAGTGCCATTTCTTCTTCTTCCTATCATCAGTCTACAAACCGCCATGTATAGAATAGAATTCTAATGCGCACTCTAATCAACAGCTGGCTGGTATCTTCAGCAAAGTGCTGGGTCGAGAGATTGTGTACCAAGAGCTCACGGAGAAAGAGCTTGCGGCGCGCCACTACTCATTTAGCGTGCCAGAAAAGTATGCTGATGTGTTGGCATCTCTTGACACAAATATTAAGAACGGAGGTGAAGATCGGTTGAATGATGTCGTTTTGTCAGTGACGGGAGAAGAGCCCAGGACATTTGAAGATTTCGTTGAAAAGAATAAGGCAGTTTGGCAGTGATGGATTATCTTGTTTTCCTGTCCCGTGTTGGACACAAAATCAACAGGTACTATGTATAGGCAAATAGCCTACTAGAGGTGTTGTATGCCTGTGCTGCATAGGCGGAGGCTGCCCCGACTCCTGGTCAAAATTGGCCCCCATCGAGTCAGCATAAGCGCCTAAAATTCTTGAAGGGGCGGTCAGCGCCCTAATGATTGCCGCTGACTCTTTCACCGTCGATTACTTGATGATTCTCATTTGCATTCTAGGTATGGTATTTTACGTAGCAAACAAGATGGCATTGAAAAAGATGAAGACTTATGCGAGGGTCGCCGCGCCGACAGATTCTGGGGTTGAATCTCGCTAGTGAAATCTACACTGTCCCCCAGCCTGAGATCAGACCCACGTGGGGAGCAGAGGACCCCTGACTCGGCTCCTTCCGTAAACGGATTTTGACGATAGCTTCACTCACTTTTTTTTTTTTCCGTCCTTCTAGGCTCGCCGAGGCCGTTGGGACCCACTTTTGGGGTCTTAGACAAAGAAAAATAGATTAGATTTGCCCCTTGCAGTCTTCATCTCCCATTTCATTTCTTTCTGTTCATAAACGATCAATTTCGACCTTGTTGGCGGTGGCAGTGCGGTCTTTGGGAAACGGGTTTGGGCAACAGTGCGCTCTTTTCAGCCATGAGTCTCATCAGCGGTCAACTTCAGGCTCCGACGAGCAGCTTGCCGTCGCTGCGCTCGCTTGATGAGTCCTCGGAAGAATGCATCTTCTCGGCGTTGCGCAACCTCTATGCGCTCTACTGCCCGTTGTCCTCGGCGCTGATCTTTCAGCATCCAAAGACAAAACCCGCCGCGCCGGTCAGCGAGGTCCCCACACCGCTGGTTGATTCCGGTTACGTCTCTGGCGACGAGGATGGAGACGAGTACGATGATGCAGACATTCTCGAGACTTTGCGCGCCGATGCCTTTGAGCGCAACCATGCCACGTCGTGGCTGACTGGCTTCATCGCTCGTGCTGAGGGCTTATCGATCTGGAAGTCGGAGGAAGCGTGCGAAAACGCCATCGACCAGGCGTCGTACGTACTTGCATCCTTCAGCAGCACCGCGGAGGAGAATCAGGACGATGAGGATATCGATATTTTCCGCGATTTCTCGTTTGACTTGGGAACCGCTGCTGCAGATGGGGAAGAGCCCACAAAGATTCAGATCCAGCTTTTAGACAAGGCCATCGGCGCGAGATCTGATCATACCGACGTTGGATTGCAAAGCTGGGGCGCATCAATCGTTTTCTCGGATCTCTTATGCGCTTCCCCTGAGCGCTTCGGCTTGACAAACCTCTGCCGCGCACCTCGTGTCCTTGAGTTGGGCGCCGGCACGGGACTGGTCGCCTTGACCCTGGCGAAACTGTTTCCTCTGATTGGAACGACCGACGCCAAAGTTGTTGCAACCGATTACCACGCCGCGGTGCTCGCCAACCTGAAAGACAACGTTACCGCCAATTTTCCGGATTCGGCATCGCCCTCTTTGGAGGCATGTCTTCTTGATTGGGCAACACCCACCTTTGATGCACCGCTCGACGAGCCCGCGGACCTCATTGTCGCTACAGATGTTATCTATGCTCCAGAACATGCAATCTGGCTGCGTGACTGTGTCGCTGCTTATCTCGCTCCCGGTGCTATTTTCTGGCTCATGGTGGCACACCGGCGGGACGGCAAATTCGAAGGCATAAGCGATACTGTCGCATCCGCGTTCGCCAATCCGGCTGATCTGCCAAGAGATAAGGCTGGACGTGCTCTCAGCATACTGTCGGAGGAGCGGGTCGAAAAGCGTCGTGGCATCGGTCGTGGAGATGAGAGTCACTACAACCTATTCAAGATTGGTTGGTCGGCGCAATAGAGGGAAGCACTGGGTATGATGTTGGAGCAGTACGATATCGGACGATGTTCATGAGCGCATGTTTCGAAGAGATGGATGGATACACACTATAGAGAGCAGAAGATGTATACGGAGCATAATGAGGGTTTACGACAATAGATACAAAGAAGCGTAGATTAGACCATACACGAGAGCTTAGAATGGTCACCTAGTCTGCAACAGACTAATAGGGACCTGGGTTTAGAAGATAGATGATGATTTAAGGATGGGACTTCTTCAGCCGCTACCTATCATTTAACTACCTGATTTAGACTTTTCAATGCGCATGTGACAGTGGGCATGCCAACGGACATCTATACACACCTTAATTTTGCCCAGCTTTTTTTCCCCCCCGTAGCTGCAAGACGATGACATTGCTTTTTTGCGATCAATCTAAATGTCATTACTGCCAAGTCTCGCTTCTCATCATGCAAAGTCCCACAATGGCCATGCTATGATAACAAGTCAGTACTATAATTAGGTTTCATCCCGTTTGCCATGGCAATTGACCTCTAATGCTTCCAAAGCTCATGTTCAGCAATGTCATACAATAGGTATATATTCAATACATGACGTGCAAGAAATACCCATCTTGAACCTTTTTGTCTTGTTTGTTTAATGATATTTTAGTTGAGCTGCCAACTAACTGCTGTGGCTTATATCTGGACGTCAGCCTCATTCACATGTGGGGCCTCATCTCCAGCAGTCCCAGCTCTTTCCACCTTAGTGAGGTCATTTGTGGCGCCTGCATTTAGCCGTGGAAGCCTCTGAGGAAACCAACCAAAGCAACATTGATGTGATCCCCCACGAGACATATCGCGTCCAATATCAGCTGCAACGTTACAGGTCACCATGAGGGTAAAACAAAATTCTTATCTCTAAAGTTGCGCGCATTTCTAGTACTTGAAGCTGGGACATTCCCGCGACTCATTTGTACCCCATGGCTTCGTCAAAACGCGGGCCCTCGGTCCTGGTAAGGCCACACATTCTCTCTCTTTCATCAGAGGCCTTTGGGACATATCATGATATCATATACACCATGGACGGTTCTAACATGATTACCACATCAATAGGTCACCGACTCGAGACAGCGACCTCCATCTCGAGGGACGCCTCAACGACCAGGCACTGGTGCCGGTGGAGGACCCTCGCGCATGCCGTCGATGCGCTTCATATCCGTCGACAATGTACTCCAATATAACTCAGAGATACCCTCGGGACAACCCCGTCTGCCGCCCGGACAAAGTCCAGCAATGCGAAGAATGAGTGCACGGGGCCTAGCAAACCTTCCATCGAGACACGGGCAGGCAAACATGCCATCGCGAACAACCAAAATCAGCGAAAAGTTGGTGCTCCTGCCAGAAACTGAAGAGAAGGCCGATGGCTTTGATGAAGAAGGCGAGGGGGTCTTCAAAGATGACGATGACGAAGGGCCACCAAACGATGAAGAGCTGGACATTCTGAAGAAGCGAGCTGGCGTGCGCGGAAAGAGCTATGCCGAACGTCTACCCAAAGGTCAGAGGACAGACAAGGTGTCCCGGCTGACGGCCTACTGCACTGCACAATCGTACAAGATGAAGTCTACATCCGAGTTCCTGCGCAAGAAGCACGACGCGAAGACCAAGCTGTACGACGATTGCCTGTATAGTGTCTACCACATCCCGATATTGCCAGGTGTGGACGGCTACCGGGTCAGAAGTCGGCCGATCCTCAAGTCGCCAGGTACCGGCAAAACGTTACTTGACATTGAGATTGAAAGAAGCGAACTCCGAGATGAGCACATGGGTTATGAGGAATACCACTACGATATGCACAACGATGAGAATGGGGGGCACCGTGGCTCTGAAGAGCGCGGCCGCGACATGAGCAGGCCGCAGCCGCAGCGCCACCAAGATGATGATTCCATCAGTCCCGTGAACAGGCTTGCGCCCGATGCAAAGCATTTTGCCGAGATGTTTGTCTTTTCTTACGGCGTCGTGGTATTTTGGAATTTTACCGAGACGCAGGAAAAGAACATTTTGGCTGATCTCGCATTTGCCGAGAACGAGTCAGGGGTGTCACTGGTCACACGCCCCCTCGATCAGAGTGACTTTGAGACGGAAGAGTTCCATTTCGAATATCGTAGCGACATCAAGCGCCCTCGCATTTTCAACGACATGATTACTCTGTTGCCGAAATCCGATCACATGGTCAAGCTCACCATTAGCCATGCGATTGCGCAAAGTACCAAACTCTGCTTTTTTGAGGAACGCATGTCCGAGACCATGCTGGACGCGCAGCACGTACCGAAGCGGCTGGCTTTAACCGGAGAGTTGAACATGACCAGGACGGAAATCGTCAAAATCCTTGGCCGCTTATTCAAGAGCCGCGTGGACATTAATCTCTGTGAGCGGCAGTTGTTGCATCAATACAGGAATATTTGCTGACGAGAGAATAATCTAGCTTCCAATATTCTGGACGTTCCCAATTTCTTTTGGGATTCTGAGCCGACCTTGCATCCGCTGTATGGCGCGATTCGCGAGTACCTGGAAATCGATCTGCGCACAAAGGTCCTCAATGAACGGTGCCGGGTATTTCTGGACTTGGCCGAAATCTTGTCAGACTCGGTGGCCGACTCTAAGATGAGCGCAATCACGTGGATCATCATCATTCTTATCATCGTCAGTATTCTTGTAACTGTTACTGAGGTTGCGCTTCGATTTGGAATCCTGTCCAAGGAGAAGGGCAGGAATGAAGGCAGCTCTCACGATGCAGAGGTACTACGGACCAGGCTGCACGGTGCCATTGCAAATGCCACCCTGGACGAACTGAAGATTTGGAGTGCAGGCTTGAGTGATGAAGAGAGGAGTGCTGTCTGCGGATCAGATTACGTGGGCACAACCTTTGCTGGCATTTAATAAGGAAAGCAACATTTACAATACGGCAGCCTGGCGTTCTTTGCGTGTATATTTTGATACCCTGAACTTTGTTGAGGGCATTAGATGGTCGGTGCATCGGATTGGAGTTCAGGTTCATACATCATAGGGTTCGCGTAATAACAAAAACTTTTTGCTGTTTGACTTTATCCTCGACCATCGTCTGACCTGTAAACAGAGGACGTGGTCGTCCTTGACTAGCTAAAAAATATTTTTGACGATGCCATTTTCTGGATTCCATCTTTGCCGGCCCAGAAAAAAATATGTCACTAAGCAAGAAATCCAGAGAGTGACACCTGGTGCCCCGGGTTCGGGGATACGATGACATCAAGGTGGAATTCCTCCAAACCATGACCAACACTTGAGCTACAACGATACCTCGGCCCATGGCATTGTCACAAATGGATGTGCATCGGGAACATTATTTTCTTGGCCGAAGCGACGGTAGTATAGAATCAAATCCATTCTCTCATGGGTGATCCTATTTGGATATGATATATCTCGCCAAGTTGGATATTCTATGTCCGAGGTATCTTGAGCACATCATCAACGTTGACCACTTGTCCAGTAGCTATCGACTTATTGGCAGCTATGCCCGTCAAGATAGACAAGGCGCCGTCCACGTGGCTCGCGGCACGCATATACTCATCAGAGACAGGCTCGCCAAAGAGATCGTTCAGCAGTACAGTGTCACCTCCACCATGGGCGCCAGTGCCCTGCGGGATCTCAATCTCTTGGGGCTTCTCCAGGAGCGGACGTAGCAGCAGCGTCGTCTTTTCGATGGAACCCTCGGCAGCCTGGTCGCCACCCGAGTTGACGTAGCTGTTCTCGACCACCTCGAGCTCGAGCCGGCCGCCGGTGCCGTTGAAATTGACGCGGAAGCCCTCCCAGGGCGCGTAGGCCGTGAGCGAGTACGTCATGACGGCGCCGTTCTTGTACCGCACCAGCAGGTTCATGGTGTCTTCGATGCTGATGCCGTCGCCAAAGACGCTCTGGTCCCGGTAGTAGGCGTCCTCGTGCTCGGCGTCGAGGTACATGGCCTTGAGCTGCGCGTGGTCCTCGAGGTGCAGGGCAAAGGGGTCCCGGCGGGCCACGTCGCTGCCGTGCGCGCGCGTGTAAAAGTCGCGGACCCCGCGGGCCTCGGCGTTCTCGCGGCCGTAGAACTTGAGGTCGCCCTGGGCGTAGACGGTCTGGGGCCGCGTCTGCAGCCAAAAGTTGACCAGGTCAAAGTGGTGGGTGCTCTTGTGGACGAGCAGGCCGCCGCTGTTGCGCCGGTCGCGGTGCCAGCGGCGAAAGTAGTCGGCGCCGTGGGACGTGTTCAGCGCCCATTCAAAGTGGACGCTCGTGACGGTGCCAATGGCTCCCGACCGCAGCAGTTCAAACACCTTTGTATTGTGCGGTGCATAGCGGTAGTTGAAGGTTACGCGCACCTTGTTGCCAGTTTTCTCGACGGCGTCGAATATTTGCAGGCAGCGAGGTACATCAATGGTCATGGGTTTTTCGGTCACGACATTGCAGCCGAGTTCGAGCGCCCGTACAATGTAGATGTTGTGCGTCCGGTCGATGGTTGTGACAATCACTTCGTCGGGCTTCGTCTCGGTAATGAACTTGTCAAAGTAGGATGCCAGGTAGGTGGGCACCTTGGGATGACCAAGAGACTCGAGTTTGTCGTTGGCAAAATTCATGCGTGTCTGGTTCGTGTCTGCAATGCCCACGATACAGGAAGTGTTGCTATAATCTCTCGCTATGGCCGTGTAAAAGAAGATTGCTCGTCCACCTGTGCCGATCAGGGCATATCTCTTCTTTGAGCCGGCCATGTTTACAATCGTAGATGGAGGAGTCCGGTGGGATAGCTCTCGGGCAGTCTCGTCGTTGTGCTGTGCTTTGAGGTTTGAAGCGAGTGTCCTAGTATCGAATGCTAGGTTGGACTGATTGATTACAGAACGGTATTTCTGTTATGACCATTAAGAGTTAGATTTTGTAACTTGTAAACTACGTGACTACAGATGATAGAAACTCCCATGATTCCAGTAATTATTTCAGTTATGGAGCTCACGATAGAGACGCAAACGCCATCCGGCATCGCTATCGGGTTAGTAGACCCCGGAGTTTATGAAGTTGGGGTATGGATTATCAGTGGAGTTATTCCCCCGCTTCTCCAGAGTCCAGAGAAATGGAGATCCACTATAATAACCGTGGAGAAGTACCGGTATAGCCAAATAAGTATACATTATCCCATTGCTTGAACTGACTGGCTGGCTGGTTGGTCCTTAGATGTCGTTATCTTTGATTGAAATGGAAGCCTAGTCTTTTCACCGCCGCAGACTCCAGAGTCCATGACAGGGCTGGTCGTTGCCAACCCCATGTTGCCGTAGTTGTCAAACCACACCATCATCACCAGTTTTTTTGACAAACACAACACAGTCTGTATTGGAAGACTCTTGATAAGCCGCTTTGCCTTTTTAAATAAATTGAGATCCACAGATGGACTCACAACGACCAGCTTACGAGTCAGGATCTAGTGTACAGGAATATGCTTTGACTCGACGGCTTGTTTCCTTGCTTAGGTTAGCAATGAATAGGCTTCACTAGCACCATGTACACACCCCATACAAGAATGCCGAATCTGGGGTGTATGCGGGGACGACGGCGCCTAATGGGATGACAACGGGCTGAAATCCCTGTCCCCCACCGGCTCGAACGCCAATCCCGTTATCAAAGTCCTCTGGCACCACTGTCATATGACCACAATATCTGGCCATGGAACCCCCGGTGGAAAACTGGATGCTTTTTACTGCCTTGGATGGCCATGGAACCCCCGGTCGTGCTATTCACTGCGTTTGATTCTTGATCGTACTAGTTCAAAATTCAAGCACAGCTCTAAAGTGGTCGGCATTAGAATGTCCACGAATGAGAAGCAGCTGCAACAGGTGCTGGTCTCTTATGGCTGGAACCGTGAGAGAAAGCTTCAATCTTATCTTTGTCCGGTTCGAAGTCCCGCCTTCTTGAGCGAGTTTAAATGTTTGACTACATTTCTACGAATCAGATTCCATGTAGATTACAGCGAGAGTCATTTGCCAATTGATCGGAATTCCGCTCGGTTTTATGGAAGAAGCCTTTTGGATGGGTCAGCTCAGTGGTTCGCTTACGTATGCCCCTACCTTGCTTCTCGCCGGCGTCTTGACAGACCTGGGCTCAAGCCCGGGGTGTGAACATGACAGGGTTCTCCTCAACTCCGGTGGAACCAAGACTCTGAGGCTCATATAAAATATCGTGATAACTCTCCACTTCCCCAGACTTCTCCAGAGTGTAATCTCAAGTTTCTCCAGTCAGTATTCACAGACTTTTGAGTGACGCTTTCAATTAATCGTGGAACTTTGATCGCGGAGGAAAGTGAACACCATGGCAGACAGCAAACCAATGGAACAAGTCACCAGCGCGGCCGATACAATCGAGCCAGCAAAGGATGTCCAGGCTGTCGTCGGCAAGGGAGGTGACAAGGCCACCGCCTTTTTGGTCGAGCACGGCGAAGTTACTTTCGATTATGAAGAAGAGAGACAAGTCCTCAAGCGCATCGATCGCCGTATCCTGCCTTTGATCCTGGGCGCATACTTTTTCCAGCAGTTGGATAAGAGCGCATTGTCTTACACCTCCATTTTTGGCCTCACCACCGATGCCAATCTTCATGGAACGGAATATAGTTGGCTCGGTATGTTGACGATCCTTTCGGTCTGGCCATGACGGATGTCTGAATCCTGAGCATGGCCTAAAACGTCAAGAGAACAGGATTGCTGACAATAGTCAATGTCACAGGCTCTATTCTGTACATCGCTCAGCTCATCTTTCAACCGCTTGCCGCGCTTCTCCTGGTGAAGCTACCTTATGGAAAGGTCATCGGTACTGCCGTAATCGGCTGGGGATGTTGTGCCGCCATCGCTGCTGCTTGCACAAACTTCAAGTCACTCGCGGCTCTTCGCTTCCTTTTGGGCACGTTTGAATCCATGATTGCCCCGTCACTGCTCGCTGTCACGCAGATGTGGTGGAGAAGATCCGAACAGACGCTCCGTACCTCGTACTGGAATGCAATGAATGGTGTCACCTTTATCGTCGGGTCCCTTGTTACATTTGGTCTTGGACACATTGAGAGTCCTCATATTTACAAGTACCAGACGGTTTTCATCTTTTGCGGCTGCTTGACCGTTTTGTTTGGCATTGTTTTCATCTTCCTGATGCCCGACTCGCCCATGGAGACCAAGTATCTCAACGAGAGGGAGAAGATCATTGCCATTGAGCGCCTCCGAGCGAACCAGATGGGTGTTGCGAGCCGCAAGTGGCGCTGGGATCACGCTTTGGAGACATTGGTTGACATCAAGACCTGGCTCTGGTTTGTGTTGGTCGTGGCCATCTCGTAAGTCTCTTGGATTCCGCCCTCATCCATGTCAGTAGTGCAAAAATTCCTGAGCTCTTCCAACTGACTGCTGTTTCCAGGATTCCCAGCGGTGGATTCAGTACATTTGGCGCCCTCATCATCAAGGATTTCGGCTACGCCAACTTTACGGCAATTCTCTTCCAGTTGCCAACCGGTGCACTGCAAATCATTGCCATCACCGGCTCTGCGTGGTTCGCCACCCATTACGGTCGCAAGGGGCTCACTATTACCTGCATTGCCATGTTTCCCCTAGTCGGCCTTATCATCATGCTTACCGTACCCCGGACTCACAAGGGCGTGCTGCTTTTTGGCTACTACCTAGTCCAGTGTCTTGCAGCTATTACGCCCATGATTTACGCCTGGTCGGCCCAGAACACAGCCGGCGACACCAAGAAGAAGACAACGTCGGCCGTGGTATTTGTGGGCATGTGCACTGGCAACATCATTGGACCTCTGCTATACAATGTCAATGATGCGCCAGAATATCGTCCCGGTCTGATTGCGAACTTGGTAATGTTTGCTCTGGTGGGCGCCCTGGGACTGTAAGTTGCACCGCCTCTAATTCTTGATAAGACTTCCTAGCTAATTCTGTGCCTGCAGGCTTATTCCATTGTATCTGACGTTCCTCAACCGCCGCCATGCCAAGACGCGCGAGCAGCTTGGTGGGTCAGCCCACATAGTCGATGAGTCCATGATGAGGAAGAAGGATATGACGGACAGCAAGACGGCCGATGTTGAACACAACGATCACGCCCAGACGCAGAGACTCGAGGATGATAAGGGACTTCATGATGTGACCGACTTGAAGAATGAGAACTTCATCTATGTCGTATAGATAGTTATTCATCGGAAAGCAAGACACAGATTCTGGAGATGGATCAACGGCACCGCCATGCCAAGAATACATTTGATATTGTACCCTCACTTGTCACCATTGTAAAAACTCACTTTGGCATGAAATTTCGAGAATACCGCCAAACTAGAAATTCAGTTGCGCTGATGATACAAGATGAAGCGAGATGCTGTCATGATCATGTGCATTGTAAAATGTTATTTGGTGACGAGTATATAAACAAACATTGTTATGAGAGGTCTACCGCAGCAGCCAGCCAAGCGCCAGTCCAGCCAGGGCCAAACTTCCGGCTGCAAATGGCTCTCCACGGCCCAACATGGCTGCGTTGGTGGCGGACGCGGTGGCAGCAGTACCAGTCTGAGTGACGGCGACGGAGCCGCCAGTGCTGGTAGCGCTGGAGACCGAGCTCGCCGCGGAACCGGTACCGGTGGCGCTGGCCAGCATTTCCAGACCCGCGGTGATGGTGACGGGGGTCCAGTCAAATGAAAGGTCGCTATAGTCGCTCGAAGCAAAAGTAACAGTGGCCGTGGGCGTACCGTCGTCGTTGCCACCGAGATTGGTGGTGGTGCAGGCGACGGGGACAGTCTCGCTCATGTCGCAGTGCAGGTGAAAGAACCACTCGGTGCCCATGTTGACCTCCAAGTCATATACACCCGTGGACGCATCAGGGGGCGGCGTAGGCTTGGCCCAGGGTCCAACCACCACGGTCTCATTGTAGGTGCCACATTCGTCCGAGTCGGTTCCTGGAGGACAGTTGAGAAGGAATGTGGTTGCAGTGGCATCGGCGCCAAGAACATCGGCTACAATAGTCTGCTCATCCGTGTTAAAGAGCAGGACGCTGGTGATGGATGGTGTTGCAGTAGCCATGTTGATTTGTGGGGACGAGCAAAAGAGTGTATTCTGGTTTGTAGCGAATGGCTTTGGGTCAATATTGAAAACGAATGATGTGAGAAGTTTGCTTGGGGAGTAGTTCAAAAAAGAAATGGAAAAGAAAACCGAGGGAGAAGAGGAATGTTGACGACGTCAGGAACTCTCGGGCTGGAATTTTTTCTTCGCGTTTGAATGTTCTCATGGCGAATGATTTGAGCATGACCTAGGGGGCAGCCTAGAGCCCGTCGGGACTGGTGCCGAGATTGCCTACCAGGCCTACTGCAGGGGTTTTTGTTAAGCTTACAGCTAACCTAAACCACTAAAAGTCCTTAGGTGCTTCTTAGAGCTGACGGCATCCCTGGAACTAGACGATGTTTGTAACAGGCAGATATTCCTTCCTGTGTTTCCATTTCCATATTCAGCGTCAAGTGATTATCATATGGAGTGTCCAAAGATTTGCTTCAAGATCCTCATGGCAATTGGCTCAAAAAAGGTCCTCAAAATAGTTTCCCCGAGGCGTGAATTTCAACCAAGGGCCGTCATGACGTGAAGTGATAACGTCGTAGAGTTGGAATTCGTCCACTCTTCCCCTACCACCCGGCGCACCCTTTTTCCCACCTCCAACATCACCGAGGCTTCCCTCGCACCTCTCAAAATCAAAGTACCACAGTGTTTTTGCTAGAATTAGGCTGGTCTCAAGATACGCCATTGGCTTTCCCGCACACGATCGCATGCCAACCGAGAAGGGTACAAACGCCCTATATTGTGTCGACGTGCCAGCCGAGTATTCAGCGTCGTTTTCTGCAGTCTCCAACCAGCGCTCTGGGGTAAAGGTAAATGGGTCAGGGAAATACTCTTCATTGTGGTGGATCGAGTAAGTATTGACTCCAACGTGGGTTCCGGGTGGGATGATATGGCCATCGACAACAAAAGGCTCCTTTTCAGTCGCCTCTGCAGCTTCACGCCACAGTGTCCCACCGACAGGAGGCGACATGCGCAGAGTCTCATTGATGCAGGCACGCAAATACAAACAGCTTGAAAGCTGTTGACCCCCATGAATGTCACCTCCTGTCTTGAATTTGCCGCGAATCTCCTCTGCGAGCTTGTCGTAGCATCTTTTGTTTCGTGCCAGGTAGAAAAAAGTTCCTGCCATGGCCGTCGAAACAGTATCACCACCTACAGGGGAACAATGTCAGCCAAACAGATCTTTCCTCCGGAGCGGATGGTGTACATACCTGCCGATATGAAGAAAAGACTTTCCGAAAATAGCTCACTTTGGCGGAAATCCGCAGTCTCCGCATCAAGATTTTGCAGAACAAAGGAATAAAAGTCCCGACGCTCTGGGGAATCCTGTTCAACGCGTGTCTGGATCATCTTCTCGATCACATTCTTCCACTGTTTGCGGACCGGGCTCTTGTCCAATAGGTATTGGATTCCCATTTTTGACAGAAGCGGCCAATTCATGAATGAGTTGATCTTCCAATTGGCGAGCGAAATGGACTTCAAAATGAAGTAATGCTCATCATGGAGTTGCAGGTCCAGCGGATAGCCGTAGGCCAAATGCACAACAATGTCCATGGCAAGTCGCCTGAAGCGCTCCGAGACATCAACAAGGTTTGAGCCGCTCTTGAGAAGATACTTCAAGAAGACATCAACCTGTGAGGACATGATAGGCTCGAACATTCTCATTGATCGTTCCGACAACGCGGGGCCAATAATCTTGCGCTTGCGGGCATGTCCGCTTCGGTCCAGAGTATTGAAGATAAAGGGCACGCCCTTGTTGGTTGAGAATAAATACAAGTGCGATTTGGTGGTCCTTGGGTTCTGATATATATCTAAATCAATGATGAGTAAAACTGCAAAAGTTATTTCAAGCATGAACAACAAGACGTACCACGGATAGCCGTCACAGAGTTGAAAACCAGGCGATTAGGGCCATATCGCATGACGCTTCCTGTTTTCTCGCAAGCAATTAGTCTAGCAGTGAGTGCAACAGCAAGGTAACTGGAAAATCAGAAGATACCCTGGCTCGGTTCATACCATAATGTTTGTGATCGTCGTGCGTGACTAGAGGAAGACGTCTGCGAAGAACGAAGGACCCGGCATACGAGTCGGATATTTTCGCCAGGAAGGGGCCATTGTAATCTCTGAGAGGGTGCAAGCCGAGATAATACGTTGATCGGAGAATGAACTATTGCGGAGGCTTAGCAACGGACAGGCACGCTATCTATGTGCAACTCACATAAGGTATCGCGATGCAGAGCATATAGCCGATGCCGAGGGCAATGGTGTAAAAGAAAGCCATTTTGTTGTTCTCCAGCAGATGATGCTAATTGCGAATGAGTCGAACAATTTAGATGTGATGAAATTGATGGCTTCAAGGTTTACATGATGATCATCACCCCCTGTATCGTGAAATCAACAAATGGATGATGCCAACGTATATGAAGTGAGCAGGTCTCAATTGAAATTGGAACTTCTCAACATTAAAAGCTGAAGAATGGTGTTTGTCGCATGTTGCAACGCGAGAATCCTTGTCTGTATACCGGTAAAGGCGCTTGTGTTGCCGTACGATTACTGTTGGAAGTAGGTACCTAGGTAGGCATGCATGTGCATTATGCAGTTGGCTGCACTGAAGTCCACAAACAACCGGCCTGTCTGCCTGCAACATCTCCACATCAATCAGACCCCATTCATACTTGACGACTCGGCTCAATGCTCCAGATTACGTTCAGGCTAATGAGTACAAAGGAAATCCAGGGAATGCAATTGATGAGAGGGTACAAATCTCTTCCGTCTTGATGAACATCCAAGTATACCCGCCATGCATTGGTTGTTTGCTTCAGACCGATCCATATCCTCACGGCTTATAGGTAGGCTTCCACATCTGCATATTCCGATATACAAGGAAGTGCGTGCTAAATATTTCATTGACGAGCTGCAGGTCGTCATTGGAGACCGGCCATTATTTACTTGAGAATGCTCATATTGCGGTGGCCCATTCGGGATAGACTTCTTGTTCCCTCGGCGTAGAAGCAATGTTGCGATCCTGTATGTGTTCTTCGACGGGAAGGTCCTGGTGTTGGGAGTGAATTCCCATTTCGACGCCCCTCTTCTGGATGAAGCGGGCAAAGCCCATCGTTTCCTTTTTCCACTGCTCTTTCGAGACCTTGCCCTCGATATGATCGGCAAACACCATGGCGTCAAAGGCTGCCTGCGAAGTTGAAGCGACCGTATGTGGCCGGAATCCAGCCAGCGCATCGCCAATCAGCACGAGTTTTCCGTCCATGTACTCGTTGCGCGGGCTAATAACGTCCGTGACCGCCTGTACAAATGGCTTCTGGGTCCCGCGGACAATTTCGGCAAACTGAGGCGGTAGCCGTTCTGCGGCAATTTGTCGCTGCTTCTCCCACGCCTGCATGTCAATCATTCCCGGCGGCATCGTGATGGGTCGGCGCTTGCCGTGCTTGTCTGTCATTATCTCTTCGAGCTCCGGAGAGCCTTCGGGGAAGTTGGTATAGTATACAAAGTTTATCAGGCGCTTGCCGGGCTCGACCGTGCCGCTTTCGCCTGGTATCAAGTACGCTAGAATTTGAACGCCTGGGCCATGAAAGAAGGTGAAACGTTCACTGAAAGCCTCTCTCGTGGCCGGGCTCACATCATTCTCCGGAATGGTTCCCCTCAGAGCACAATAGCCCGCATAGGTTCGCTTGACCTCTGGTTCTACCAGAGCGCGTACTGTTGAGCTTGGGCCGTCGGCGCCGATGACCATGTCGCCGGTGATACTGCCTTCTTGTCCCGTGCCTGTTTTGTAGTAGACTCTTACGTTTTCACCCTCTTGTTTGATGTCGGTGACGTTGTGGTCGTGCCAGTGAACCGCCTTGCCGTGGCTGGGTACGGGCGCTGGAGGTTCGCAATGCTCGCTCTTGACTTGGTCGTAGTTTGCCCGCATGATGAAATATGCCAAGTCCCACTACACGTTCCATCAGCCACGCTGCTTGATTATCCAGCGATTTGCTCTTCAAGAACTATTGCACGGGGCTTCTCTGTTTGATGCCAGTCACTGCAACTCACCGATGTCATGTTCTGGTCCATGTCCTCCTTGTGAACGACCTTGCCGGCCTTGTCAAGGTATTGCCGCCTGTGCGATGTCACGGCAATGGGACGATCACAGCGATTATATCGCTTGAAAAACGCGAGGGTGTCACCACCAGCAACGATACCAGCTCCCTGCTGCTCCAAGACGGGGGTGCGGTTACGTTCGAGAATAGTCGTGTCATGACCGATTGCCTTGAGCGCCAACCCAGTGGCCAGCCCACCCAAAGAACCACCAACCTGATCACCATCAGTCGCTGTGAGGGCCATATGCAAGTGATAAAGCAGTGTACCAGCCAATTCAAGGACGGGGGGAAACCTACAATGATGAAGTGGAGTCTCCTAGACTTGGCTGCATCTGTAGTCATTTTGTATACTTGGAACTATAAGCAATCCTGGATTGGGAACTAGCCACACTTGGTGATCTTGGCACATGTATAGGGGAAAAAAAGAATGATGGAAAATTGACCGGGGAATCAATTTCGGTTTTCGACAGCTATATGCTTTGAATTTATCTCACAATTCCTGATGGTTTTTCCCTTCTCCACATCACTTCATATCATCAATAATTGGGTACAGGTGCGGCTTCATGTGCGGCATTCTGACGTCACTCGGCACCGCATCCAGATTAGACGTGGTAGCAATATGCCCACCCTCCACAACCTCGCACGATCTCAACCGTTCTCATCTTTCTCACACTCCATAGATCAACCCGAGGCTTCCAATGTTGAGATGAATGAGGTCATGGTGATTGAAGTGAGTGATTAGTTGGTTGAGTATCTGTACGTATCTATGGGAGTAGCAGAGAGTACATGTATTGTGGTCGGAAACCAAGTAATATAAGCTCTGGCTTCCGACCTATGAAACTTTCGATATCTTCTAGCACTCACTCGATTGGGCTCACAAAAGTGACATCTGTCCCGTTTCCCCATTGAGGCATTGAATCAGCGCCTGTCTGTTCCGCTTCTGGTCCAACCTTGGAACTGCTACCCTCTTGAGAAAGTCCTCTCCAGACTTTCTGGTCTTTAGCACCCACACGAGCGCCACCAGTGATCATACCGATGATACGACCATCCAAATCGAAGACACACGTCCCTGGATCTCCGAGACCAGCGGTCCGCGCCAGTCCGAAATAATATCTTCGCTGCTCAGCATTGCTAGGCCTGTAAGGAAGAGCCGCCATTCTCGAGGGGGCGTATGGCTTCGAGTCTACTTCGAAAGTATTCGTCTTCTTCGGTAAACGCAAATCTTTGTTTTTTGATCGCTTTGCGCTCGGGGGAGGTCGATCTGATACGCTTTTGTTGCAAGAAGAAAAAAAAGAGGAGAGGTTTTGCTTGTAGAGCAACTGGGAGGCCGGCCACTGAGAGGTAGGCGAGTAATAGGTCAAGCGAGCGTAAATCTGGTATAGCGGAATCTCGCTTATTGACAAAGGTCTAGCAGGGCGCGATGGAAGCATTAGAAGTGTGCAAAGAGGACGACGAATGTAAACAAACCTGCTACGTAGACTGGTATTTATGCTTTGGTCTCTCGTATCGCACCTGTCTTTGGTAATACCTGAACCCGGGTAGTGCCCTCCATATCAAGCTGCGGTGCTCCTAGATACAAACGGCGCAACTTCCTTGACGTCAACCTACCACATGGTCCATGGCGAGACCAGTGGCTTCTTCAACGTATCTGCGAGCACAGCGGAAAGTGGGATTGTGATTGCCGCCTTGTCTTGAGTGAGGTTGCCTCGGTCGAGGTTACCATCTTAGAGGACGCGTGATTCATCTTGAGATAGACGATTGACCATGCCACTGTTATTGTCTCTGTTGCTTAGAGGGTCAAATGGCTGAGTAGCTGGTATATGGCCATCATCAATTACGAGCATGCTCTCTGCACATGAATTTCGGCATGGCATTTCACGTGTATTGGAAAAGGGTATTGATCTGCAAACACGTAGAGTTCGGGCGGTCCAGGAGCCTAGAATCAGGGTCATATACAACACGATATAATCTATGCATATTCTCATCTCTAGCATAACCCAGCAAGTATCACGTTGGTGAATCTGAGATATTGCTACGACACGCGAGTTACGTCAACATTCATCGTTTCAACTCGAAATTATTGATATTGCAACAGAGCAGTCTCTCAACAAGCAAACGGTGAACCAATGGAAAGAAAATTCATTCAAGTGCTGCCGTGTAACCACTCACAGCAGCAGACCAATTCTCCTTGGTAAGCAGCCACTTGACGATCTCCTCCAACTCCACTGCCACTTCTTGCAGGCCGTCCAGATCAAAGTGTATGCTCCGAAGATCGATAAAGAAGGTGGTGCCATCGGGCCCTCCTAGGCCAAAGTTGGACGACAGTCCTTGTCGGACTCGCACGATGGAGCTGATGGTCTCAAAGTTCTGATTGGGGTTCGTGCCGTAAGTGCCCATGCCCGGGACCCAATTGAAGCTGCAGTGGCCGAGTATTTCGAGGAGCATGTTGCCGTCATCACCGAGGGCGGACATGATCTGGCGGAGGGGCGCCGGAGCGTGCGCCGTCAGATCGAGCTGATCCTTTTGCATTCGTTCCAGAAACTGAAGTACTGTCTCGTCGGGTCGGTACTCTACCACATTCATGACGGCTTGCATCGTGGGTCCCGAAACATCTGTCGCTTCAAACTGGCCAGTGGCTTCGAGTATCTTCGGCAGGAATGGGAACGTGGTCCGCGCCGCCTCGTAGTTTGCGAATAAGGCGTGGGAGTGGCCTGTATGGCTGGCAATGAAGAGGGTCAAAGCCGTCTTGGTTACCACCGTTGCCGTGATCTTGGGATGCAGACGCCGGAACTCGAGAATTGATGGAGCCTCGAAGCTGTAGTGCAACGCATCTTCATCAAAGCTCTTGACCGTGTATTCTTGTGCGTCGTTTGGCATGATGTAGGGCGGCCAGAGCGCTTTCCTGTGTTGGCCTACGTCCTTGAGTCGCTTGGCGTGCCACTTGACTGCCGCCCTAGCCTCGGCAGAAGTTCGCTGATTGAAGTGCGAATCGGCCCAGAGCTTGTAATCAAGATGTTCCGACAGTGATGGGGTGCCTTCGAATGACTTGTCGAAATCTGCTCTCCATATGAGGGCGCTCGATGCATCAATGACCGCGTGGTCAAGATTCATGATAACACCACACGTCCCCGTTTCTTCCACATCATACAGATCTACACGGACAAGAGGACCTGGGTAAGCGACTTGATCGCGGTAATCAAGTGACTTGGCGCGCAACTCCGCCGAGGACTTGACGCTGCCACAGTCTCGGAAGATTTTGTCAAAGAACTTGTCGTTTTGGCGCATAAGGACATGGAGGGCATCAGTGGAGCCCAAGGCTTCCTTGTCGCTCACCACAAATGATGCCACGACCCTATTGTTCTTGAAACTGGCCTCGAAGGCTTTTCGGAGTTGCTGATATTTGTCAGTCGAGGGCCATCAAACTACAAAAAGAAATCACAAGTGAACTTACGATTTTGTCTGCCTTGGCAGAAATCATTGCAAATTTGAAAGCCCAGCTGTGGAATAGTCCACTTTCGAGCATCACATTGGCAAAATCGTAAGCAGGGACAACATCCTCGACATCATCCCAGTCAAGCCCGAGCGTTGAGATGGTGTCGACAATGAGTTTCTTTGTGGGCTCATAGAACTCGGGAACCTCGGTGAGATGAGCCATGTCCTCAACACCGGGCGGTCCAACTCTGACCACGCGCTTGTTTTCTTTTCTTCCTGTCCCATCATGCTGCTGTCTTAAAAGTTCAATCTGCCCAGATATCGTGCCCGCTTTGGTCATCTCGATGAGGGAAAGCGTCTTTCCGGTTCTCCTCTTCACTGTATCTCTGACTCTCATGACGGTGATGCTGTCGGCAAACTCACCAATCTGCGCATCTAGCGACAGCTTGCTGGGCTCCAAGCCAACAGCCTTGGCCCAGATGTCTCTGACTTCCTCCACAAGACGCGAGTCGTCCATGGTTGCCGGTCCAGATTCTTGCGCAGTCCTATGTTTCTTGACCAAAGCCGACAACTTGGTCTTCTGAATCTTTCCCGCCATGGTGCGGGGATAGTCCGTCAATCCCAGATCTTGCACCGAGATGACGTCCTCGGGCACATAAATGTTTCCCATGCTCTGGATGACGGCGTCTTGAACCCTTTGGCGCACATCAGCATCGACCTTGCCCAACAAGATTGCAATCGGCACTTCACCCGCAATGGCGTCGGGCGCGCCGACGATTTGCGGGAGCATGGAGGCAAGATTGTGATCCTTTGCAATGGCTGCCTCTATGGCTGTAGGCGACATGTTCTCTCCACCTCGGATGATCCTACTTTCGGTCAGTCGCTGCTGTGATAAACTAAATCATACCAGCGCATCCCACTTAGCAGTGAAGAACTTACATGTCCTTATAGCGGCCTGTGATAAAGGTGCGACCTTTCTCATCCATGCGGGCCTGGTCGCCGGTCTTGAACCATTCCCGTCCCTCGGCATCGGTGTAGAAGCTGTCACTGCCGACGTTGTTGATATAGTGCTGAATCGCGGGCGCCGAAGCATGAAGCTCACCGAGCACGTTACGAGGAAGTACCTGGTTGGTTTCGGGGTCCACGATTCTAATGGTCTGGCCGGGAATCACCCAGCCGCAGGATACCTCGGTTCCGTCAATAATGACCTTTGGGTCACTTTGGGACAGGGACCGGACAATGACGCCTTCTGTCATGCCGTAGCCGTTCTCGACTCCACGGGCGCCGAGTTCTTCCATACATGATTTGAAGATGTCGGGGCTCAGCACAGACCCGCCAAACATGACCGACTTGAGATGATCGAGCTTGTACGATGTGTTTGACTTGAGTCCAATGAGAGCAAACATCATGGTGGGAACCAATACGGTCTGAGCAATCTTTTCCCGGTGCAGAGTCTTCAACATCACATCGGGCTGGAATGTCGGGCCCGGGTAAATCATGGCGCCGCCGAGTAAGTAGGTCAGAGGTGGCCAGAGGTGGCCCATGGCGTGGTTGTTGGGCATGACGCCGCAGACGCCGTCGCCGGGCGCTATCTTGACGTCCTTTGCCCTTGACCGCCAGGACTCGATGTTCATGACGGACTCGGGCCACTTGCGGAAACAGCCCTTTGGCATCGACGTGGTACCGCTCGTGAACATTACATAGCTGTCCTGCAGCTTGTCCTTGTCTGCATCGCCGTTTACTTCGACCATGACAAAGCCGTTGGTCTCTACGCCATTGGCCTTGGCGCCATTGGTCGGTGGCGCCTTCATGATCTCCTCGAATGGCGTCCATCCTTGACTGTTCTCTGGGGCGGCAACGACAATCTTGAGGCTATCCTGGAACACTCCAAGCTCCTCGAGCGGTTTGATCAGGTCGGGACTTGATGTCACCACCGCCGATCTTTTGCCAGGTACTACGGAGCGCGCTGTCTTGATCATGTGGAGGACTTCTTCCCTGTTTGCCAGATTTCTTGGATTGATGGGTACAAACACAGCCCCGATTTCGGAAGCTGCGTAGCTGCGTGTGTCCATTAGCAGCTCGTCTTTTGTTGATACTACTAATGCATATCCAGGTACTCACTGTGTGATGAGGTGCTCAGCACCATTGGCGTTGAATGTGAAGAGTGGCATGCCTGGCTTGAGACCGTGTGCCCGTAGACCTGCCATACATCTTTGTATGGCCGTGTCCATGGCTATATACGACCATCGCAGGTACGGTTTCTGACGATATTCGTCATCGTCCAGTGGTATACTTTCAATCTGGTAGAGATCCGCGGGCTGGTGGACGGCTGCGAGGGCCAGCTGGCCAGGATATTGACTGACAGATTCCAAAAACATCTCACGCAAAGTGCGGAAGTTTTTGGGCAGAGGCCCACCGTAAGCCTCGCTCAGATTCGACATACTGGATATAGTCTGTGGTGGCTTGGGCTATAAATTGTATAGGGATGCTTGGCAAAATGATGACGATGAATATTACTGGCTAATAAATGGGACTATACAGAAACCCGCCAGTATTGAATCCTTCGGGAAGAGATATATATAATGTATACAAAAGATTTCTATGTAAAGACCCTGGATCACTTCCATTCTTATTAGAAACTCCCAACCTAGCACGGCAATAACGGTTTTCGGTCTTTGTCGCTAATTTGATCAATCCGTCCATTGAGCTATCCGAAGCATCCTTGACCGTTGATGGTGACCGACTGCTACCTTAGGAAGGGAACGACAGGGCCATACTATAGTAGCGGCCAATGGTGTCGCCGGCTGGGTTGGTTGATATCCATTCTAATGCTCCATCCCATCTGCCGCAGATGCATCATGCTCCACGTTGTGCTCCACGACGTTGCACGACTTGGTTCTAGCTGCCACATAATCCCCCGCCGAACCCGCCGGCTTCAGGAGGCAAGCATTCCGGAAAGCACGAAGAAAGCCGCTGGTTGGGCACTAAGAGGGCAGTCAAAAAGCTTACCTTGACATTGGTAGCTCGGGGTTCATTTTATAGGGCTCACTCAGCCTAATCTGCCGTGGTTTCTTATTGACGTAACCATAGAGTACCTCATCGGAGCAGAGAATGATGACAGTTTCTTGCTATAAGCATTGTTGGCAACGCTTTGGGATATCTGACAGGACGATGATGTCTTGGTGGCACTTCTCAAACATAATACAGTAGGTCGGTATTTTTAATGTCCAAGCGGGCCTGGAAAGTTTCGACTCGTTTTGTCTTACGTTAGCACTATTGAGAAGATTACAATCCCACCGCCGTTGCCCGTGGCCATGGACGGCGGGATTCGAGACGCAACCTCCAGAACTCCGAAGCCCTCAGGACCCAGTTTTAGCGGCCGTTACCAAGTCCGCCGGGCTTCCATGGTAGGTAGGTATAACACACAGAGCGTGGGAGTAGGGTGGGTGGCATGGAAAACAAGCTTTCGATCTATGACGCAGCAATCTAGTTTTGCTCGGGGATCTGATTTCAATAAGCCGCCCCTACACTATCCTCATTTTATGTATTAGATGATTTGCTTGTCAGACCTAGATCTCTAGTTTCAAACGATATAAGGACTAAGTCATGCGGATCCAGGCCACCACTCCTCCATAGTCGATTACGTGTGAGCACTATTACTAAGCCGCTAAGTCGAGGATATTGGGGCAAATACGTATCGCTTTGAATCAAAGGGTTTTATCATCAGGTTATGCGGAGAAGCTATTGATCTCAAACAATGTGTTGGTGCGACGTAGGCGTTTGGAATTCATGCAAAGGTTGGGCAAGGAATGGGTCATCAAACTGGTTCAGGTGGTCAAGATTCTCGGTCGGTGGACGGAATAAATTCATTCTGATTAATCTCTTTTCTTGACAAGATCAAAACTACAAATTAGCTTCCGGTAAGACATGCAAGTCACCTATTTAGGAAACTAGCAAATCCAAACATGTCGTATCCCAATAAACTTGCGGCATGCTACACCTCCTCAAATGTCAGAACACAAGACAAAAAGCAATACCTTTCTCCAACCTTCAGATAATACTGATCATGCCATATGAAGCCTCGGCTGCTGGAGACGGCAACTGACGGCGGACCCACAGTACAGCGATCAAAAGTGGTCTTTTGCCTCTGCAGGACCCTCATGGTTCGAGGACTTTGCCAGAGTAAGTACCTAGTAGGCAGGGAACCAGTTCCGAGCAGATTGAATTGTCCGATTTTTACTTCGGAAATAAGCACGCATAAATATGTTTACCGGACAAACAGTGAAGCAAAAATGAAACTGCCGGCTTCCTATACAAGCTCAACGCAATGAAGCATCAAATGTCGAGAAATTCATCATCCTGGAGAGGTTTATCCAAGTACACCGGTTTCTTGCCCTTTGCGGCTCGGTGGGCGAATTCTTTGCTGCGGATTTCAGAGATGGGTGGAAACTCTGAATTCAACTCAGCGTCGGATAAAGACTGTGACTGCTGGTACTCGTCATCATCATCTTGGTTATTCACGACACGAGACGCTTTCTTTGCGCCGTCTGACTTTCTGCCGCGGGATGCCGGCGTCTGGGGGGTTGTCGACGAGGCTGCCGTCTTTTTTGATGGAGTTGTGACCTTGGGTGGTGGCTTTTCCGTGGTAGAAGTCTTGGCCCTCTTGCTGGGCGTGGTTGAAATGGCATCAGCTCCTGCGCGCTTGGATTGCGGATTTGTAGGTGTCGAAGGTGTCGGCGCTGGAGGTGTTTTGCGAGCAGCTGTACGCTCCGTCTGAGTCGGGCTCGGATAGATTACGGACGAAACAGAAATTGTACTGCCTGGCACAGGAGGATGGTCAAAGGCAGGCATCGTGACTGAGCGAGCCCGGTTTAGAGGTGAGAGGATATCGCTATCCATGTTGGCCACGGGTGCTCTTGGCTGCAATGGGTTTTCTGAAGCAGGAGGGCCAGGTAGCATTCGACTTGAAGTTGGCGTCGGCGGAGTCAACAGTCGTCTTGGACCAACAGTCTCGCTAATCAGAGTCTCGGCAACTAGCTGATCCATGAGGTTCTCGATGGCCTTGTGGAGCTCTGGCCTCAGCAGGCGAAGAAGTGCCTCGGAGCTCTCCTGGCAGAGGCGGTCCATCTCAAAGGCAAAGGCCATTGGGTTCTTTTGGTCGTGCATCTTGCTGCGGAGAGTATCATCGCGTGCTTTCTCAAGAGCGCGGATCTCTACCCGAATCATGTCGCCTATTGCTTCGAGATGAGCTTGGAACGAGTCGTTGCATCGTTCAATCACGTCTTTCGACCTGGCCGAAGAAACTGCCATGATTTCGGGACTCATGTTGCAAAAAGAGGAAGTCAAGTTGGGTACTGCAACCGACCGCTGATTTTGGCCAAGCGACACCCCTCTGGTGTACCTGTGACCTGGTGTTAAGATGTAGAGACCGTGTATACAAGGGTAGCTATGATATACGCTAACGGGACTTGTGTGAATAACGAGGTCGAATCAGTTGGGTTGGTTATGGAATGAATTCATGTCATGATGATATGTGTATCTACGCAATAACGAGATGCACACAGACTTGTCATGATAAATAAGTAGGTAGATGAAAAGTGCTGGGAGTCGCTATTGAAGCTCTTGACCCCGACCGACCGACTGCTCGACCATCATTGGTGCCTGAGACAACAACAACAAGAGGCAGCATTGGAGCAGCCAAGAAATATGCCTCGCTAGACTGTAAAAAGTCATGCAAGCCAGGGCTATCTACACCACCTTTACGGCGACAAATTCATGCTTTGATAAAGAAAAGCCAATGGACTTATTCAAATTGTCTTGAATATTGGACAAGAAAACGCGGAGGCCTCGCATCTCTTGCTGTCGAGGTCAAGAAAACTGTCCCGACAGTCTGGTATAGCCGCGCAGAATGGCTGAGCCTGCATGGACCGGGGGGCACCTGAAACTCATAGTTCTGAAAGCTGAAGACCAACGTACATGACAACCTTGCACAAGCAGCAGATCAGTTCCATTTTATCGCAAGGCAGAATTAACGCGGCTGGCAATGTCAATACAACGGGAGTTACGCCTGTCTGCTGTGTACTTGCAATCAGGCTGTCGCGCAAGAAAGACTACGTGCTTCATCACTTGAAAAGACAGCATTTGCATTGTCCATTTCCGACACATTTCTCTTATGCATGTAGTGTCATTTTCTGGAAGACATTGAATGCTCGACTATAATGCCTTCTGTCAAAACACCGACCCCGAGACGCCCTTGCTCAGCTTGGCGAGTCGCTCCTCAGTGAGCTCAAAGCACTCGGGGAGACCAGTATCTGTCCAAGATCCTCCGAGCACCAGCTTAGTAACCCCAGGAGCACACGTAAAGATACGGGCCATGCCTACATAACAAAACGTCAGCTTGGCATTTTGAATCAAGGAATCCGAAATTTGACTTACCGTGACCGTTGAAACCTGCGCAGACCCACTGACCGGGCGACCCTGGTACCGCGCCGATGAACGGCACAGAGTCCGGCGTCATACCAATGATGCCCGTCCACGTATGTATCAGGCCTTCACCATGCCGGAGCTTTGACGCATCGCACTCGGGGAAGCACTTGGACCAGTGGGCGATCGAGTCGTCTCGGACCTCGTCGTTGAATTCAGTGTCGCTGGAAAGCAGACGGCTGTCCAGGGCTGCTTTGCTAATCTTGGGGTTATCGCGGGAAGCGCCGAGAATAATGATCCCGTCCGGACGCCTAGGAGCCACGGAATAAAAGTGCTTCAAAGAATGCCTGAGGGACATTGTATTTTTCAGAATATTCGATCCCGTCAGCGATGGCGGCGGGACAAAAGCGTGTGCTTGTGCCCTGTTTGGGGTGACAAAGGAAGAGAGCTGGGGTAGCAGGTGCGGCGCAAAGGCATTTGTACAGTGTATCACACTGGCTGCTTGAACGACGCCGCGCGCAGTTGTGATATCCCATGAAGGGCCACCGTCCGCCACTGTCGCCGCCGTGATTGACGTCGCTGGGCAGTGCGTAAAGAGCTTGGCTCCCTTTTCGATTGCGCGGGAGAGAAGCCACTGAGCCAGTTTGGCTGGATGACTCGAGCCGGCAGGCCATTCATACGCGGTGACGGCCTGGGCGATGCGTGTCTTTTGTTTTGCCTCGTCGCCCTCGTAGAACTTGACGTGCGACACGTCTCCGCCAGCCTCTTGGAACTCCTTGAAGCTCTGCGCGTTGAAGTCTGCAAACTCCCGAGTCAAACAGACGTCAAAGGTCGTCGTTGGATTGAAGTCGCAGTCGACACCGTGCTGCTTGACAAATTCATCCACCTTGTGGAACACGGTCCGCTCATTGGCAATGATCTTGAGTGCTTGGTCTTTTCCGTGCACGCGCTGGTACACTTGAAATCCGCGGAATGCATCTGGCCAAGGCGTTTAGTATGGGCCGTCGGATTTCCATCTTGGGTGATCCAAAGTGCTCGCTCACCTGGTCGAACATGTCCAGCGTTCCTCGAGCTGGCTCCGCTCGCAGCCTCTCGTGCCTCTAGAATGACGATATCCTCGCCAGAAACCCCGGCGCTGATCAACTCAAACGATGTAAGGGCGCCCGAGATTCCCGAGCCAATTATCACATATTTGGACCTTGATGGCACCTGCTCATTCTCATTAACGTTCAAGTATGGAAATGATCGTGTAGTCTGTTGCCAGAACGAGAGGCATGGGTTGGGCACCGGGAGCCCGCTCCGCTCTTCTCCATTGGCAAGCGAACCCATGACTGGTGAAGCTAACAAGTGTTTAATAGACTGTATTTTCACGATTATCGCAGGTCTTGCTTGGCATCGACGTAGGAAGACACCCTTCACTTATTTAGGTTATTCGGCGATATTTTGACCACCGATGGAATTGGAACATGATGCGTTTTGTCGTTATACCCGGCTGTCCGATGCAGGCCTTGGCAAGAAGGAATGCGTGTTCGGCGGACCCAGCAAGCACGGCGACAGTGGACTGTCTGTCTGTTAGTATGTCGGTCGGAGAGGCCCGAATCCCGACCCGAGTGCTAATGAGTGAGTACTAGTACCCGACCATTTAGAGGCGGGCGTACTGTTCCGTGAGTGCTAGGGAGATAACATAATAGTGGATGGGGGGAGCCCCCGACTCGCGCGCAGACGTATGATGAGATACGTACATAGCTATTCACGACTACCTACATATTCAATACAATTCTTGCGATATGATGGAAAAGGTAAAACTTCTACTCGAGCAATTATGTCTCAATTGTGGTCTTGACAGTGACAGAGTCGCGATGGGTGAATCCTCAGTACAGCGAGCGGAGAGTACCTGGCAAATCGCTATGACCCCACGGGGAACCCAAAATACACTGCTGTTTGCAAGGTGCCTAGGTATGTAGTACTGCTGCCAGACAAATTGCAACTTCTCGCCGGCGACTTTTGAGCCATTCCGATCGTAGACTCTTTGAGATTTTGTGACAGTTATTAAGGATCGCTGATAACAAAATACTTCTAATAAATGCCTCCGTGACTGGCCGGCCACTGAGCCATCCAAGATAAGTACGTAAGAGACTCGGCCGGGTCATACAATCTCGCTAGGGGACGGACGATCCTTGGTGGGGTCGGCGGCTTCTTGAACCGATAACGAGCGGCGACAAAGGCGTAGCAGATCCAATGTTACCCTATCGTGCAGTGCTGAGTCGCCCATACGTAACGACGTGCCACCCCCGAGCGTGGGCAGGCAGATAACCGGTCATTCATTTTACCAGCCCTGATACTGCCCAGATAATGAATATAGTACAGGCTCGTTCAACTCCAAACTGTCGTTGCGGGAAAACCCCGTGACTAAAATCGGTCTTGGCACCCAAACTCTTTTTTTCCTGTGATCCGTTATAAGACAGGTGACTTGGGACCCCCTCTTCTGAAAAGTGACGGCAACGTGTTACGAGGGGTTTGCTTCTATTGCGACTTTGTCAACGTACCACACCTCGCCCAGAGCCAGGCGCCAAGCAAGACGACGGAGCCACCTACAAGAGAGAGAAACAGGGACAAGGAGCAGCGCGTGCTAGTCCAGTCATGGCGCTCGGAAGTCTTGCGTTTGCGCAGCGACATGAGCGCACGCCGGACGAACGAGCTCTGGTCAGAAGACTCGACATCTTCTTGATGACCTTTGGCTGCATCTCCCAAGGTGAGTTTCTTTCTCGGCCGATCAAGGCGGAAATGAAATAAATGATAAGATACAAGGTTGCTAACAAGTGCGCCCAAGTCATTAAATGTGAGTAACGATACTATCTCGACCATCAATCAGGCTTACTCATTATCTCCAAGATCTCGACCAGTCCAACATCAGCAATGCCTATGTATCTGGCATGAAGGAAGACTTGGGCCTCGAAGGAAACGAGCTGAACTAGTGAGTTGGACCGCAAGTCGCCTCATCAAGCCCGGATCAAGTGTCTGACCAAGCCGGTTCCCAGTTTCCAAACATATTTCAATGTTGCTTATTGTATCATGTTGGTCCCCTCACAAATCATCCTCACCTATGTACGACCTAGTTATTGGCTTCCTGGTTTGGAAATTTGCTGGGGCGTCATTACAGGTTTGATTGCCATGACACATAATGCAAAGCAAGTCTATATTCTGCGCGTCTTCCTCGGCCTCTGCGAAAGCTCGGCCTGGCCCGGAATGATGACTCTTCTGAGTAAGTTTCGCCACATAGCCGCTCGATCGCATTCGCGTACATGGCGGCCCGGATGAATGTATGACTGACTGGCGATTCCAAAGTGTACTGGTATACGCCTAGCGAACTGGCCAAGAGAATGGGTTTCTATCATTCGTGCCAAGCGCTTGGCTCCATGATGTCGGGCGCCCTGCAAGTGGCTGTCATCAACACACTAGAGGGATCTCATGGCCTTGCTGGCTGGCGCTGGCTCTTTGTGATCAACGCCATCATGACGGTCGTCGTCGGCCTGCTGGGTTTCTTCCTCCTACCCGACGTGCCCCATAACATCAACCCGCGAGCCTTCTGGTTCAAGAAGGAACACGCAAAATTGGCCTTGGAGCGTCTCGACCGCTATGGCCGTACTTCGTCCAAGAAGATGACGTGGGCCGGAGCCAAGTAGGTTTTATGCGATAATTATGCGTGCTGAGGTTGCATGTGCTAATGTCATCCCAGGCGCACCTTTACCCACTGGGTTGTCTATGTTGTAGCCTCCATCTACATTGCCACGGTTCTCGCTCCCTGGGGATACTCGTACTTCAACTTGTTCTTGAAGAGCTTGAAGAACCCCGACGGCACTGCAAGATGGACGACGTCCGAGGTGAATGCGATTCCGATTGCAGGCGGTGCGATCAATGTTGTCTTTGGTGAGAGACAGTAATGTCCCACGACTCCAAGCTTCTGATAACTGACCCGTGGCCAGTCTGGATATGGGCAATACTTTCTGATCTCTTGAGGACGCGATGGACCCTCATCGTCACCCAAGGTATGACAAACTTCATGTTCTCGGCTTGACCGCTACTGACGGGATGCTCAGCTCTCATTGGTCTCGTGCCTTGTATTGCCATGACCATCTGGACGACGCATCCGGCCACTACTCCCTTGGCCACTGCCTACGCTGGGTATTTCCTTTCGTACCTTTCACTAGGAACAGCGCCCCTGCTTTTTGCATGGCTGGCAGATATGTATGCTTGCCTCTTCCAACAGCTGGAGAAACCCCCCCCCCCCCCCCCCGACCCCGTGGCTCACAGAGAATATTTAGTCTCCCATCAGATGCCGAAGCGCGTACGCTCATTGTTGGATTCTCGGTCGCTGCATACTACGGCGTATCGGCGTGGTCTCAGGTTCTGGTTTGGCCCGCATCTCAGGCGCCCTATTGTACGTGGATCCCTCTCACGATGCGGCCCAAATCTCCTCGTAAACTGACTCGTCATAGACAAATACGGATGGCAAACGTCGATTGCCCTCTGGATATTCGTTATTGGCATGGTCTGCCTGCTTCGGTACATTGATGTCAAGCACCTTCTGTAAGTTGACCTTGCAAAGAGATTTTTTTTCTTTTCTCCGCACCAGAGTAACTTACTAGTCACAATAGCCCCCAGAGACGAGAGACCTTTTCGACGATTACTGGAGTGGATGGAAGTGATGCTGAGCACGGTGCATCAGAGCCCGGAGCAGCCAGCAAAGTCACGGCGCCCGAGGCGGTCAAGGCTGTGCCAGAGGCTTAAATACCCCTGCATATTTGATGGTGGCGGTACATTCGGAGAGGTTGCATGCTCTTTATATACCCAGATAGGAGAAATGACCTTGCGTCACGTTCTTGGACAATGTTTTTGTCCAGAGGGGTGTTTATGCAGGACACCAGAAATTATATTGGCACTAATTTATGTTGACATTCATGGTCGCTTTCCGGGGCTACTTTGCTTAAAGAATTGCACAAGGTTGTGTTTGAATACCCCAAAACTTAAAAGAGTTAACAGTCCCAAGCAAACCCTGACATGGTGTAAGTCCTGCTCGAGTAAAGTCGTGTGGCGGGTTGGGCAGCATGTATAAAGAAAGTCGACCCTGGCGTCTCATCATCTTTGCCTTCTCTCCTTGACCGGATTTTTGACACTCCAGTTTCCCATTTTCACCTCTACAATACGTCCTACACCACCAATCTTTCATGGACAGTCAGCACAATGGAATCAATGTTGGTGAGCCATACTGACCACACGTCGCATCATGGCAATCACAGCCACGCTGCTGATCATAGTTGCAAAACCGAGGTAAGTCCATGGGTTGACAAGTCAACAGTCATACCTGAGAGGAGACTGGCCGATTCGTTGTGTTGCCTCAAAAAGGATCGTGAGATGTGCTAATCGCTAGACCTTGTTTGTTGCAGATGCTATGGAACTGGAATACCATCGATGCATGCTTCCTTCACCCGAGCTGGCACATTACCACAGAGGGAATGTTCATTGGAACATGCATAGGTGTCTTCTGTCTTGCGGTTGTCCCCGTGGCCATTGATGCGCTGATCAAAAGGTACAACCAGCGCTTGAGAACCCGGTTGGCCGGAGAGCGCTTTGGATCTGGGAAACCTAATATGACGCAGCGGCTAGTTAGGTCTCTTCTGTCGGCCCTTCTGTTGTTCCTTCATTATATCCTTATGCTGTAAGAATTACACCCTCTTTGCTTTTTAAATCTCTCTCGTGTTATTCATGTCTTAACTGATTCTACACTCAATTCGTCATGCTGATTTCATACAAGACTCGTCATGCACTACAATGGATACATTATCATGTCCATCATCGCTGGCCATGCCACTGGAAAGTTCATGTTCGACCGCAAGGTTACTGGGACCGATAGCGGCAAGCGGCCTGAACAACCAATGGCCTCCCTAACGTAGAGCAGCCAAAGACTTGGAAATATGGGATTGGAATCAGATTTCTTTTGTGTAGGCTTGTCACATGGGTAGGAGGATGCTTGGTAGTTTGGGTCATCTTGACGAGAATGCAAGAAGAGGACGAGTTCCTGCCAGCAACGTATCGTTGAAGATTGGACAAGATGACATGTTAAATGCACAAAGTGCGCATCTGGGTCATTGTCGTGTTTCATCTACCAATAACCCATCAGGTCTGGATTTGATAGCCATCATACGACGTCTGTTGTGAGCTATGGGCTGCGCGAAGTTGCATGTACAATATATCGCGAATCCATGCCGTCGACGGGATAGAGAATGTCCGGCTTATGGCAGGTAGGTGAACAGAACAGGGTTGTTTGCCCCTCTCTGAATGCACTGCTGTGGCTCAAGCAGGCACTGATAGGCTATGAATGTTCGCTTTTGGGACTTCCCTTCTGGGCATTGGACGAACGCGCTTATGCAAAGCCACATCGAAAGCGGTTTTTCCAATCTAGACTTCATTCCAAACAGATATTCCTTTTCCATGGCAATGCTGCTGCTGAAAAGCCATGGAGTCAGTACAAGCTCAAGCCAAGAAGCCAAAGGTCCGCACTGGATGTGTCACTGTAAGTCGAGCCCCTCCAAGCCCAACGGCGAGCTTCATGCGCAAACCCCGTGCAGTCAGTGCTGGCTCACATGTTTCAACAATGACGTTGCTTTGAACCATCTCTGACGATACCTCTTTTCGATAGTGGTAAGCAATTTCCTTGTCCTCGGTCCGCTTAGAGTCCGTACCTGGATGAAAGAAAGAGAACTGAGGGACGCACAATAGCAAGTAAGTCGCAATGATATCGGCCTCTGGCCTGATTCAAAGCTTGTGTGGTTGGCATATCGCTAATGACTCGCCATGATAGAAAGCGAAGGATCAAGTGCGACGAGGTTTGTATAGCTACGCTGTCGTGAATCAGCAGAACCGTTTGGTAACAACTGTGGCAGGCAAAGCCGAGCTGCACTCGCTGCAACTCGGGCGGCCGTATCTGTGAGGGGTACAGTATTCCAGAGAGAAAGAAGCATGTTTTCAAGAAGAAGGCCAATATTAGGTTTTGGGGGGATGCCGAAAATGTAGCTCCTGCAGCTTTGAGACTCTTGCGACCTGTGGATGCAGGCGTTCACGGCACTCATGATGAGCGCCTGTTCTTTCATCGATTCGAAGTGAGCGTCAATGGGCTTCTACTTGGGAGTGGAACTCAGCGCTCAGCATTCTGGACACGCCTCCTACCCCAGATTGCTCATTCAAATGAGGCTGTCAAGCATGCATTAATGGCCTTGAGCGCAGGGTTCCGGCTGATGGATTTTGAGAAATCGCAAAACGGTCCAGAACACGAGGGGCAAAGGACATCGGATCACTTTGTCCTCTTGCAATACAACAGATCCATACAGTTACTCAAGCGGCACACGGAGAAGGTGACATTTGAAAACCTAGAGATCATCTTGATCTGCTGCTTCGTCTTTGTCTGTCTAGAGACGGCTCGAGGCAACAACGAGGTAATGCAGATTCACCTGGCCAGAGGACTGGATATCATCAGAAACCTCGTCTCGACCGACTTTTTTCTCTTTTGCAACATAGAAGAGAGCGATGTGAGAGTCCCTCGGTTAGAAAGGGATGCACGCCGGCAAGGCTTTCGGCCATCTCGTCTGTCGAGGGGCGAGTGGAATCAGCTTCTGCGATATTTTGGTGAGTATGAGCTTGGAGCATACATATACAACAAGGACAGTGTGCCCTCGATTAGCATGCGGATACTCGAGCTGGACGATCTCTTGGTAGCCGAGGTGCCCGAGTTTCGCAGCCAGGAAGATGTTTCTGCTGCCTACACGAACTGGACCTTCAACGTTTTTGCACTGCTGCATGAAACAGAGCCGTACAGAGGCAACGCTGAGTGGTGGTCACAGTCCAGGCAAAGCCATTTGTACACGAAAGTATTGTCATGGGGACGACAGCTCCAGCAGCGAGTAGAAGAGTTCATGGGTGGCCCACAAGGACCCAAGTCTGACGGGTCCATTGAGTACTGCAAGGTTGGTGAGATATCGATAAAGACTGGCCCTTCTTGCTCCTTCTTCCACCATACTGACTGAGCATTGACTTGTAGCTCTTGATAGACAGAGCGCAGGGGCGTTCGTTGTTGCCAGCCGTGGAGTGGATGCCCTTCCGGTACACACGAGGACAGGTCTTTGAGGGCTACGAGGCGTTGCAAAGACAAACCGTGGAAGACTGGGAAGAAATCATCAGACACTTTGGCAGTCCTGATCGCGTTCCTGACTTGTTTCTGGGAGTGACGGGGATCCGAGCCATGATGCATTGCTCCATGTTTCATGCCTGCGATCCCGATACCAGGCGAAGATCCAGAGAGGTGGTCAGCTTCTTCAAGGGCAAGCAGATGCAAATGTTCCACGCGGCGACGATGCTGCAGTTGTTTGATGACAATGGGGTGGGTGAAGACGATTGGTTACTGCCAGGACAGGAGCTGTTCGAGTCTGGGGGATCCTGTTGGTTGATTGAGGACGAGAATCGTGTCCCAGATCCGGCAGAGTCTGGGTACCCTGGGGTTCATGTCGTGTCTAGAGTGTTAGGGTCCCGCTTAGGGTCGGGGGAGTTCCGGTGTGCTAACAGGCGTCTACATGCGTGCAAGTAGGCAGGGCACAACTGGGTTTATGAGTCCCATTTCATCTAGAAAGGTACGGGGAGTAAATGATTAGAAAGAAACAAGAACAAGAAACAGTCAACTGTACGTGTGTACGTACATTACGTACAGTGTGACTTTGTTGCAGTGCGCTGTGGTTTATACATTGGTACCTACTAGGAAGGTGTGTGCAATACGTAAGGGATGACGGGACCTCGGGACTGACCATAACAACCAACTCAACCTATCCACCTAATTAGGGCGTTACCCGCCAGGCTAATGAAGCCACATCAGCCCTATCTGCAACGCTAAATTGGTGGTATGGAGCACAAGGCATAGCACTAGCTATAGCAATAACTGCTTCGTGCTCTCATCCTCTCCATGTCTCTGTCCCTCTCGTTTTCGATGGCCCTTGATGATACTACACATCAGGAGCTCTCACGACACAATCGCGACCCGGAAATAGTACGCACATGACCACTCTCTACCGGCCCGACGCAACGGTCCGAGAGTGGAGACAAAACATGGATGTTGGTTGGCATGTTGGCTTCCCAACCAACCAACCAACCAATCCCCTCCTCCCGTGGAACCCTCGGCAATGTTGGCGCGGAGAGAACGAGGCAACAGAATGGCCGACTACAGTCAGATAGCAGGTAGCCTCAATCTACCTACAGTCTCATTGCTAGACAAACCAAGACACGTCTGCTGCGACCCGAAAGCAACAGTGATATCAGAAGTCTTATCCCATACGTGCTCAGACACTCTCAGCACCTAGCCCAAAGAGGTGTGTCACGGGCTCATTGTATACGCGCAGGTTTCGGCCAAGACAGTTGCTCCTCTCCCGCAAGGACTCCGCAAACATGGCCTCTTCGATTGGTCACAACCACGAAGCGAGCGCTGAAAACCAGGATAAATCACCGTCACAAGGATCCAGGGACTTGGTCATCTCTTGGTTAGACAAAGTTTATCTGCACGCGAGAAATGCTGAGACCCAATCTATATTCAGCACTGCCGCCCCTTCCGTGCCAGTCCCGATGGCAAGCAGCCCGGGCCGAGAAGGCATGTTTGCGGCACAGCGGGACGGCAACACACTCTGCTTGCCTGCCGGTGCCCATACTCATCAGGGGCCCGCAGCTCTAAATCCTCTTGCCCACTGCTATAGACTGCGGGACGATGGTGTTGCTATCGAGGCTCCGGGCCATCCCTTCACCTGTGCTTGCTCGGACAACGCGCGCCTTCATTCTGCAAGAGAGTCGGAATCACCAACCACTCCTGTACCTACTGAAGCTTGCCTGTATCCCCCCATCCCACAGAGTGACAAGCGCGAAATATATCTGAATCTTGCCATGCAACACTCCGCGGGTATATTCTACCCCCTGGAAGGCCATCGTATAATGTCGCACAACCCCCTGAAACTGAACAAGTACCGTGCACGCCTCCTCAACACACCACTTGCCCTCGAGTCTGTGCTTGCAGTTGGAGCATTAATGCACCCGGAAGGATCCGGTGCGTCCTTTGCTGCTGCACACGCCGCCTTTATCGATCATATGATATCCGACTGCATTAGCGAGGGTACGTTCAAGTCTGATTTGATGAAGCATTTGATTCTACAGTGAGTACTCCCCAGAGAGAGAACCAGCAAGATGTCTCCCTTGCTTGCATACAGCACTTTGATTTTATCGTATGCCCCAGTTCATGGCATTTCTTTTTCTTTTTGGCTCCGCCGACACGTGATCTTCTACAAGAATCACCCTTTATACTCCCATGGAATATTCCAGCTCTTGACGGGCAGAGTGTTAAGCTGACGTGATGTGACAAGGGCTTCTCATTCTCTTTCAGCCCTCTATGTAGGTACATCCACCCTACTTTTCAGGAAGCGCTTTGGTATTGACCTGTTCCTTGTTGTCTATAGATTGGCCTGGGCGATTCAGCCGCATTAAATGCCCACACGCAAAGCATTCAGAAGTACATCGATTCAGAAGATGCTCTGGTCGTAACAGATCCACATGACTTGACAAAAGCGCGAACGTGAGAACAATTTCCCCGCTATATTACTGCTTTTTTCTTTTCTTTTTTTTTTTTTTTTCAATCCTGCTTTCTTGGTCATTCATACTCACTGCTGGTACTCTCTTCCAGAAGCGTTATTGACAGAATCATTCTCACCGGACTACCCCAAGAGCACATTCCCCGAAGGTTTCAGCTTTTGCCATGTCTTTTGGCACCCGAAAACATTGGGCTGATAATCGGCACCCTCCGTCCACGGTTGCAAGCATGTCAAATTCACAACGATCCTACCGACAACATCATCGCGGCCTGTATCTTCATTTGGACCATGGGAGAAGCCAAAACACGCGGCTTCGGGGAAACATTTGAACCAGAAAACGTCATGGAGGACTACGATTGCCTTCAAATCGACCTGCTCACCTCGCCCCGTCTGCTTCGCACCGCCACATCTCCATCGACCCCCGAGAGCTTTCAGAACAGCTCACCATCCACAGGCAGCTCTACTCACCAGGAACCTCTAGAGGCTTTTGAGGATGCTGTCCGAATTGCAACGCTACTATGTCTCCGTGCTGCGACGCTGCAAACCCATCCTATGGCCAAGCAGAGTTACTCGATGCTTCTGGACCGCTTAATTGATCGTCTTAGGATTATTCTTGAGTGGATATACCCAGACACATATGACTCTGCATATGTCAATCCAATGCTCCTCCACGAGCAGCATGGCCAGGGAGCAATACTATCTATGAGTAGTGCAAGGCCATTCCTGATCTGGATGTCCATGATTGGCTACCAGCTCTCCGTTTACTATGGCCTCTACCACCAAGGTTGGAGTTACCATCACTCAGAGGGCTGTATCTATCTCAAAGTTCTGGTCGCCATGGGCATATGCGACGCTGCCGATGTTGACCACTGCACCAAGGATGATGTGGTGATATTCGACATGTTGAATCTAAATTGGGCCACGGACTATAAACGAAAATCTTTCGAAATGCTCCGATGGATCGTCAATTGAGGCAGCTGGCTTGAAATGCCTCTTCACACACCGCCATGCCTCCTAGAAATTATCGAACGAGCGTGGGGACTTCAAGAACAAATATCTCTTTTGTCATTTCTCCAGCCAATTGATAAAGCGAACAGTCCGAAAGATGCAAACGAATAAACGCCGATCCCATTCGTTATTTTTGGCAGTCCTGCAGATGCAATGTCTTGCTTTCGGATATCTCCAAATAACAACAACCTTGGAAGTTAAGGACTTGGTTTCGACCCCTGGTAGCCCCTGCATTTATGATTAAACCCATTGGAATGGACGAGCCGGACTTTTGCAGCTGTCTTCAGCGATCCAGATCCCCCAATCGAAAAGACAAAACATGATTCCCCATTGGTCCAATTGATCTTTGGGAACTTTTTGAGATCTTGGGCGGCTCCACCTGGTATACTAATACACACGTAATCCCAGTAGAAATTGGGGGCTTGCACTCGCCCCTGGCGCTGATGAATTTATCGGGTTCGCTTTCTTGTAAACTGGTCCACTGATAGAAGTCCAACAGTGGCTTGCACTTACCATCAGCTTTCATTCATACCGTAAGACCTCGCCAGTCGTGGCGCAGGCACCGGGTTAAGAGATCAACAGTCAGCCCTACCCACTCAGCTAAAGAGCGGGCCGCATGGGGCCCAGGGTTCAATCCTTCAGGGGAATATACGATAGCGAGACCGTAACCGCCAGTCTCTGTTTACGAAGATGATACTAGGTATGGCTGAAGATTATGATGCGAATGAAGCTGTTGTTATATCGTCATCGAGGGCAAAGTTATTCGAAAGGCCGGCTTTCAAAGGATAAATATCAGAATGTTTCGCCAACGACAAGACCATTTCCCCCCCTCTAATCCCAACAGCATTACACACGCAAACAGCATCTGTCAAGAGCCCATCCATTCACGAACATGAAGACCGCCGCAGTTTTCACCACTTTTGCGGCCATCGCAAGTGGCCTGCCAGCAAATTGCACACAGACAACATGCCCAACTGCGCAAGAAGCAACCTCTTTTTCCTTGACGGTATAGATAATTTCCTGCTCGACATCTAGAGACCTGCAGCTAATCTCGTACGCACGCAGTATGGAATACCTCTCTTGGCGTTTCAGCAGCTCTATAGCACACAACAAGAGGGTGCGGACGCTCCTGTTGTCAATCAGCTCGTGGCGAATACAGAGCTCACAACTCCAAACGATACGGCCGTCATTTCCCCCAATGTAGATACGCTGTACTCGGTCGTGATCTATGACATCTCTCACCAGGACCTTGAGTTGGTCGTCGGCGATGTACCCGCCGACAGATACTACAGTGTAGCCTTGTACACACCGTAAGATGCCGCCATAGCCTTGCCGCCTCGTTGCTGTCGCCGGGAAAATGCTCATTATGCTGTACAGTTACGGGGAAAACTATGTTACCTTTGGCGCCCTGACCGACGCGAGCGCTGGTACTTATCTCCTGACTCCCGCTCAATCCTTCAACACAAGCGGCACAGTGCAGGCAGATTCCACAGGGCGCTACGCGGGAATTATCCATGTCCCAAACACATTTGGCACAGCAATGATTCGCATACTTCTCAAGAATGCAGAGGGAGACATCGCTGTCGTCAATGAAATCCAGGATGGATTCTCGGCGGCTCTTGTGAACCGTACCGGCGAGCCCGTTGGACCACAACTGACCGATGACGTGTTTAGCAATTCGTCGAGCTCGCAGCCTGAATACATTATGGATCTTACAGCCCGATTCGCGCACATGGTGCCAAAGACACTGGGTGGTGAGATTGTTCCTGTCCAAACCACTGCAACCCTGATGGCCGCTGGCGTTGATCCAAAGAGCGGCACCTACGCAAAACCAGCATGTGTCAACCTTACACAAGCATATACCTCTTCTCAGGGAGCCATGATGTCTGCGGGTGAATCGAACGCAACCAGCACTGACCTCGGTAATGGCTGGAAGATGTACAACTCTGAGTACATTGGCACCTATGGAACACACTATGCAATTCGCGCATACTTTGCACAGGAGGCTTACTTGGCAATGGTTAACACGGAAGCCTTGTATCCATTCTACACTGAGAGCATCTTCTCACTTGGAACCAACGAATCGTACCGTATGCAATTTTCCGGAAAGCCACAGCTCGAAGATGTTGGTTTCTGGAGCGTCACCATGTACAGCGCCGAAGGGTACTTGTTTGAGAACGCGATTGATCGTTACACTATTGGCGATCGCAGCAACCTTACTTACCCAGACGGAACATTGGTGTACGGGTCCGACGTTAACTCGACCTTTGAAGTCCTCGTTCAGGGCGCTACTCCACCTGACGAATATATTTCCAAGTGAGTACCAAGTATCAAAACATGACCTAAAAGAAGCTCTAGACTAATACTGAACAAACACAGCTGGCTTCCATCGCCACCAAATGGCAGCGACTTTATCATGTTGCGTAAGTGAAGTCTTGCCTTATTAGGCCTCAAGGAAAGCGATTCACCTGCTTACATGTCTTTGTTAGTGCGCTACTATGCACCAGGAGACTCTCTTCGTAAAGGAGACTACACCTTCCCTCATCTTGAGCCCGGCGCTGCCGTTGTGTAGAAGCTATCTGCGAATACATGAAACCACAGTCTCTGCTCGAGAGAATACAGAGTATTCTACTCGGGGTCCGCTCCTTTTTAAATTATTCATATTTCCTCATTGGATTGCCTTTTTTCGCTCTTTTTGCTTGTTTGTCTTTGGATTCAGTTGTCGTCGTTTAGTCACATTGCCAATTTGAGTTAGAAGTAGTTTGATAGATGCAGTAAAAGTAGACAAAAATAAACAGAGGTGCCGAGACATGGTTGGTGTGCAGCTGTAACGCGATTTCTGTTCTCATGTCATTCCATTTTTTGTTTTTAATATTTTTTTATTTTTTTTATTTTATACTCTAAACCATTTGCTCTCTATAGGTACCTAGGTTACTCGATTTCTCCCATGTAGGTAGTTGTAATTTTCTGCTTTCACTCTATTGAATGCCATTACCATTTCTAGGCCCTTTCACCGTCGGTGCCCATGTTATTGCGATTCCTCTTTTTGTTTGCCCCCCATTTCTCAGGTCAATCCATTCCGAGTTCCCAGGGGTTGCTGCCTCAGATCTTTTGACCCGTTATTTGGGAAGTTCCCAACCTTCATGTCCAAATCATTCTGTAATTGCATCTGGGCCCATGATTTGCCGAATCTTGGTCTACCTATTTGCTGTGTTCATGTCATTCCATACTCTCCGCCCATGGCACTGCAGTGAGAGCACTCGGGCTTTTGCGTTCCCTCTTCTCAGGCCTTTCTTTGAGGCAGAAGGACTTGTAGATATCGCCACTCCATTACTCTGATCCCTCGATTCGTCTAACTCGAATCTTCTCGACTTGAGGGGGGGCATTCTGGAGCCAGGTTCTCCAACTCGGAAAATCGAGTCGATCGTTGTTGGACTTGACGATGAGCTGCACGTCTATATCCTCGTTGTCCGGACTGACCGAGAAGTACTCGAGTTGGCGGTCAAGCTGAGACAGAACGACACTGCCGCTCTTGTTCTTGCTGCGGGGCAGTAGAGGAGAAAGGCGGCAGTAGACGGGAGGAGGAGGAGTGCGGGCCATGTATCCGTATCGAGTCACAACGTTTTGGCTGTGAGTGCTGTTCAGATTCTGTCTGGATTGCAGCTCAGAGATATCCCTTCGGATGTTTCCAGCGCGTTGGATCAGCTCTCTGTGGAGATCTGGGACAGAGATGCCATGTCGGATTACCTCCTGGCGACCGAGGATGTCGATCAGCGATCTGGTGAAGCAACCATTGTACTTCCAGGATGCCAAATCGACGTTGGCAGAAGCTCCCAGATGCTCAAAGATGCCGGAACCTGCACTAGACACCATATCATTGATGCTGTGCTGCGCGTCGAACAATGTCAGGATATCTGCGTCGCACGGAGGGGCTTCGAGAAGTCCAGCCAATGTCTTGGTGACCAGTCCCGAGCTGATGAGCATATTGCCGTTTCCCCTAGTCAAGTTCTTAGTATCATGGACAGGATTCTGAAGTTGAGAGTCACTAACCTGCCAAACCACATGGTACGGCCGCGTCCGTCTCCAGATAGGTGAGCGGCTCCTCCATACCTGAAAAGTGACGGGTATCAGTACAATTCCCAAGACAGAATAATGTATATTGACCCCTCGAGGCTTTACTTACCAAAAGATTAGCAGATTGTCCTTCTTTCCATGGATCTCCATGAAGCTCTTGAGCAGACCGGCCAGCTTCTTGGCAGGCTCGGGGTTGTCGACACGAAGAGGAAAGATGAAGACATTGAAGCCATACTTGTCCCTGAAGAGCGAATCTAGTTGATTGGCTGCGTCCTTTGCATCGTCGTCATCGGCCCAGTAGGTTAGAAGGACGTGGACCTTTAGATACGAGCTGTGGTGACGTGTGTTCCAGCCCTTGTTGATGGCCGCTTGCAGAGGTTCCTTGAGTTGGGCGCCGAGGCGCTTGTCACGTCGAACCTTGTCAGTCACGACCTCGAGTACGCGATTCCACGTCTTTCTGGCCTCAAAGGGCTTGTCGTCCTCGTCATCGTGTGTGCTCTCTTCACGCTGCGGCATGATCTTGTCAGTAAAGGTGCCAATGACACGGCTGATGCGGTCGCCGGCACGTTCAAGTCGATTCTTGCTGCGGCGTCGAGTTCGCTGGGGCCCGCGCTGGGCAAGCGACTGCCGAACAAACGTTGAAGAGTTCATGGTCTTCTGCTGTGATTGCACCCTGCAATTGGGAAGTGAGGCTTGAAAATTGCTGTCTCGAGTAGGGTGGGGAGGCTGGCCTTCAAAAGAGATCTATGGCATGACTTCTATAGAAATCAGGTATATGTCGAGTTTTCGTCCCAAGTTGACTTTGATTGTACCAGTTATTCCGTCCGAAGTCGATTTAGATTGTAGAAGTTTTAAGAACACATCCTATCCTTAAATGCTAATGGAAGGAGGGCTGATTGACGGTGAGTATTGCTGGGAGTGGGAAGCTTTCTTGCTTTCATTGAACAACAATCCTGACAGGTACTGTCCGTTTGTTGTCCAAGCTGTTTCCCATTTTGAACTACATCGCTATCAAGAGTGGCAGGTACCTATAGGAAGTTTCTTTTACGTGGTGCACTGAAGACGACGATTTGGATATGCCATGACGACGGGTCAGGTGAAGATGCCGTCTAGACACGATGTTTTCAAGAGGCGACGAGACCCATGAAGCCAGCACGGGAAGGCACAGAGTCGTCGGCATATCGTCAAGCATAACGTTGAGAGAATGGGTCTACATGTCGACGATGCAAGCATACATGTTGATTCATAAGTCGAGGGGAGAACAATACAACAACACGACGCCGATGTCGACAGGAGAACATGCACCTGTGGAATTCTGGACAGATACATCACATACTGTTGTTTATGGGGTGTCTCTGTCGACATTTATCACAAGATTTAGAGACATATAATCATGAGAATGGGCGCCCCTTGTTCGTAAGCACGAGTGCATGGTCTAGGCCTGATGAAATATCCGTCACACGTTCGCCCCAGGCCAAGTTTGGCACGTCAAGCTTGAATGTCATTGGCTCGACGTTATATCTTTTATATAAACGCTGTGACGGAGAAAGGCGCATAATTATAGGTAGGTTTCGATAATGAAAGTTGGGACGGAAAGAAGCGCAACTGCACAGTTTGTGCTGATATAGTCCTAGGCCTTGGTTGAGTTCACAGGTTTGCAAGCCAGATGGTTTTCATTCTTGATACCCAGAACCGCACGTTACCTTGGATCATGATAACACTCACTGTTTCTGACAATGCCCGCCTACTTTCACAATTACGCATACTCGACGCCTAATGGAAGCTTTGAGAATGTCTGGGATAAGACTGTGTGCAGCGGAGTCGTGCTGTGTTATACAAGTTTTACAATCTACAGAATGCCATGTGATTGTTACGTGGTATCTTTCTTTGACATGGGCTTATCAGGTGGTGTGCCTGTGGGAATATACAGCTGACCTTTTTGTTCAGCCTCTTCTCTTCCCTTGTCGTGTCTGAGTTCTTCTCTCATTTGATCCCATGATTTCCTGGACAGATCCATGCCTGTCTCGCGCAGAGACTTGATTGTGTCTGTTATCTCCCTAGTGTGGCCGGTGCCATGCTCTCCAGGATATTTCTTACCGCTCTTTTCCCATTGCTCGTCCGACACTACCTTGATGATACGAATGAAGTGCTTGCCACGACGCACAATCAGCAGTTCGCCATCAATGAGGAAATTGCGATTGTCTTTTGGGAACCAGTTCTTTGCAGGAGTAAAAGTCAAATCTCCCCATGTCATGCCCTTGTTCGTGGCTGACTTCTGACCCGGAGCTCCAGCTACATAGGCGCCGTTGAATTTTGTCAAGCGCACACCATCAGAGACTGAGCTAGCAAGGCCAGAGGCGTAGAGAACGTGGCCCAAGGACTTGCCAGTAATGAGTGATTCGGGCAGTTCCATATCGGCCTTGAAGTTGATGGCCGCCTCCTGAGAAGCCGGCTTACCATCTTGCGGGTACTGTTTTAGTTCTTCCTGGGCGGTGGGCAGTGCATTAGCCGTAGAGATACCACTTTTCTTGGAGTACATGGCTTGATGCTGCTCTCGAGCATCCTTGGCCAACTGTTCGCTATGAGCCAGTGCGACGAGCTCGAAAGCCAGAGCATGCTGGGCAACGCGTTTAGCGGGCTCCCGGGCATGTTCTTCCATGACTGTCTTGACCGATTCAAGAGGCATAAAAGTCAGGACTTTGAGGAGATTCTCGACATCGGCGTCCGGTCGGCGCATAAAGTACCCGTAGAGATCAAATGAGCTGGTCATGAAGGGGTCTAGCCATACGGCATTCCCTGCGCTCTTGCCGAATTTGGCGCCAGAAGAGTCGGTCAGCAATGGGACAGTAAAGCCGACGGGAGTGTTTTCCAGGGAGTCGTCCATGCGGAAGTCGGGGTTGGGCTCTGTGTCGCGAATGCACTTGACCGCCTCGACACCTGTGACAATATTGCCGTACTGGTCCGATCCACCAATCTGCATCATCACGTCTTGTTGCTCGACCAGTTTCCACCAGTCCCATCCTTGCAAGAGGGGGTAAATGAACTCGTCCAGCGGCATGCCTTCAGCAGTCCCCTCGAGCCTCCTCTTGACGGTATCGCGAGACAAGAGTGGTCCCATGCGCATGCCTTTGAAAAGCCGGCCAACAATTTCCATAATGGGCGTGCTGTTCAGCCATATACTATTGTTCATAATGGCACGACTCCACGATGAGTCCTTCTCATACTTGTAGTGTTTCGCTCGGGCGTCGACATTACGCCAAAGTGACTTGAGTTGGTAGTGTATCTTGGTGGTATTCATGGTGAGGTCGCTTCCCGTCATCTTGTCGCGGTCCTTTAGGCGGTCTGTTGGGTCGCCCACCTTGGCGGTTGAGCCTCCGACCAGCGTGACCGCCCCATAACCGTGTATGTACATCCAGAACAAGGCCATCATGGGGAGAAGGTGGCCGACATGCAGAGATGGCGCGGTAGGGTCGACTCCGACATAGGCACTGATTCGTTTCCTCCTCATCAGCTCCCAGATCTGTTCCGAAGTGCCAGCAGTATCCTTGACGTAGCCACGCTCTTTCAGCACATCCCATAGATTGTATTCTTCGCCCGCTTTGATCTTGGCGGCTTTACGTCGCCATGCCTGTTCGTGGAGTGCCCGTCTTCGCGTAACATTTTCGGTAATGAATCGTTTTTGAGACTGGAGCGCAGCCACGCGGGTCTGTGAAACCAGACAATGGCGGCATGTGGTTGCGCGTGCGCCCACGATCGAGGCTCTTGAGGCCATAATGGACGTTGTGTGTATGATCGAACCGGCAGTGGTTGAGAATTAAATAAAGAAGAAGAAGAAGCAGCGAAGGCAAACCGCCAATGCGACTGGCGGCTTGCTTTAGTAGTACATGCAGAAGAGAGAAGAGGATAATAATAGTACACCAGGTGCCTATTTCGTAGGCGAGAATCAAATGAATGGGAGGGTATCTCAATGCGCTCGCTGTGCTCTCTCTCTCGCGCTCTCTTCCTCCGTCCCTCTCTGTTTCTTTCACAGGCCTCGAGCTTTGCGACAACCCTAATCTGCATGTATGCTACTTACGTTAGCTACTAGCAGCAGCAACTTTTTTGGAAATTCGGAGCTAAATTCGGCGGATTAATGTTGCGGTACTGGGATTGGTCAAGGGTTTCCAGGTTCCACGCTTTGGAGAGGCATCGGAAGAAGCCGTGAGCGTCCCGTATAAGAAGAATAAAGGGAACCGAGGGGAAAATAAAAAGGCCATTGCTCTTGATCCACGACCAGTCTTGCCAAGAAATGAAACAGCTCAAAGTGCAAAAGAAAAAGTGAAAGACAGTAGAAACACCTTGAAAAATCTAGAAGTTATACATGCAATGTTTAAGGATAGATGTCTGAACAAATGGCACGTTCCGATTTCATCAAGAGGCCATGAAAACGGACAAAAGGTTTGGACCAATCACAGAGCTCCTAATTCCGCCTTTCCTCGGCAATCGGGTGCTCCAATTTGGCGCTAGAGTGACGAATGAAGGAAGGAAAGTCCACTGCTGGGCAGACAGACCAGACATTCTGCTTGCTTGTAGTGAGCGAAAGAGTCGAGACATCATTGATTCGTGTTGGGTCAATTGCGACAACGACAACGACCAACTATCCTCCACTGGAGATATCAAACGGCACAACGTAGCCGAAGAAGCAATTGACTTCACACACCACACACTTGCATCATGGCCTCCATCGTCCGCCCTACGCTGCTGAGGCAGACTGCCCTCGCTGCTGCCACCCGCCGAGCATCCCCGGCCGTGCGAAGTGCCGTCTTGAAGGATGTCGCGCGTGTCTCTGCCTTCCACGCCAGCAGCCGGAAGAACCTGCTTCCTCCAGGTCCTCGTATGCGCTCCCCATCAATGGATATCTTCTTGCTCGTATATGCTAACAACCGTGTCCAGAGGTTATCAAGGGAACAGGTACAAAGCCCATCACCACCGACGATTTCCCGTTTACGCTCTCTCCTCGACCAAATGCTACCTCGTGTTTGCGCATCGTGGCAGAAACCAAAGCGACGTAAAGATGAAAGACCGCTGACATGGCAATATAGTCAACGACCCTGCTCCCGTCCCGACCCCTTCGCCCTCGCACGGCTCCTACCACTGGACCTTTGACCGTCTGCTCGCCGCCGGTCTGGTCCCCTTGACCCTCGCGCCTTTTGCTGCCGGCTCCTTGAACCCCGTGCTTGATGCCACCCTGTGCGGCGCTATCCTCGTACACTCGCACACTGGTTTCCAAAACATTCTTATTGATTATATTCCCACTGGCCGCTTCCCCAAGGCCCGCAAGTTCTCCATGTGGGCTCTCAACGCCGCCACTGTCTTGGTCGGCATTGGTCTGTACGAGTTTGAGACCAACGACGTTGGTGTGACGGAGGCTGTTAAGCGGGTGTGGAAGGCTTAAGCGCTTCTTTTGAAGAGGGCGGTTATAGAAGGCGGTTAGACTGGTGATAGCAATCATCCTGAAAGAAAGGTACTTGGATGAACGGAAACTTGCTTCACAAACCCAGAGAGGCCGGTTTGGGCGCGCATACTGTACTACAACATGACCAGTATATACACTTGCTTTTATGCGATTCAAAGTTATGCCAAAACATATACATGTGTATCCCTTCGTGTGAACTCTGTGGCTGTTCTCTCTCCCCTGATGCGACTGTCATATTCGACTTGAGGACCTACATATCATATCTAGAACAATCGGTTTATGATCAATATCAACGTCAACTCAAGCACACTGATAAAAGTACAAACCGCGGGAATACGGGGGTTTCAACGGGATGTGGTTCATGTGTGCTGTTGAAAGATATGGCAAGCCGATAGACTCGAGCCGAGTTGCATTTAATCTGACTTCCCTTGACAATTTCAAGGCTGGCAGACGCTTCAGCTAATGCAGAATCAGATGGTCGGCATTAATGTCCGTTTGGCACTTGCGCCGTTTCAGAAAATAGTAACAATCAGCAAATATGCTGTAGATATAATGACCGGGGTATATCGTGAATTTCTGCGAGAAACATGCTTCATTGCTAGCATTGTTTCGCAGATTTATTGGAGAATAAACTACAACTGGCCTTGAATTGTCTCCAAGATAGACTTGCGCTACTGCCCAGAATTCTATTTCTTGGGGGAAACCATCGGAAAAGCAGGCCTCTTCGGCACATGTCTGCTTGTGCCATCTGCAAAGGCATCTAGCTTCGATCTCTTTCCATGCCAGTCAAAATTATTCGCAACAGAAGCATACATTTCTCGGCCTGCATGTTGCAAACTGAATAAGATGTTTCTCTGCTGGAAATAAGACAATGTATACACGTAGAAACAAACACTAGCCTTCCGCATGCGTGATTGCGCCAGCTGATACTCCAGGGGAAGCAAAACACCCAGAGCCGTAAGCGGATGATGAATGCAAGAAACTTTGTTCAATCATGGTGGTGGTAATCAATGGTATAGGTAGGTATGTGGCTTGTGTCCGCGACCTGTATCACCTAATAGTTTTCAATGAATTTATGGACTCTGGTCCTATACCTCGTATATCGAAACAACCCCCCACGGACCTCCATGATAATCCAGCCTAGACGCCGTCATGTAAATGCTATCAAAGTACTTTGTCTTGTTCTTCCGCTTCGCTGATGTAATATGAGAAGAAAGGCAACCACCAAAGGAAATCTTGCTCAATATTTGCATAATTATCCAAATCCAAAACGTTCTGGGGTGTTCTGGATTTCCGTTTCCACAAGAAAAAAAAAATAGCCCAAAAGATCGGACAGCAACAGAGCTCCCTGTCCTGCTGTCTTTGCTTTTACTCTGGCTTCTGGCCCGACCAGAAATAGAAATTCCAATATCGATGGGCCGACATGTCATCCAAGGCCTTGAACGTTGCTGTGCGCCACATCTCCCTCTCGACTTGGTTCATACCGAGTACGGCAAAGGGCTTGTTGGCCAGGGCAGGCAGGAAATCCTGAATGACCAACTTCAAGTAGTGTCCAACTAATCGCAATCGCCGGTCCCTCGCCCAGGTTCCAATCGGGATCTTCTTGACCACACATTGAATATTTGTGAATCCGACGGCCTCTAGAGGTTTGTCGAGCTTGCATGGTGCGTGTATATTCAAGCCTAGCTTGGCGAAGGCTTCAACGACGAGCTTATAAAAACCAGCGACATGGTCGTCGGGGAGCATTGTCCCATCGTCGCACTGCGGCCAAGCATGCAATTCTTGAAACTCTATCCAGCCGCCCGGTTTCAGGTTAGCATATGATTGCGCGCACATTTTCTGTACATCTTTGAGAACCGGAGACATGAAGCGCATGTGCACCAAATCAAAGTTGTCGCCATTGAGCCATTCCTCCTCGCAGTCATCGATAATAAACTTGACGTTTGGCGGTATCCAAACAGGCTGTATAGGCGAAAGGTCAATGCCGAGCACCTCGGCACTGGGGTATTTGTCACCGGCTGTAGCATCTTTCTGTCAGTAACCGCTCGTCACACGCGAGAAAGCAAAAAAGAAAAAAAATCGAATGCCTATAGGTTATATAGCTATAGGACAAGCATGGGTCTGACCAACCTTCTATAGCCCATTGTCCTGCAGAGCGGGGGAAACCAGGCCAACATCAGCAATTGTCTTTGGATGATAAATCTCAGCTAGAGGGACTGTGAATATACTCACCTGTTCCTGTGCCAATGTCGATGATCTTTTGCGGGTAATCACCGATGGGAGCATATACCAACTTGCCATCGGTCATCTCCAGCATCATTACATGCTTCATATCTTCACGGTTCTGCTCCTGGTCATCATTCGGTATAGGATATCTTCCATTTTTATAACTGTGATATCTTCGGCCATTCTCGTAAGTGTGCATGTATATGCTGGAGTTGATCGAGGTTGAGGCAGTTGATGCGCCGCCATCTTCACCCCACTCCGAGGGTGTGAATTCGTCGCTATCGGCATTGCTCTCGGCAGCTTCGATTGTGTCGTCCTGCGCTGCAACGAGTTCGGGCGGCGGCAGAGCTTCTTCCGGCGAATGAGCGGTGCTCGCGGCAGTAGGGAGAAAAGGTCCAGTGCCGGGAAGTGGTGCGGCGGCAGCACCAGCGGCGGCGACACCACCAGCAGCAGCGATTGAACTACTACTGAAACCTCCAGTAGTAGCAGCATCAATGCCCAACGGCTGCCCCGCTTGGGACATCTGGCTCCTGGCACCATCTTCACTAGTAGCATTCGACAGACCGGCGGCAGCGCTTGTTTGGTTGGGACCGGCCGCCGCTGGCCCTGGTTGTTGGGAGGAAGACATGGCCGACGAGGAAGCAACGGGCGAATTCGTTTCGCTTTCGTCTTGGGAACGAGAAAAGAGACTACGGGTCTCGCTCCCGCAATTGCGCGTGGTACTTTCTTCTCCCTCTGCTGTTTCCCTTCCGCTGACGGGCCTTGGGCGGGCGCAATCAGGTACTCGTTGCCCCCTTCAATGGCTTTCTCTTTTCAGGTAGGTAGGTACCGTAGCCCCAATGCAAAGAGCGGGCCGACCGAGCGCGGGGCAGGCAAAGTAGATACAGCAGTAATGGAGGGGCGGGCGTCTGGCGTTCAAGGGAAGCAGGGGGAAGGAAAAAAAAGTTGTCAACAGAAGACAAATGAGTAACTGTTTGGCGAGCGACAAGACACGGGATATGGAATGTGGGCGGGCATGTGAGCGAATCCACTTCAAGGCCAAGCAGAGCGAGAGACAAAAAAAACACACACAAAGAGTCGGCCGACGGTTGGTTTTTTGGTCAGAGTTGTTCCCCTGCTTAGTTCCACCTAGAAGGATCAGAGGCCGCGGCGATTGTTATTGTGCGGATGCCGGGGACGACAAATTGCCGCAGACGAATAGCAGAGGCGAAGGAGGCGTCAACCAGGACAGGATAAGTTATAACGGACGCTTGTTCTCGAAGGAGCAAAGTGTTGGAGAGGAGACGACATTTGAGAAACAGATCAAAGTCGATCTTGTCTGGGGGGGGTTTTTTTTTTCCTTCAGCCGCAACCGCTGGCATGTCGGCCGAGAGCCGAGCGAAGAGGTAATGGCGGGCTTGTTTGGGGAGCACTGGAGCTTCAGCGAACTGGAGATAGGCAATGTGAGGTCAGCAGATGGTTAGTAGATATTGCGCATTGTAGGCGGAATGCGATGTAGATGGCAAATGGGGATTGACTGTAGGTTTCTTTTGTACAGATACTACTAGTAGTAGATGTCTGGTAGGTAGAGGTCAAAAGATAGCTAAATACATAGTTGAGATTCCTCCTGCATCGTGTACCTAACGTCATGGAATCGAATAAGCTGTACTATAGCTCGTACACTGGGCATTGAAGTATGCTCAGTTCCTCTATAGCTGTGCACCGCCCCAAGTCAAGTGCTAAAAGCCGTCTTACCTACAGGTAGGTACACGTGAGCTAGCGGTTTGGGGGCTACGATATACTTGCTGCCTTGAAAAGCAACTTTGAATATATTCTGGTCAAGCACCATGCATCCGTCCAACTCAGCTCAGCCATCAGGGTAAAGTAGATCCATTACTGTTACTTGTCGTTCATGTTCTTCCCCTCCTGCTTGGCTGATCATGTCAATCGAGCTGTGGTCTGTTGCTCTTGAGCAATCTTTTAAGAGGGCTGGGCTGGACTCAATTTGACTGGCTTGGCTTGTGCAAGATGCTACATACCTCCTAACCATAACTCTACTGCTGCTGTAACTACGCTTCTTTTGTGTAATCTAGGACCACCAATATGGCGATGCCAGAAATCTCTCGGCATTACAGTGTCCCCCCCACCTGGAGTGTATCGATTCTCGGAAGGAAGCGACAGACACGGGACTCGGGGCGACAGCCAACTCGGGCAGCGCACTCCATACGGGCATTCGCCCCCGGGACGAGCAAGCCAACAGCTTCATTGGGTAAAGCCACGACTTTTGGCATCTATTGTAATTGTCTATCAAGGATATTGGATGTGACAAACAGAGTAGAGCCCATGGCTACACTAATAAGATACTATCCTACCCAAGCTATGATTGCAAACACGAATGAGCCACCCGAAGCCCCGAAAGGCGTAAGAGTTTGCCTACTACCTAATATATGTATGTATATACTACTGTCTATCAGTTTCATCCCCTCCAAAGAGTCGACGCATATCAGATCCGACATTCCAGATCGATGCAACCTCCATCACTTTGGTACAACCATGTCCCCCACACCTCCCGCTCTGGCCTCAGCCTCTCAACCTCAAACCGTCAACTCAAAAAGTACAATAGAGTACTATGCAGGACCGACCTGGGTATGTGGGTAGTAAGCCTAGGTACGGGTACCCAGGTTAGCTAGGTGGTTGGTACATTAGCAGCCTCATGCCATTTTGCCCAGCATCCGGAACGACTTCCATCAGGAGGAAGCTAGAGCGATTCCCCCCCGGAATAGCTGACCGGTCAGTAGTCGAAACAATTGAAACCGCGATCACAAGCAAACAAAGAGTGAGGCCTTGGAGGGGTCCCCCCCCCCTTGCTCGTTCTACTATAACATGCCGACCCTTACCCTAGCAGCGACAACCCGATTCCCCATAGCTGCACTCTCTAGATACACTATTGCTATTATTGCTGGCGAACTCACCCATCCTTGGGCATCCACATTCTCGCTGCCGAAAGTAGTACTACGTAATCGCCACCATGCACAATGGGAGACGTACCAGTAGTCGTGGATGGATGTTCCTGGCCCGCCAAACGCTGCCGACGATTACATATAGTATTGTTCCCCCAGCACGCCCAAATCTAAACCCACAAATCCGAGTGCGTCCAAGGGGTATTATTCCACCGGGATTATCAGCTATCAGTTCCCAGGAAGAATCAAGTAGGCACATACGTACCTATCTATCGGTGATTCTCCGCCATTACAGTCATCATCTTGCTTTTTAGGAACATTGGCGTCCCGAGAATCCCAATGGAGATGGAATCATGTCAAAAAGAAATGCGTGTGAAGTCACCTTGGAGTGCAGCATTACATCGTGGGTGATCGTTCCTGGTGGAAATGCACTTCCGTCTGTTCCTGGCAAACATGATCCTAGACGTGGATTGCCCTGGAGAAAGCGTCGTACGGCAGCTAACCGAGGGACACGCATCGCCTGCACGAGCCCTGCCGGCAGAGGAGAGTCGAATTCGGCTCCTATTCCGGCGACAGTGGTGAGATGGATGCTTCAAGAGTCGAAACAAACCGCCTGCAAATGTGAGTGGAGCTCTCAGGAGGATGACTTTGAATGCGAATGTTTAGCGCCTTTCTACGACCATTGTATTCCCCTTTCGTACTTTTCTTTTTCGTAGTACAACAAGCAAGAATTACTGGAATCTGCCCAAAATCGGAGCTAGGCACCATCGTGATACTAAAATCTGCTACTAATTAGCAATGACAGCTGACAGCTCCACGCGCCGTTTAATGTTTTGACGCAGCTAAACTGCTCAGAGAGAATGGGATTTGTTCTTGACCTTCTAGAAGCTTTGCTAGTGTATGACAATCATTCATCTCATCATCTACGGACCTACCTACCTGGCAACCTGGCGCCCAACCTAGCCAAAGACATAAAGTACTCCGAACTTGGCCAGAGGATCCCCCAAGTCCACGCTATCACGATCTAGCACAGACGATTCTGTCGCAGCTTCTGAGAAGCGTCGTGGCCCGGAAATGATCTCATGCGGTGCGTGCTTGACACTGCGCTCCGGCTTGCTGAATCTCATGGTAATGCTTTTTCCCCCCCTTGCAGAAGGGACGAGCTGGCTATATCTGATCCCAACAAGGATCCCGAAACATTCAACCTGAATGAGCCTAAGTGGTGAGAAGAGTGGTGATAAAATACCTTTGGTTGATAGAATTTATGCGGGCCGGCCTATATTGGATTACAATTATTGAGGATCCTCGGAGGCTCAAGAATATGTATCGGCAAGACCACCCAGACCCCTCGTTCCGACTGTTGACAAATTAGACTATGCGGCTTGGGTGTCACGTCATGAGTAACACAATTGCCTTTATCTGCTCGGAAAGCTTGTGAAGGCTACGGGGACCCCGATTCCTTATTTGAGCTTGATATTGGGCACGTAGATACCTACCTTGTGCTGAACACACCTAGCTCCGAACACCCAGTCGGCTGTTTTGGGGAACCTCGTTTGTCTCTCGGTCCATCTTCGCGTAGCATTCTCGGAAGACTCCCAGGTTCCTCGGCCGTATATCGAGAGCATGCTGGCTGAGGCTGGGTCACGTCCGCCATGGCATTCCTCCAAGCTCCTCAGAGTTGCGCCGCGGCCCTCGTACATCGCTGTCACCCCAGACATGGCGATACTACCTGGCCGGACATGACGACGGCTCTGTCCAATCAGTGGATGCCCACTGTATGCGATGTGGACAGGGGACGGTCCGTCTGGAAGATGTGGAGAATGGCTTCTGGAAAAGACTTGAGACACGCCAATCCGACTTGTGGAAATTGTACCGAAGAGGCAAGTCGCAGCTTTGGCCTGAGCTGCTCGTCCTGTTGCATTATGAATAATTCGTAGATCTTCTATCTCTCGAACCTTCTGAAGTCGGTTACAAGAGTTCCGATTAATTCGCGACAGTCTGAGTTCATGACCGCGAGTTATCCATTCAGTTGCTGTTCGTGGTTCAAGTCTCCGCAAGGGCTTTTTCGTCAACCGGGCAGCTGGAGCAATAGCTGTAGACGGTAGACTGCGTTCCGTGGGAAGTTGCAAACTATGTCGTATCGTGCCGTCTTGGTGGCATGTTTTTTTTTTTTTTCTATTCTGTTTCTTCCCCCTCTTCTGAATGATACGAGCTCCTTCTCACGATGATACGAAGGGGGCATAGATAGCCCACTCGTAATACACAACTATGGGTGCAATATCGGGTAGGGCTATAGTATGCTCGAGCCACGGGCGGTGGGATGGTGATCAGACCTAAGGAATACACAAACGGCGTATCATCTAGTTGTCGAATGCACATGTACCATGAATGATTACATTGACTACCTAGTCTACTACATACACAGTTTTATCTAGCTCCAGAATGTCATTACTTTTGTACTACCTATTTGTGGAGAATTTGTCACTGCCACCTACACTACGAACAATGTCTGGTAGCCTTTTTTGCCTTTTTGTTAAAGATCAAGCAGCCTGAATTGGGGCCACTATGCTAGCCTCCAGGTTGGGCGTAGCTCCAACAATATGGGCCGAGTCGTTTGGCCGAAAATCTCCGGCACCCCGGTCCGGCGCATCCTTTCCCAGCTTTAACATTCTTTACAGAGTACTCTCTCCCACTGTCTGCCTTGTCTGCCCTTCTACTGTAGCAGTAGTAATAATGCTCATATTGCAATCGCTCTGCTTTGCCCATACCCGAAGCGAGCCTCCAGTCTGGCTTCCAAAAACGAAGCTCGGTAAACCCTCTCGCTTCAGACATTCACGACTAAGTAGGCAGTTCACTCGGCCGATTAATTGAAGACGGACGATTTCGAAAAGAAGCTCGGTACTCGGCGTCCCCAGGTACCAATCTCTAGGGTCCTCAATCACAAAACACCCGTCTGTCTGTCCCAAAGAACATGGCCACCCTTCTGCCCAATGCCCAACTGGAGACTTGGCCCTCTAGAGGCGTGTGCTCCTTATGCTACCTCCTCCAGTCGATCTTGGAACGTTTGACGTCGATGAATGAGATGGCCGCCCCCACTGTCGACAAGCTCATCATTCGGGAAGGCGGACTTGTCACCACCGCCCCCCAGGCGTCCTGTCCCTTCTCAGTTCTAAGTGTTTACATTTCTTGTTAATTAATTCCTCCCACACGGCGGACTAGTTGACTTAACCATGGAGGATACTCCCCACGCACTATCATGGTACCTTATTGCCCTTCCGCGAGTTGTGTATCTCCTCACCATAGTCTGTGCTGATAGTGAAATTCGGCTACCTAGGTACCCTTTTTTCCCAAGCTATGTACTACCTACCAACAGGCCCTGCTCAACTACCACCATGCCTCTTTGGCAAGCTCGTCCTTGGTTGACAACCTACCTACTTATCCTGCCGACAGCCCCCCTGTGCTTCTGGCAACCCCGGCCAATTATGTCATGCATAGTCTTTCCAAGGGTCATCTCCGTGCCGTTTTCCAACTTGTCTTTTGTTGTAATAGTCCCCTTTGGGTAAAACCCGGTGGTGCGGCGCTTCTCCACTGTTCCGTGATGGCCCATCATCAAACTTCATATAAAGTTTCCAGGATCAAGTCGCGACAGCCTCGGTGGTCCTAGTAGACGATCTAGGACAGACTTCCTAGCTTCTCGGCTTTGATATATTATCCTGGGACGTGTCCATCATGTTTACGGGCTGTTTTTCCCACTACCTCTGTCATGATACCATTCCATCCTGCCGTTAATAACTGAAACCATTTACTATTCCTCGACTATTGCCAGCTCATTCAAAAGTTTATCTTGTTTCTTCTCTTCTTTTCTTGCTCGTCTATAAGACAACACTGTCACTACCGAATAGTACAAGAAACATAGCCGGAAGACGGCGGCCAACGGCATCCCATTCGTTTATTCCCGAGTAAACAGCAGCAACTACAAGTGCCCCATCATGAGTTCGTCACGGCGGCGCATGGCGACAAGCGTTGCCAATGTCATGTTCACCAATGCCGTTTATTTTCCCAATTACAAAATCTATAGCGGCGCCACCCCAGGCATGTTGAACTATGGGTGTATCAGCCACGTGTTCTACGCGTTCGCCAGCGTTGCGATAGATGGGTCTGTTTTTGTAAGTGAGGTCGCGTGCGCCATATCCTGTTGTGTCCTATCCTGCTTCGGCCTGGAACGGAGCCTTCTCGGAGCTTCGGCGCTAACAACGGGTTTCCATCAGTTGAGCGATGAATGGGCAGACGCGCAGGCCCCGTGCGATGGAGTACAAGGGGGACTGGGATCCTTGATGCACCTTAAACAAGCTCATCCCCATCTCCAGGTCATCTTATCAGTAGGTGGCGGCAATTCTAGCGAGGTCTTCCCCGTGCTTGCCTCGGATGCGCTGCTGCGAGATAACTTTGGTCGCTCGGCCAGAGGCCTGGTTGAGGCATCAGGATTTGACGGAATCGATAGTAAGGCTTCCTCTTTTTGTCTTCTTCTTCTCGCTCCCCTCCCCTGCCATTGGCGTCTATAGATATAATGACTGCTCAGGCTGACACTTGGGTTTCCTCCTCCAGTCTGCTGGGAATATCCCTCAGACGTGCAACAGGGCGCCGATTTTGTCGCATTGCTCGAAGCAACTCGACTTCACCTGCCGGCTGATGAGTACTTCCTTACAGCGGCACTACCGGCGTCGCAGGGTATTTTGCAATGTATAGACATCCGGACGGCGGCCCACTATCTCGACATGGTTAATCTCATGGCTTACGATTTCTATGGGTCCTGGACGCATCGCAGTGGCCACCACTCGCAGCTCTACGCAATGAACAAGGACGAGCCGTCAGGGACGTCGGGAATTGCCTTCCTCATCGGCGCCGGCTGCCCCGCGAAGAAGATCAACCTCGGCATTCCCCTGTACGGGCGTAGCTTCTTGGGCGTTTCGGGACCGGGTCACAGGTTCAAGGCGGTGGGCGGCGAAGACGGGACCTTTGACTACAACCAGCTGCCGCGCAAGGGCGCAAAGGAGCAGGTTGACAAGAGAATAGGCGCAGCCATGTGTGTGGGTGGCGATGGAGGCTTCGTCAGCTACGACAACCCAGACACAGTCAAGATGAAGGCAACTTATTGCAAGCAAAAGGGCCTTGGTGTAAGTGTTGAGTCATCCATCTGTTCATTCGTTCATATGTACCTATCTATCCTTCCATCTATCTTATTCCTCGTCGTGATAAGATACTATTCTCCACTAGAGCAGAACACATTGCTAACCATATGAATCCAGGGGTTGTTTTACTGGAGCGGGCCCTCCGATGCAAGGGAGACATCCCGAAGCCTCGTTGCGACTGGTTTCAAAACATTGCATAGCTCATAGAAGGAACAAGCAAGGGGTGGGAAAAGGTAACATGAAATCCCAAAGGGTGTGAAAAAAGAAAAGAAAAAAAAAGGGAAAGGAAGCAAGGATGCTTTGGTCTCGAGGGTTGATCTCTCCATCTTCTGAAATCCCCTTGGTATTGGACTGCATTAATGGGTGGGGGCGTTCAAAAGGAAAACGGCGTTTATTGACTATAACGCACTGGGCCAAGGTGGTCAGTCGGTTATACACCACCGCACCTTCTGGTATTTCCTCAATCATATTAGCAGGCGGGATGACAAAATTATTATGAGCATTTATGGACAAAATGGGCGCTATATTAGGGTATTGTTTTTTGGGGGGAAATAGGGGGAAAAAAGTCCTTTCTTTGCGTTTGCAACTGGCTTGATAGACATGGGGCAAATATGTGGATGGTTTCCGGGTCATGTTTATTATCATAGAGGGCATTTGAAATGAGAAGCAATGGATAAATACACTTTTGATATTGATCGCCTTCCCTTGGCCCGCCTTTGTGTTTCTCATGGCTCTCCGTGATATCAAGCGATATCGTATTGGTAAAATGCAGGGAGTCTCGGATAGCTGGTATGCGATATGGACAATCCTTGGATATGTACGGTACTTGTGTGTTCGGAGCTGTCTTCGGAGGGTTAGGAAGATAACCTAGACTGCAGCCTTGATATGATAGTATTTGGAAGAGAAAGATCCGGGTTGGAGATTGAAATGTGTAAAAAATTATCAAGTATTATCGCTTCCATGGTGGCCTGCAGTGCTGCATGAAGGGACGTTGTTGATATGTGTCACTAATGTAAGTGCTCCATAACAAAGCATGTGTAAGGCTCGAGCAGCACACCTTTATTTTGAAAACGAAAAATCTAATTGGAAATTGGAATTTAGCGCCTCTATTGCGTACAGATGCACCCTTCCGTATGATTTCTAAAACGTTGCAATAGGAAAGCAATAGGTTCAGCTGCCTTATTTCTTATTTTATGTTTTCCTTCTTTTCCCACTCTCACGTTTTCCTCACTGATTGATCGTCACACGCTTGGACAGGACTTGACTCATGTAAGTCTGATGCTGAATATATAGGTATCTATCTTACTCTTATTTCTACTTGGTGCCTTCAAGGTTGTTAAGTCACCTACCACTCAACCTGGATGCATAATGTACATTACTGGGAAATGCCTATCTGGGGTTCAATTTTGGTTTGCGCGGAACCCGGCCGGCATATTCCGCGTTAACCCACATGATGGGACCTTGCAAGGTAAGGTACCTACCTGCATTACAAACATTAGTAGGTACATACCTACTACGGAGTGCTAGGTACATTTGTTCAATGCATGTGTCAGGACTCAGGCACGCTACCACCACTGCACGCTGCTGTACCATGCACGCTTACGGGGGTACCAGACATGTGGAAGGGACATTGAACCTCAAGCTATCCATCCGCCTTTCAATGTTCAACCTTAGCTGGATCGAGACACGTGCTGGTTATGTACTTGTCTTGCTTCTCTTGCTCATCCAACGATCAATCTTCAGCGCACAGCTCAGATCAGCTGTTCCGCTGACTTTGCAGGCAATCGTTTGGCAGCTCCTGCTTTTGCCATGAATGGAAGCGCCATAGAACCGCTGGCGCTGGACGCAGGTAAGCTCCCATTCAAGTCCACCACTGCCCCCCATCTGCAATAGGGATGATGGGAAAGATGGACGGGCGCAATTGATTCATGAAAAAGAGCCTCGAGCACTACGACTAACACACTCTTTCCTCTCACGCGAACAGCCGACTACGACCCGATATCACATCTGAATCAAATCTTCTCCCACCCCTCCACCGTCCACTCCGTCTCGCGAGTATCCAGCACCCTGCGCGCCCATCAAGATGACCTATCCCGACAGGTCTCTGCCCTCGAGCAGGCCCAGGCCTATGGGCCCGACAGTAGCCTTGAGCGCATGCAGTCTGCTCAGGCCGAGCTCGCCGGTCTGTTCAAGAAGATCGAGACGGTGCGCAGCCGCGCCATTCAGACCGAGCAGAACATCACCAACATGACCGCCGATATCAAGCGCCTCGATGGCACCAAGCGGAACCTCACCTTATCCATGACCGCACTCAAGCGCCTGCAGATGCTGACTACTGCCTACGAGCAGCTGCGCGGTTTGGCCAAGACCCGTCAATACCGCGAGTGCGCCAGCTTGCTGGCTGCTGTGCTCCAGCTCATGCGCCACTTCAACAGCTATAGGAGCATTGAGCAAATAGCCACCCTCAGTAGGGGCGTCAGTGAGCTGCAACGCGAGCTGCTGGAGCAGGTCTGCGAGGACTTTGAGATGGCATTTGCAAAGGACGAGGTTGGGGCAAAGCGGGCGACCTTAGTCGAGGCTTGTGGTGTCATGGATGCGCTCGGTGACAATGCCAGATCGCGTCTGATGACGTGGTATCTGAACACAGAGCTCCGAGAGTACCGGCAAGTATTCAGGGGCAACGACGAGGCTGGAAGCCTAGACAATATAGGCAGGAGATACGCCTGGTTCAAGAGGATGATGAAGGGCTACGAAGAGGAACACGCCGCCATCTTCCCGCCACATTGGATGGTTGGCGAGATGCTGGCCATGGCCTTCTGTGATGGCACGAGAGATGACTTCAAGGGCATCTTGGAACGAAGCATGCGCCGCGTAGATGGGGCCAAAATTGACGTTAACCTGCTGCTGAGCTGTCTCCAAGAGACCATGGATTTCGAGCAAAGTCTCGAAAGAAAGTTTGCTGACAAGCCGAGGGCGAGTATCGACACTCTCAGCTCGGCTGACGAGAGAACACAGAATTTTAATGGATCGATATCGGTTGCCTTCGAGCCATACCTCAGCCTCTGGGTTGAATCTCAGGACAAGGCGCTTGCTGCCATGATACCAAGATACAAGGCACAGCCGCTTATACCGCCGGATGAAGAATTCTCTCCGCAAGCCGTCATCGGCTCCGCAATAGAGCTCTTTCACTTCTACAAGGTCACGTTGTCACAATGCGCCAAGCTCTCGACCGGAGAACGGCTGTTGGACTTGACCAAGACCTTCTCGAGATACCTGGATGAGTATGCGCAGCAAGTACTGTTGGCGATTTTGCAAAGAACCGGCCCAACAGCGGCATCTCTGGAGGATATTGTTTTAGTGATCAATACGGCAGACTTCTGGCATACCAACACAGGTCAGCTCGAGGATAGTATCAAGAAGCGAATAGACCCTGAGCTGGGCACCAAGGTCGATCTATCCTCTCAAGCAGATGCATTCCTCGGGGTAGCTAGCGCAGCAGTCATGACGCTGGTCAATCGAGTGGAAGCTGATTGTGAGGGTGCTTGGCGCGAGATGAAAAATACAAACTGGAGCAAGATGGAAAGTGTCGGAGACCAGAGCTCGTACGTTGGAGAGCTTTTGCAGCACATTAATGCAAAGGCTGAAGAGATATTGCACGTCTTGGCAAAGCAGCAATATGCCCGTGCTTTTGCAGACAATCTTGTCGAGCACCTTGCTGGTACATATATTGCAAATATCGTACAATGCCGACCAGTATCCGAGGTCGGTGCTGAGCAGGTATGTCTAAGCCCCCCGCCCCTCCCTTGGTATTCACTCGACATGATGTTGACTCGTGCTGTAGATGCTGTTGGACAAATACGTCCTGACCAAGGCATTTGAGAACCTCCTTTCTTTCCACAACTCCTCATCGACCCCCCATGTACCGGCTGTTGGGTTTGTGAAAAGGGTGAATAACACAATGACCCGTATCGACCCCTTGTTAAAAACTCTCCAAGTCCGACCCTCGCCACCAGAAGGTCTGGTGCAGGCATACCTTATCCACATTGGTGACAAGTCGGACACCAATTTCAAAAAAATACTCGACCTGAAGGGAGTGCGCAAGATGGACCAGTCACATCTCCTCGAGCTATTCCAGATTCACCGCGAAGGGTCTTCCAACGACAAGCTGGTAGCACAAAGCCCTCTGCTTACACCGCTCATGAATGCATCTGCTGCCGGCAACACAGTCCCAAGTATCAATCCAGGCTCCGCATTGATGGGCGCACAGGGGGCTACCAGATTTGATGCAGCCAGCCTAGGAGAGAAGTTGCTGAGTGCAGCTAGAGATGGCGTGGAGAGAATAGGCACACCCGGCCAGCAGAGCGCGGCAGGGCAACAAGCTGCGACAACCATGAACGAGAATCTAAAGAATTTTGGAAAATTCTTCCGAAGAGATATCGGAGGGCTAGGCGCCAGATTCGGCAAGAGCGGCGATGAATCGGGGAGGTAATGAGAAAATGATAACATCCCTAAGTAATGAGACTTATTCATTCTATGTTTCACGCTCCCAATACTCACAAGCTACTCGTGTGCTCAACTTCAAAACCATCAGTGATTTCCAATTCATATGAGAGGTAAACGACATGTTGCTAACCTATCTTTGGGGAATCGTCATCTTCCATCTTAATCTTATTTTCAGTTAACACGAGTCAACTATCACGCTTGCATAACGCACAAATAAGTCGGAATCAGAAATATCAAGGCCACAATCGTGATTCAAACCATTCGCGTGTACAAAAAGAGAGCACTGTGATTTCTTAGCATTGAAGTGATTAAGGCCTCTGGTTACTTTTCAGTCCTCGAAACGCGACGTTTTTGGCTCTTTTCCAAATGTGTATTTGTGTAAGTGGCGGCCTATTGTTTGGTCCGGCAGCTATGACATCATGTAACCACGCGGGCCTGTCTATAAGTCGGCAGCCCTGGACCCCGACTGAAGCCATTCAATAGAAACAATCTTTTCATGAAGAAAATTCGAGCGAAAATAAAATAACCGGTTTTTAATGCTTCAAAGATTCGCCTTTGAGAAGCGGAGTCGAGTTAGGCTGCGGATTATTCAGGCAGCAAACCCCCAAAGATTTCTTGTCATCTCCAGCTTGACATCAGTCAACGAATACCATCATCAAACTATCAAGATGTCGTGGATGGACTCATGGTCACGGCCGTCCAAGACACAGGCCACTCCGGCACCGTATTATCTCCTCCCAGGCGGCGAAAACACGCCATACTGCCATTCCTGCGGTCGCGTCATTGGGCAGCGCAAGACCAACGCGGCAGCTACCGCCAAGACCGAGGCGAAGTACTGTTCGTCAAAGTGCAGGAGTCACCGGCCGGGGAAACTGGACCGCGAAATCGAGAGCGCCTTTGTGCGGCTGCTGGAGGGCTCGGAGGAGCTGGGCGGGCCCGCGGACGCACACACGCCCATAAAGGCGGCCAAGAAGCACAAGGGCCGAAATCTAAAGTTGAAGGGAGATCAGAGGATTCTGGTCCGGTGCTCGGTAGTCGAGGGCCTAGTCTTTGGCACCAGGGATGAGGGCGCAGATGAGGAGAATCACTCTACGCGCTCTGGCTCGTCCGAACCTGAGATTGAGCACCATGAGCATCGCCCGGACACGCCTGTGGATCACCTAGTGGAATCTTCTGGGCAGCGAATTGATGAATTGGGAGACGAGGATACTTATGTAGACGGTGATGTGCTGGCCCGTTTGTCTATTCGCAGCGGAACCCGAATTAGACCAGCTCAGGACGTATCCGAGGTCAATGGGAGTGTGGGCGGCGAAAAGGGAAAGGCGGAGCGCATCGAGGAGAATGAGGAGATGCTGAAGAAGCGGCGGCTGGGCCAGCGGCGCGCCAAGGAGAAGGAAATGGTCAAATGTGCAGCTCGAAGGGGTGTCGTCTTTGGCTTTCTTGCAGGCGATCAGGACGGTGCAGGCCAAGGAGGTGGCGATATGGGAGGGAGGAGGAAGTGTGAGGCGGTTAGCAATGGTAATGTCGTGGAGCCAAGCTTTGCCAAAGGCGATTGGCAAATTCGTTGGAGGGAATAGTGTTTGTTCTTGTCTGCGTGGGATTCGTGCAGCCCCATGGTTCTCAGTGGCTCTGTCTGATTAATCTTGTTTCGACGACACCTTTTCTTTGTTGTAGAGAAAAGAACGAGTGACACGTGTCTGTATTAATAGTGTCTCTTTTCAACGGGTTGAAGAATGAAGGGCAGAAAGAAAAAGTGTCATTTGAGTCTTACAGACACTTTGGGCTCACAAATGCAGAGTGTAGCAGAAGGGGGTGTATCTGGAGGTTGGGGAAAGCTCTTCAAAATTTACCACACAGACACTTTCTCTGCGCCATAATATTATTGGTATCATTACTCAACCACGAATCGGACGGTGAGACGAAATTATGCGAATATTGATAATATGCTATCTTTGTGCAGAGTTGACTTGAAGTACAGCTTTCCATTTGTTGAACAAAATATAGCCCCATATGATCGTTTTGTTATTACAAGGAACTGAGGTTCATTGTTGGTTAGCGATAAGATGATGGCGCAAATCATGGTGAGATCGGATGGAACTGAGCCGTTGGGACCAGAAATGTGGACATGACCAACGCATGAATGAGATACTCCAGTGGGCATGTTCATTCCTGCCTGTCGGTACGATCAAGCAAGAACGAAAAACGATCTACGCGTCAACCGTGATCAGCGAGGTTTCACTCTTGGCATCATCTACTCCAATTTCCATCGTTGTACAGAGTAGAGATGATCAACATAGAGAAACAAGTTTGACATTATCACGCCTCGACGCTGTACAGTATATATCTTGAAAGAGTACACCCGGTTCAATGATGGTAGTTGCCCAGCACGAATGGAAGAAGAGAAAATTGCATTGACCGAGAAAAGTTGAGCAGGCAAATGATACAATGCGCTGAGTGACTGAGTGGCGCAGTGAATCAAATGCATTGATTTCGCAATGCTCTGATCAATATCAACATCATCATCATCATGGCATACATGGTGGAAGCGCCGTTTCCCCTTGGCCAGAGGCACACGAGAGAAAACCATGAGATGCGTTTGTGACTCGCCTGGAGATGTGAGGTCAGATCAAACGCTTGCGAGTCTCAGATGTCGTCTCAAAGGGGAGCAGACCCCTGTTGAGACGGTTTGGCCGCACAGACGGGGCCCATGATACCCCTGTAAGCGAGCGTCATGAGGCTTAAATTAGGTTACTGGACCGCTGGATAGCGCCCTGAAATGCCGACCCTTTACAGTCGTCGGAACTTCCTAGTGGACAGTTTGCCGCTCGCAACACTCGTCTGCTAGGCTCCTTCTCATTCTCATCTCACGATGGATCTGGGGCACTCAATGTTCTGGGGGTTTGTGGCTTCGGCACTCCGCGCCGAAATTAACGACGAGGTCCCTGACATGAACAATCTTGGAGCGTAGGTACAGACAGTCTGACAGACACATGTGTGTGCACGATCGGATTGCCCCAGGCCAAGATCGGACCCCAGCGTCATTCTACCGACACACAAGATTTCATCTTGTTAGCCTCTGAGAAACCCGGATTGCCTATTGAAGACAACATCACAAATGGTGTCGTATCTAATGTTTCTCAACACTTACTACTTGTTGGCGCTGTTATACACGCAGGTAGAGAAACGACCAATAAGCCGCACTCATCATGGCGATACTCTGTACGATCTGGATTACAAAGATATCCGATAGTTGCGGTGGTCCATCTACCCATTTGAGCTTATTTTTGAGTTTTAGCTGTCAGGGCCCCCCTGCAGCAGAGCCTCATGGAGTCACGGACCCTGTCTACAAGGTAGCCAGGTAGGTCATGTAGGTGTCTTGTCTCGCCCAAAGCTTTTCCGCTCCTACGTCTGCTGCTCAGGAGCCTTGATCTCCCCAGAGCGCCCATGTATCAACCGAGGGGGGACCTTGTACGAGTCTCCGCCATGTTGCTGCATTGGTCGAGACCCATGAGCTTGTCAAGAGCGACGACAGACGCCAACCTGGAAAAGGTTGGAGATCGCGACATGGCATGACTGGCCAATCACCTAGTCGTACAATCGAACCTGTGGGACCTGGACGCTTGGCTGAGAGATCTTTCGGGACCCGAACCGAACGACTCCTTCCTCCTGCCCCCTTCTCCTTGACCGCCTGTCGAGACAGCATCGCCGTGTTTGACCTGGGATGGCCACTCCGATCAGTGCTGGGTAGGTGGTCTAGGTCCTTTGCCGCACCATCTGATGTCGACTGCTCCTGTAGGTATGATCTACACGGGGCTCATCTGATGAACACCTCGCTACTCGCGCGTGCCCGTCTCTTGGGTGGTATCCGACATGTTCAATCATCGCGGCCCTCTTATCACAACTTGTATATATAGGTCTTGATCCGCTCTCTTCACATTGACTTTCTTTTCTTGTTTCCTCAGCAAGCTCTGGTTCGTTCTTTGACACACAGCTCTTTACAGTTCTGGGAACTATTTTCGTTCATTACATTCTTTCAGTCTTACTTTAACAGTTACAACCGCTTGGCCGGCCATATTCAACGACAAAACTTCAATTCTATTCCTATTCATTATTCTGTCAAAGACTACCGAAAACCTCTTTGCTCAACAATTACCTCACTACAACAATGTTTACCAAGGCAGCTACCATCTCCGCCCTTGTGGCTATTGCCCAGGCCCGTTTCGGTCAGGAACAAGTTCCCGTATCTGCCGTCACTGCCCTCAGCAACTTTGGAAACCCCGGTGAAGCTGCCACTCTGGCTGGTGGTATCCCCGGCAGTCTCCTCGCCGCCGCCGACCCTTGCGCCAAGCTCACGCTTGCAGACAAGATCGTCTCAACCTTGGGTACCGACTCTGCAGTCATCTCGGCCGCCCAGCAACTGGTTGCCGCTGAGCAAAACTTCAACCCCTTTGTGGTCAGCATCCCCAACATCTGCGGCGACGCAACCTTGCCCGCCACTGCAGAGCTCCGTGGTATTGTTCCTCTGATTGACCCAGCCGTTACTGGCTCGGATACCGAGAACGCCAACTCTGCCTCGTCGCTTAACAGCCCCTTTGACGCCACTGGCCTCAGCGTAGCAGAGGTTATGATTGCTCAGGGTTTCTCCAACTTCTCGTCCAATGGTCAGGATCAGTCGAGTGGAAGCACTGGCAACACCGACACGGGCAGTGGCACCGCCACTACCGCGTCCGCTGCCGCCTCAACCACACTGACCAAGTGCAGTAAGAACACTGCCACTGCATCTGCTGCCACTACATCTGCTGCCGCTGCGACTTCCACAGCCAGTGCTACTGAGTCAGCCGACGCCGCTGCTACCTCTGCTGCATCTTCGGCTGCTACAGGTGCTGGTGCCGTCAGCGACCCAGTCACGGGAACTTGTAAGTGTCCAAACAAGGTTGCTGCGTAAGCCAATTGATAGATATACTAACAAGTAATGATTAGTCGATGGATTCCAAGCTTCTTCCCTCGGTCTTGACTTTGGAACGTGTACTCCTACCGTCAAGTTCGAGGAGTCGCTGAATGGGCGCAAGGCTGGCGAGTTCACCTTCCAGGCTCAGGATCCCGTTGTGAACAAGGGTCAGCAAGAGGCTCTCAACCCGAACATCATCTTCAACCGCATCTGCGACCAGCTCGTCAACGTCTGCGGTGCTGCCGATGACGCCGTCACCGCGTGCAAGTCTGCTCAGGCTGATCTTGGTGGTGGTGCCAAGGATGAGACAACAGCCAACGCCTGGAACGAAGCTCTGGGCTTTGCAGGAACCAACATTAACCCCGACAACGCTCCTCAGACTGGCCTTGTTGGTCACACCTAAGAAACCGCAGTTTGGACTAACTATGGGCTTGGATAAAGGGATACCCATGCTATGTGCAGGAGCTCGCTTCCAAGTCGAGCGGGTTTTCAAAACGCTGCATCTTGCTTTTTCTATTGTAAACTATATACCATACAACATAAGGAGCTATCAATTCATGATAATGACAACTTGGTTCAACTTGTTACTCAGGAAACTTTTGCTCACCTAGTATTTATGCCTTTGGAAACGACTAGTGTATGAACAGGAGTCTGAACGGTCAGTGATTTCAATCATAGCAACATATTCCAAGTCATTCATTTTTAAGAAGTATTCAGTATACCATTGAAAATCATCAAAGTTCAATATACATCTGGCAGACAAAGTATCTATGTTTAGAAGAATTTGTTTTTGGAATAGAGGCAGGGTGAGGCTTTATCAGCTGGTGCCGCGCTGCCATCAGGGTGCGCCAGCTGCGTAGAGCTGCAGCAAGTAGATCTGATTGGGCTATGTACAGTCACTGGCTGGTGTCTAAGCAACACCCAGCGCAATCAAACTGACTCCACTCCATCTGTGATGCCGCGACTCTACGTACATATCAGTCCTTTACATGCCATCATGATCCACACGAATGATGAGACTCTGAGTCGCTAGTAGATATTGCAATCAGTATATTGTGTCTTATCACAATTCCTCAGATCTTTTTGAGGGCATTACCGTCTACAAAGTAAGGAAAAAGCTCCCGAGGGGCGAACGCGTCGTCACTCTTGTATCGCGTTGTGCCTACCAGCGACTTCAAGTATCGAGACCAGCGGCAGCAGACATGAGTCGATGATATCTATTTTTATGCGCATTTACTGTCAGCACTGAACCTCGCCACAAGCTGCAAAATGATTCAGGGCATATTCTATGCGAGGTTTCTGCCTCAGGAAGGTCAGCGACCAGTTTCCCTCTTTTCACCATTGTCTACACAACTCTCCGAATATTCGTTCACAGGGTCTCTCGTTCTCTCCCACCATTTGGCCCATGTCTTTTGATTTCATGTGAGATATCATGCATTACAGAGTTACCATACCTGTCTATTGAATTGGCCTCGACAAGATGCTAATTCCTGATTATAGGTACCAAAATTGTGGCCCAGTCACCTCCAGGCTGCATCGTGGCCTCTCAGTTCTCGCTGGATGCAAAGCCACCGCTTGTTGACTTTGACATCATCCAAGAGTACATCATACCCCGAAAGGCCTTTTTTAATTGTTTTATGACGGTCAATACGCCAGACAACAAATATACCCTTTTGGGATTCCCCGTGTCCATCCAGGATGAGCGATATTCTAGGAATGAGTTCATCTTCAACTTTGGTCTGGTGGTTGAATCTGACTGCGACGTGATACCCTATGAGAGGTTGGTCAGGAGACTAGCTACCACATTCGCCGAGATGGAGAAACAAGGTGGTTATTTGAGCTCCGAAGGCAAAGTAGTCAATGACGGACGCCGGCCCATCGAGAGCTTGCTGGAGATTGTGAAGGAAGACCTCAACAACTATGGAGAATGCATGATTCCAGTCGGTAAGTTCCAGCGGCCACACGTCCTCTTCCCTCCCTCATCGTCCTAGGTGCCATCCAAACCACCATTCTAAGCTTCACGCAACTGACATGCAAGCCAGACGAGGCCAACACTATCAACATGAAGTTGTTCCCATATCATCCGCCGCCGCCGGCGGTGCGTGGATGGCATGTCCCAGTCCCCAAGATGAAGCTCATGGAAATTGTGGATGCCACTTGGGACCTGACCCTACAAAAGCTGATTCCACACATTGACGGCGTCAACGATGTTCGGCGAATCGCCTGGCTTGCCGATGTGTCCTTGCCTCTGACACAGACAGCCTTGCAACACCTCTTATACTATGATACCATACTCCTTCTGGATATGTTCTTCTTTAGTGCCTGCTATGCCCCGCGCCCTGCAATCCACGACTTTATTTCAAACAGAGACGGTCTAGTAGATGAGTGTGCTAGCTACGTATGTATTGGCGGCCTCTCTGCAGGTGATACGATTCCTACCTCGGCAGATACATCCACCGGTACAGTGCCAGGAGCTTCCGGTAGCAAGGCTACCGGCAGCACATCTGGCAGGAAAACAAACTTGAGCTCTTCCGCAATCTTGTCTTCGCAGCGAGTCTCCAACTACCAGCTGATCAAACTCATGACCACATTCTGCGTGGGCCGGTCCGTTATGGAGTGGATCAAACTGCACACGGACGGCGGATTTCCCGTCCTGAACCTCATCGACGTGCGACGCCTGGTCCAATTTGGAGTCATCAAAGGACTACTGTATCGTTTGCAGAAATATGTTGTTTCCAAGCAGTATCTCGCTCTGCTTGTTACAGGGCAAGCAAAGCCCTTGCGCGACAGCAAGCGGACAGGAGTGAAACCCGGGAGTCTAGGTGGAGAAGAGAATGGGGAAAACCAACATGTTGGCATCATTGGCGGTGATCCATTGCAAAAGTATACAGATGGATGTCATTCTTTTGACCAGATTATTACTGAGCAAAATATGACGTCCCAGGAGATTGTTGACAAACTCAAGAGCATACCGGCTCCTGTGGGTGATCTCACAGTCTTTCATCGGTAGCGAGAGCCGGTAATGTGGGCACATTATTGCTCGTTCAGCATCTTGGCAAATAGACACAAGAATCTCAACATGAACATTCAGTAGTGGACATCTTCAAGGATGCCCTGGTGCAAAGAAACTCAATCGTATGCTGCTTGTATGAGTTCCGTCTGCCATTTGACGGCTCAATCTCTGCTCTAGTCGGACAGTTGGTGAAGACTGCCTTTACTCAAACTGCCATGAATTCATTCATGATCACAAACAATCGCTCCTCTATTTTTCAACAGGATAACTATTCGGCATCTTCTGTAGGGAGCGGATGGTTTGATCAAGTAAGACATGCAATTTAGGCCACTTGGTGTTCAAGCAGAGCGCGGCACGTTCACGGTTGTGACGCCCCATTACAGGGCTGCCCCATTGAACCTACTCCTCCTGAGGCACTCGCTCCCTCCTGAAAAGCGACGAGTCAACATCCCAGGTAGCTGGTACTTACTTATGCACATGGATCATCGCAATTGGTCTCAGCTGACGTCAAATGACCAATTGCATCGCCATCGCGACATTATTGTTTTGCTTTTCTAGGCGCACAAGGCCGCGGAAGCTGCGGAATTGAAGTTGAAGCACGCAAGAAGATCACGAAAATCTTGAGACGCACTGACAAATGAGACATGTAGCTACTGGATACCATACTAGGCAGGAAATATTCATTGGGACGGGACCTGTGCGAAGTGTTGGACACCTGGATCAATGGATGGATGGATACAAGTACATTTTTACAGTGCTCATGCAGTGAGTGCTCGGCGCTACCATGACGTAATTGGAGAAAAGATTAGAAGCTCTGAGCTTGTTACTAATACAAACCACATGTCAATGCAATCCATTTTCTCATGTGGTGGAAAATAAAAAGGGCCAATAGAAATCCCATGAATTCAAGAGTCTCATCGTTCATTACAACTTCAACAAAAAGGGCAATTGAGACGCGATAAAAGAAAAGAGAACCGTCTAAAGTGGACGTACGCTGTACCAACAAAAGTGGCATAATTGACCTACTTCACCACCATACCCGCCAATAACGCCCGACTACAAAGTACCTACCTACCTACCTATACATACCCAAATCAGCAACATGTCGAACCACGTCCTTCTGCTAGGTGGCAGCGGCAAGATTGCGCAGCTGTTGACCCCATTGCTGCTGCAGCGCTCGTGGACAGTCACTAGCATTATCCGCAACCCCGACCAGGTTGCGAACCTGCAAAAGCTCGGCGAGAACCAGAGCGGGAAGCTGAACGTGCTTGTCAGGAGTCTGGAGGATGTCAAGAGTGAATCACATGCAAAGAGCCTCATCGATGAGGTGAAACCCAACTATGTTGTTTGGAGCGCAGGTAAGTGTTTCTTTTTCCCGGACGGAGGCCCCAAGCTGTCCGCCTCGTTCGCTATAAACCGGCGGAAGACCCGGCATTTTAGTGATGTGGTTACTTATCGTGAGGCTGACACTAGACTGAACAGGAGCTGGAGGCAAAGGCGCTCCCGAAAGGGTTTGTACATCCAAGTCAATTTTCAATTGGCCACACGTTCTGTTCCCCGAGAGTGTATCGCTAACGTGGCATATTTATGAATATTTTCTAGACCGACCTTATTGACCGGGATGCCGCCACGTATTTTATCAAGGCCTCGGTAGCCACGCCATCCGTCACAAAGTTTCTAATGGTCTCGTTCACGGGATCGCGGCTACGCAAGGCACCATGGTACAGCGACGCCGACTGGACCGAGCAGATCAAGGCGCACGAGAAGCTTCAGCGCTACTATGAGGCCAAGATCGCCGCCGATGAGGTGCTATACCGCGAGGGTAAGAAGCGCCCCGACTTTGCTGCCATCAACCTGCGCCCCGGCCTCCTCACTGAGGCACCCGCCGGCAAAGTCGAGCTCGGCAAGCTCAAGAAGCCCAACGGCACGAGCAGCCGCGCTTCCGTCGCCGAGTTGGCCGCCCTATTACTCGAGAACAAGGACGTCAAGAGCGGCTGGCTGGATATGCTGGACGGCGACGAGGACCCCCAGGCGGCTGTTGAGCGGGTCGCTAAGGAAGGCGTTGATGCCGCCGAGGGCGAGCCTTTCTACTAAGAATATGCACTGAATGCAAACAACAAATTGATTTGATCGATTGATTCTATTTCTGGTCAGTGCATCTGATTCAAGTGCTTGGCTTACGTGAATGATTGATTGTTATTCCACGCATTTCAATTTCATGCACTCATCCTCACCATGCCAGGAGCAAATTGACTGCCGAGGCATCTCACTTCCTTGCCGGACTGTTCAACTCGCCAATATGCCCAGCTTTTTACGCTATAGGAAAACAGGAAATGGTGCCGAGTGGCACTGGCTGGAGAAGGTGGGATAACCTTCTCCGCATATCCCCTGGCTTAAGCACGAGCACGGCGGCAACAGCACGACACGGCATACTCGGTTTTTGTTTCTACAGCTGCAGGAATTGGGAAATAGTGCAAGTTTCGCAATTAATATATGTACTAGCTATGCGATAAAAGAGCCATCTAATGGTAAAACATGACCATGAGCACATTGTCACGCTTGGGACTTGCCAAGACTCGGATCCTACCTATCCCCTCGAACCCGGATTTGGAGAAGTTGATCACGGGAGCCTTTTGCCTGAGCATAGTCAGTGTACTGATTTCTGTCCTCACATCGCCTCCTGCGGCATTACCGTAAAGGCCGTCTTCTCCGCATATGAGAATCCTTGCAAGTAGCTGGCACAAAGTTGAATATGGGGATTTCTCGTGAAAGCCGGCTTGCTCGAATACAAATTCCGTTCTCTTGGATATTTATCAATTTGCTCCGCAACTTACACACCACACTGGAACCTGCAAGACAGTCAGCCCGAAGCAAGTGACATTTCAAGCTCTGTAACCATAGTAGTCAAGAGGCTACACGGACTGTCTCATCAAATACTGGTGTTTTTACAATAAAAATTAATCATCAAAAGTTTTGCCATCGCGATGACGAGTCTATTGAAGGGCACCGCTTTCATTACAGGGGCAGCATCTGGTAATAATGCAGTAACATGTCTCCAAGTCTTGCAACATTCTAACTCTGGTGGAAACAGGAATTGGACAACATACAGCACGCAGTTTTGCCAAGTATGGCATCCAGCGCCTAGCCTTGGCCGATATCAATACGAAACTGCTAGACAGCTCGATAAAGTCGTTGCAAAAACAGTTTCCTGGGATTGAAGTGTTGCCGCTGCAAATGAACGTGCGGAAGGCCAGCGAGGTAAAGTCCGGCATCGCCGAGACGGTCCAGCGCTTCGGCCGCCTGGACGTGGCGGTCAACAATGCCGGCATTGGCGGGACGGGGGTTCGCACGCACGAGGTCGACGAGGAGGAGTGGTCGACCGTTCTCGACGTTGACCTACACGGCGTGTGGAGGTGCCAAAAGGAAGAGCTCGCCATCATGCTCGAGCAGCAAGATTTTGGCTACAGGGAGGGCCGCGGCCGTATCATTAATGTTGCCTCCATGTACGGCGTCATTTCTCCCCACATGAGTATACCCGCAACAGCATATACTGCAGCAAAGCATGGTGAGCCATCTTCCAAGTGCGTGTTGGATTATTATTCTTCTTCTCCGTCTAATCCGATCTAGGTGTAATTGGCTTGACGAGAGGAGACGGTAATGGATATGCTCAGCACGGCATCCGAATAAATGCCATATGTCCTGGGTGAGTGTGTCGCCAAGCTTATTCCTACCCCTTCACCCTACCCGAGCAAACTGACCAATCTCGTACGATGCAGCTTCATTGAGACACCCTTATTGAACACTTCTGGCGGAAGTGATGCGAATTCGGTGCTCGGCAAGGAAGTGAGAAAGGCACCAATCCAACGTATAGGTAAGATGGAAGAGATTGGAGATGCCATTACATTTCTTGCATCACCGCTGGGCAGCTTCATGCAGAGCGCCGCTTTGGTAGCCGACGGCGGGTTCAGCACGCAGTAGGATTGATGTTTGAATCAAAATACTCGCCGTACAAAGTAATTGCGCCTCTTGATACGTGTGACAGGATATTGACACTGGACCGCAGCAGAAAGCATCGAGACACGGTCTAGACATGCTTTGCCAAAGTGATAAGAAAATAGAATCATCATACACGCTATAGTCTGTCATCGCTAATCAATACATCAAGAAAAACCAGGAATACAGCAAGTCCTCTTTTTTGTTCAAAAACTGAAAAAGTCCAATTCGTGGTTCCTAGGTGGAACGGACTTGTCCGACTTTGATCCTGCTGCCTTTTCTACACTCTGCACCAGTCCACCTAGACTGATGGGGCTAAGATTGTTCATACCATTGTCGCCGCTTAGCCAGTCCATGTCTCCATCAGCCAGCTCTTTGTTTTCTTCCTTTGGGCTCGTGCTCACATCATCACAGAGCGAGTCGGCTCGTTGGGCACCACCATTCAACACCAAGCTCGCACTGAGCCCAGCTGGTCCCGAGACCCAGTCGGACATCTGAAACCCGCCATCTTGGTTAGATGCTGATTGCTCCTGTTGATGTGCCTGTGTGCTCCAGCTGCCATCGGTTGCTGGATCAACAAGCACAAAGTCATCTGGACCCCGGCGATGGGCATCGTTAGCGTCCATATCGGTAGTCGAGCCTTGGAGAGAGTCCAAGGTGAACATGTTTGACGTATCTCCAAAGCCAGTAAACACATTCGACATGGAGTTTGGTAGGTCAAACCCTAGTGAGCCAATACTCTGGGTTGATCCGGGAGGCGTCGGCTGCGCAGTGCCTGCGTCGGAAAAGGGCGCCGGCGGCCTCGCAAATACCGAGGCACGCCGGCTTGTTGCTTGCCTGGTCCGCTTCTTGAGCGCCGGGCCACCTTGTTCTGCGTCTAGGTTCTCTCTCCGCGCTGGCAAGATGGAGAAGTTTCCAGTTTGCCACGAGTGGGAGGCGGCGCCAAGTTGAGATTGCAAGGACCCAGCGGTCATGCCGGGCTGGGCAAACGAGTTTGTGCGGGTGCGATAAGGGTCTGCCATATCTTGCTTGAGCTGGACAATGATGGCATGCATCAGGGCGTCCATGCGCTCTGCAGGATGATAGGTCTCGCTCATCTCGTGGATTGCCTGTGATATGACCTCGAGATAGCCGAGATAGCTGCGCCTGTCGGCGTCGTCCTGCTGGTGCGCAAGAGCCGCAACAAGGGCAATGGCGGCGGTGCCTGCGTGCTGGATTCCAGTCACAAAGATCTTCTTGCCGCTGAAACGCTGCCGGTGCTGCCAGCAGATCCGAGCCACCCTCATGGCCTGCTGCGTGCAAATGTTGCGAGAGAGCGATGTCCGACTGTCAACCATGATCGAGTTGGGATCACCCAGGCCGATTGAAGTCTCTGCTGCCGAGAAGGGAAGACCGTGAGACGATTCGGGGCTTTGGACGCCGTTCTCGGGGCTAGGATGTGAATGGGTGCTTGCATCATCTGTCATGGAGCCGTACTTTGCCCAAGACCGGTGCAGTAATATCATGGATACATGGTACTGCTGGTGAAGCAAAAAGAAGCTAAACGGTGCCGTCTTGATGTTTGCTGGTTTCCACGTCAAGTAATCAGGAAGTCTCCGGTACCAGTTCTGCAGTTGGCGGTCCAGGTTAATGACTTGGAGATAGGCATTGTCCTCTGCCTCGGCTGCCGCAAACATGTTTGGCTCCCTGCTGTTATTGTTTCTCTTGTTGCTCTCTCGTATCTCCACAATACGGCCGGCCAGTTCCATGAGCTCGACCAGCTGGTCAAATATTTCTTGAACAAGGGCGCCTCGAGTCGGTGGTCTTGTAGGAACTTGCTGCTGCTGCTGCTGCTGCTGTCCATTGACATCTTTGGACAGCATGCCCGCAAACTGCCTCGACAAGAGGTCCATGCCGATATCTTGATTCTTGATACTCGTGGGTCGTCCGAGAAACAGCGCCCAGTACTTGTCATAGATGACACACGCTCGCATGGTCATGTGTCTGATTGAGACTTCACGGTCTGATAAGCCATTGTTGCTGCAGTCTAGGTGTAGACCGACATCGAATGCTAGGCGGTTCGCCATGCCTTTTCTAATTGTTAGCTGCAAGTGATCAAGGTGATACACAAAGTGATTCAAAGATCCTCACCCGAGTACATCCAACCTGTATTATCACGACCGACTCCGCATTCCAGATCGCCCAAAAGAAGCAGAGCTTGTACACTTGGGATGCCTCCCGGCCTCTCTAGCTCAATATCGAGCATGTACTTTGCCTCGCGGTGCAGTGTGCTCTCGCGATTGCCAAGGCTGATCTTGATGATGTCCTCTCGGTCCTTGTCGGCAAAACGATAGCCCGCTGCCAGCATGGTGATGTGAAGGAATGATGAATAAAACTTGGGGTTTTGTGATTCTCGATCCGTCTCAAAAGCTTCTCTATCGATCACGACTAGCACCCCATTGTAGTACTCCCAGAATGTGTCCATCAAATAATCATAAGTAACGGTCGTGAGAGATCTGATGATACGCTCTGCGCGTCGAACTTGCTCAGGAGGCTCTCGTGAGTCAAACTTGCTTGAAGACTCGGCATAGACGTGGCTGTTGGCCGTGGGGCCAAAGAACCGCAGACGGCCAGATATCTGGTCGAAGCTGAGATTCCCCTTTGTTGATAGGAGCCGTTGGATGACATCTTCCTGTGTCGAGTCTGTTGTAGTATGAGGTGTCATGAGGTGTACTGATGGCCTGGGCTCAAAATTCATTGGTGCGAGGTCTATGGCTGGTGGGATGGTAGTGGTCTCTACAGTAGCTTCCAGCGGCGGCTCGTTCAGCTCCATTTCGAGGACGGGAAAGTCATCAGTCAACGAGTCGGGAGGTGATGGTACCTCACCAGCTGGTGAAATCACACGGCTTGGTTTTCTCGGTTTTTCTACTCGCCGCTCGGTCTTTTTGGATTCGTCTTGAGATTCTGAAGTTTCCTGTCTTGTCTTGGAGGGGTGGGAAGCTTCTGGAGGGACAACTCCTTTTTCTGCAAGCATGCCCTCCAACATGTTGATTCTCTCTGACAGCGATGCCATGTATGCTTTAGAAATTGGCCTTGAATACTTTCATGATTAGTACATGGTGATGAGACGTTGCGGAGATTGACCAAGCCCATGATCGACCATGTATATTACATACCTTCTCCTCTCATCATCATTCTTGATAATACACTCGGCCCCCGATCTCTTACACTGGTTGCACTCATTCTGACCCTTGGGCACAACACATCGTATCCTGCGATCTCGGCATGATGCGCAGGCTACAGAGGCACGGTGTCGAACTTGCTGCTTGTTGGATTGCCTGGTGGTACCGGCTCTCGCTGATACGTTCTCCTGGTTGGAGATGTCTTCTTTGGACGTGTCGGACGGTGCGGCCCTCTTGCTCTGTGGTGCCGCCATGGAGATGAGTTTTGGAGGTCCAAGCAATTGAGTCACGATACAATATGACAGAGTCAAGAACAATATGGCCAACCACTTGCAGCGGTTACGAAGATGCTAGTTGAAGGCCAGATCAGATCAGACCAAATCACCCGAATGACACAGATGTATGGATTCAAAGATGACAATCAGCCCAAGATGGTACAACAAAGACAGCAGACCGCCGTCGCCGCCGCCACGCTAGATAATGTCGGAGAACCTGGACTTTCTGGGGTAAAGGGTCCATCTCCACGATTTACATCCTGGTCCGGTCTCTGGACTATCTCCACCCAGAACACGGGGTAGTATGAATGGGGTCTGTTCTCTTTGACCCGGCATCCGCCTCCATCGTTTTTTTTCTTCTTCTGAATTGGCATTCGGGCGGGTTCATTGGTCGTGTCTTGACGCGAAACACCGAGATACGGCGTTCCAAGCCCACCCAAATAAGTGTAGCTATACCACTTAGAGGACTTCAAGCGTCACATGGCGCAGAAATGGAAATCCACAAGGCTTGCATAAACCTGGGGGAGGCCTGGGAGGGGAGCTAACAGGGTGGGTTCGAGGTTGTACGCGAGACGAGACAAGATAGTCTGGGCGGGTTGCTTCTGCAGCCGCCCCACTGGACTGGCAACCCTCTCTGAGGGAAATGGTGAATGCATAGGTAGGATCAGGATAAGCCCTTCGTCCGTAGCCATGCAGTGGCGCTCGATGATCGTGACGTTATACCATGTTGTGTAATTATGCCTGCCCGGGACCGGTCTGGAATCAAACAAGAAGGGTCGCATTCGGGACTTATCTAGGTTGCCCTCAAAAAATCGCCCGACTTGTGTAATGTGTAGATAAGCCATATTATCATCGTGGGCTGAGACGAGTAAAGCCGGCGATTTGCACAGCCAGCATCAACACCAGAGCCAGGAGTAGCATTGGCAAAGAGACCAAGAGATTCCCTCCCCAGCTCCACTGCTTACTTGCTTCATAAAGACTCGGCCGAGGTTTATGCTTACGATGGCGCTTTCAACCGTCTCGACGAGTGGATTGAACGCTACACAGTACGTACTGGGCCTACTTTCCTCATTATCAACTTGTATGGGCGTCTGTGGAGGACCCTAAACTGGGAAGTGGTTCGGTCCCTGGCTCACCCAGTATATACAAAGCTCCCGGCTGGGAAATCCATTGGAAAGTCTCTAAGGTTAGTTAGCTCGTAGGCAGTAACCCAAGACACCAACCCTTCAACATAAACCTGGGGCAAACCAGGGGGGGTCGGCATTCTATTTTGCCATATTCGAATACCTACAGGGGTCCCCGCATTCTCTACCACCCCCCCATGGGCAACCGACTGGCCGCGGGAGTTTCGGTATTTAGACCCCGCAGACCAGTGAATAATAAGTAGCTGCTCAGTCGACTCATGCTGCAAGACTTGGGGCTTCTCCTATGACTCGCGGTAGTGTTGGAGAGAGAATATGTACATTACCCATGGAATTGTGCGAGTGCTGAGATGACGATGAGTCTGCAAGGATCATCAGCCCCCCGCGCGAGAAGCCTGTATATAGGCTTTTGTTCACAGCTCAAGCCAATCATATACCTATATATCTAGTGAGATAGGTTTGTGCTGTTCTTGTTGGTCAGGCCAAGCATAATTCATTTGACATTTACGGCTCCGTACATTAATCGGTGGGTGAGGTGCTGCTGCTCAGGTAGCGTAGGTAAGTATCAACAATGCAGTGAACCCCCAATTCTTTTCATTCTATGGAGGAGTTGCACAAGGCATCTTGACATACCTAGTCGCAAAGATGGAGATGTTGCTTATTACCTTCCTGGCCCGAACATCAGCCAGCCCTTGTAGTATAGAGTGGGACATCTCCTCGACCTGTCGTGGTCATGTGTTTGCGGCAATAAGCCAGGAAATTTGAGTTTATTTCCATACGGCAGGCCGCACATTGTCCACATTACGGAAAACATGCTTCCTTTACACGTATCACGGCGGGTGCATAAAACTTGAGCATTGAGGAGCTGTGCCAAGAATACGCCTTTTTTGTAAACAAAGACAAGCGCCACCGTTTCCCCCTCCTCCAGATGCACTATTGCCAAAGTACTAATTATTCTCCGCGCCCCCCTCTTCCGCAAATGATTGGTTATAGTGCCATCTAGTTCCGAGGCAATGGTCCAGATCAAGAACTAGTCAGGAGCCAAAGGAACGATAGAAAGCTGATCCAGGCATACTATACTAGGCTAGCCGGTCACTTCACAGACATCTCCCATACACAGACAGAGGGGGCTCGGGCTTGAAAGAGCAGTAACAAGCGTGAGAGATAGCAATAGAATGCAGATGGGAAGTGAAGAAAGGAGACGCAACGCAACCCCACACTCTCCTCATCCTATTATAGTCTCAAACTCGTTCTCTCCACATCCCGGATTGCATGCATTGGAGACACAAAAGTATTCATTGCTGCTAGCCTTGATGGAGTATCTGTAGTACGAATGATACTTGTCTTGGTCATGTTAGATGGCGAATGTGACACCACGGGTGGGCGCCGCCACTCGAGGACGAGTTGAGGAGGGCATCAATGCGTCAATCGACCCCTCTTCTTATCTCCAATTTGACGAGTCCTGCATTCTCAGAACAAGTACAAATCTTTGGTGCTTTGCGTGTGTATGGTGTTGCATTTTACCAGATGAAAAGACCATGGATGACGTATGGAACGCGAGAGCGGGTATCCTATCTTATTCTGATGAGCTGCTCAACTGGCAGTGTCTTGTATCGAACCATTGAGAGATCTACGAACACGAAAGAAGTATGTGGTTGGTGATTGTTTACATTATGTTCTTCTCGTTTCGGTCCGCATTTGTACTCTTCTTACTCAACTGACCATTCATGGTCGGAATCGCGGATGTATGTGCTTAGCCCCTTGACATCTTTTGTAACATTTGCCTTGACTTCGCCGTTGCCCAAGTATGCAAACCGATTTCCATATCGGTATCGAATATTGTAATCTTCGAGGCGAGGCTCTTTGATCGTTTTGAGAAAGTGGATCGTCTGCATCCTCAATGGTTAGCTGCGAAGTGAATTGGGGTCGGCAAACCGAGACATGAGAGGAGAATTTGGGGATGTCAAACATACGCAGCCAGGCCACAGGTAGATTCTGTTCTTGATCTTGCCGTCCTTGAACCAACTGCGACACTGCTCTTGAAAAACTGTCGTCTCGTGAAACTTGTCAAAGTGCTTGTAAATATCGTCCAATGCATCTTGCTTGACATCGAGTGATCGAATATTCTCGTGCTGTATCTTCTTCATCATCTTGATACTGTACTCGACTGTGGTCTCAATGGATGGCAGCAAAGTGCCTGATGACCAGGTAGCGCCGGGGCCCTGTCAAGGTAAAGAGTTGTCACATCAGCTACGAACACGATGACAGAAAACCTTTTTGTCCTCTACTCTACTTACCACTATTGTATAGTAGTTGGGAAATCGGGGAGTAGAAACACCCATGTACAGGTTCACACTGTCGCCCCAGTCCTCGTGGAGGGTGTTGCCGGCGGCATTGATGAGCTTGAACGCTGGGCGGAAGGCGACGTTGAAGCCAGTTGCACAGACGAGGATATCCACCTTGTGCAGCTCTCCGTCTTCAGTGACGATGCCCTCTGGAACGACCCTTTGGATTCCTCCATAGATTGGCTGCACATTGGGTTGCACAAGCGCCTCGAGATATCCGTCTCCAGGAGAGATGCGCCGACATCCAGGTGCCCACGTCGGGATGATGAATTCTTTGAGCTTCTCGTTACCCGGCCCGATCCGGCGGTGCATCTCTTCTGTTATAGCCTAGAGAAAAAGAAAAGGAAAGAGACGTTAGATTCGATAACGTTGGTGCAAATCCATCTGGTCCATCAAGGTAAACTCACCTTTCGGAAGGTCTCTGACATCTCTGAACCTTGCTGATACATGCCAAACAGCGAGTTGATTTCGGCCTCGATGCGTTTACGGAATGTGAGATAATACTCGTGGTCTTCACTGAACTTCTTCTTGTCGGCATCGGTAAAGGTGTATTGTCTCTTTCCGGGCTGGGCAGCAGCACCATTGTCGTTCTTTCGTAAATCCTCCTCCAAGACGCCACCACCAAAGGGCGGCGATATCCAAGTGGATGAGCGCATAAACACCTTTAGATGCTGCACTTCCTTTTGCAATGCTGGAACAATCTGGACACTTGTGCTACCCGTGCCAATGACCCCGACCGTCTTTCCTTGAAAATCGACCGAGTGGTCCCAATTGGCGGAATGCATCTTTGGCCCGGCAAAGTCGTGGACGCCGTCAATGTCGGGCCACTTCCAATTGTTGAGGATTCCTGTGCCATTGACTAGGCAATGACACCAGTCTTTCCACGTGCCCTTGTTCACTTGGTCCTCGAGGGTCAACTGCCAAATGCCTTTTTCTTCATCCCACTGCGCCTCGACCACTTTGGTGTTGAGCTTCATGTATTGCTTGGACCCATGACGTTCGGCAAAGTCTTCAAAGTATCTCCGGATCTCGTCACCGTAGGCAAAATAGTGAGACCAATCTGGCTTGGGGTCCCAGGTAAATGTGTACAGAGGCGAAGGAATCTATAAGAAGGTCAATATACATAGCCTCAGTAACGGGGTAAACTTCAAAGAGTATGTCCTACATCACAAGCCACCCCTGGGTAGGTATTCTCATACCACGTTCCGCCAAATTGGGGGTTCTTGTCAAAGAGGGTCAATTCCCAACTGTCAGGGACCATCATTCTCTCCATTTTATAAGCCAGGCAGAGACCTGATGCTCCGGCACCGATACATGCCACCCGGAGTTTTGTTGGCTTGGAATGGTATTGCTTCAATACGCTATACTCGGTTCCCTCTGGGATTGTGGGAGGATAGTGGTATTGGATCGCTGAAGAAACCGATTCGTCGGTTTTTACTTCCTTGACGGCGCCATTTGTGGCAGGCACAGTGTTGTCCAACGGCTTGCCCTCCCCATTGATGACGACCTGGGGCTCAGTGATGGCTGAAGGCGCCATGGCGTTTTCGGCGTGGAATTCTCGGCTTGCAATGGTGATCTATGGCGAAATAGTTTTCATGGACAAACCACAACCAAGCTGGTCTACAAGGGTTTTGCGCCTATGCCTTTACAGCAGTATCGATGTTGCGATGTATGTTAAACAATCCGCAAAGTCAACACCAACGCCAGGTCCAATGGGTAAACAAGACACAAACGCGCTAGTTCGCAAGAAGGTGTTGGGATATTCGACTATAAAGTGCAGAAGCGCTGAAAGTGGAGAGAGAAAGCCGGTTATGAGGATCCAACAAGAAGAGCATGTCAGTATCCGACACGGAGGGAATATACATTCGAGCCGGGCCCTGATCTGGAAGCACACATGCATCTCACGCCGAGCACCGTCTATCACAGCAGTGTATGTGTGTGTGTGTGTGTGTGTGTGTGTGTGTGTGTGTGTGTGTGTGCACCAAGCGGGATGATGCATCACCTGCCGGCTGTCCTCTCTGGCCATGCTCGCACATCATAACCTCGAATGATGTGGCGCGACCACCCCTGGCAAATGCAAATGGCTGGTTGATCGTTCCCGAGTCATGACGATGCAGTCTATACTCCCGAAACCTAGGTCAAATCATAGATTGATTGTATAGGGATGCCCATTTCCGAGGCGGGCGCGTCCATGATAGATAGCATGACTACACCGGGGTAGGAAGATAGGTACCCAGCGCGAGTTGATTTTTAGCAGACCTGTTTACAGAGCCCGACGGTATCAAAGTTGGTGGTATGGCTCGTTGATGCACACCAGTTTTGCCGGATCCCAGACTTCTAGCATGTACGCTACATGCTACCCCTTTTTTCTTGTATATCAGAACATCAATCAGAACATCAAAGTGGCATTACTCATCCGAATCGGTTTCAATTGGATGATGATCTCGTGGCGTGTATCGAGGTGTACAGTGAGTGCTGCTACCTGTAAGCAGACTAGGGGGGCAAATAGACTGTACTAGGTATTGGTGGTAGACGAGCCACTAGCGGGCGGCGCCCATAGGCGAAAGAGTTTATTGGATGGTTGGATAAGGATTTCCGTATAACTAGTAATAATACTCCATTGTCTATCATTGATCGCTCGCCTATAGGAGAAGGTCTCCTTGGGGATGGATTGTAACGACGTTCTGCAGCTATGTAATGTTTTAAATGCCGTATCCACTGACTGAAGTCTGTGCCAGTGTGCCCCTCGGAAGTCCATGGCTCGAGGGATGAGATGCCGCTCGGCAGCCCGAGTATCGCCACGGGGCAACCTCTGCCTGGCCCGTCGGGCGCGGGTAGGTTATGAAGCGCCATTGGCGAAAACAATACCCAGAAACGTCTTCGCCTGACATCTGGCATCGTTTTCCGATATAATTCCAGCCGTCTATTTGGTAATGCATCAAAGCCATGTACATGCGCAAAATCAGGGGTGTACAGAAGTGACACGCCAAACTCGCAGCTCACGCGCATAATACTGCTTGGCCAGCTTGAGGATCTACAGACAAGATCCCTCTCTGGTATGTTTGTCTTCAAGTGAGAGATTGGCAAGCAAACAAGTGGCTGCTGGTTCAAGCAGCTCAGACGCACGAGGTAGGGCAGGCAACATGTCGCGAAAAACTACTCGTCGTGGTCATGTCGGTTGTGCATTGCCATTGGGGGAGAAAACATCAGGTCAGCTTCTGTGCATCGGCGGTCTTCCAGTCCAGGTAATGAGCTAATATACCCCTTGCAGCTAACCTAGACGCCTATCGTTTCTAGGTGACTGAATATACCCCGCGCCATTACTTGGCTGGACATCTTATCTTTATAGTACTTGCATGTACTCTGTAGTTCAAGTAGAAAAACCATTTTGGAATCAATAGACCTCTCTAGTCTCCATGACTTGATATACTTTGGAAACGAAGAAACAAAAAATCAAGCAGACCCGAGCCATGTCAAAGCATGCATTGGTTTTTGGTGAGCAAAACAAGGAACCCGGCGTTTGTCTGATTTGGGCTGCAAACACTGACAGCATATCCAAGGCGCCAGTGGCATCACTGGATGGGCCATCACCAAGGCCATTTTGGACGGCTATCCCAGTGCAGACACTTTTGGTTCAGTCACGGCCTTGACCAATCGTCCTCTGAGCATCGAGGACGCATTGTGGCCCCAGTCACCCAAACTCGATGTTGTCAGCGGTCTCGATCTTTTAACTCCCAAAGGCCAAGAAGGACTCGAAGCAGAACTTAAAGAGCGAGTCAAACATGCAGGCGAGATAACACATCTTTACTTTTTTGGTATGTATACTTTTTTTGAGCAGAAATGGATTGCAGAAAGGTTTCTAATGCAAACAAAATGGAAATAGCCTACATCATGGATGGTGATCCTGCCAAGGAAATCGAAATCAATCTCGAGTTGGTCAAACGAGCCGTGACAGCAATTGAGCATCTCTCGCCCAGTCTCGAGTTTGTGGTGCTTCCCACTGGCACCAAGGCCTATGGCGTCCACCTGATAGACCAGTTCCCCTTCTCGGACAAGTTACCTCTCAAGGAGAGCCTCCCCCGAATCCCAGAGCCCCACGCATCACAAATGTTTTATTACAACCAGGCCGATATGCTGTCGAGCATGTCCGAGGGCAAATCATGGACATGGTGCGAGATGATGCCAGACGTGATTGTGGGGTTCGTCCCAAATAACAACATCTACTGCCTCGCACAGGCTCTGGCAACCTACCTGTCTCTATATGCCGAGATCAATGGGAAAGGAAGCGAGGTCGTCTTCCCTGGGACGGAGAAGTCGTACACGATTCTCAGCAACGACAGTAGCCAGGACATTGTCGCCAAGGCTTCCATTATTGCCTCTCTTCGCCCGGACATCAGTTCGGGGCAGCGATACAATGCGGCTGACAATGCAGAGGCCTCTTCGTGGAGTGTCAAGTGGCCAGTCATTTGCGAGTATTTTGGCCTCAAAGGCATCGGACCGACATCCACCTCTGGCTCCGACCCACAGCCGTCAGAGTACCTAGCAGATCACTTGACCGAGTGGCAGGCCCTGGAGAAGAAGCACGGTCTCAAGACGGGTCGTGTCGGCAACGATCGCAGCTTTGGCGGTTTTCCGTACTTTATCATGACCATGTTCAATTTTGATCGCCATCTCGATATGACCAAATGCCATGAGATGATGGGGGATGCAAAGGTGGAAACCGATGCCAAGGGCGCGTGGTGGACTGCGTTCGATCGATTTAAAGAGGCCAAGATTATTCCTTGATGGGCAACGGTAACGATGAGAGGTGACTTTCATTTAGAAACAGAATCCAATAGCTACTACTTACATACTCTCGACCCTAGCTTTAACCCTAAGCTGTGTCTACTACACCTAAGCAAGGCCGCCACAATCGTGACCCTTGGACTGATGATACAATTGGATACTCGGTTACATATACGCTGTTTCTTTACTCTTGTTTTTCAGTATCAAAGATGGATTCTCGGGGAGTTTTTGCTGCTCTCGAAAGATTCCCAAGTGAAAGCAACGCCTACATACAGTCCATAACCACGACCCCAAACACTCCAACTGACTCCAAATCTTTGCAGGGTCGTCTTGGATAGTACCTTGCCGGCACCCCCACAAGTGATTGGGGGCGGGAATCTAGCTAGGTGCCTAGGTGAGCTTTCTACGAGCCGCGGTAATATTGCCTGTATTGTGCCTCCAAATACTGCGGGGTCCTTGGGATAATGTACGAGATGCACTATAAGCGGTGGTCTTTATTACCGAATTTCTCATCTACTGCGTCTTGCTTGAACGCGACGACGCAACCTCCTACGTCAAATTGTTCCAATATCTACTACCGACACAATCGAGAAGAAACAAAACATTTTGCATTTACAAAAAGACACTCATTTGTTACACAATGTCCCCCGAACCTACAACGGCATTGAAAGGCCCTGCCTTTGAACGCATTCCTCCATGGGTGCAGCAAAAGCTCTCTCCGCTTGCCATTGACAAGATCCAAGCTGTCCATGAATGGGTTGAGCACGAGTGCATCCCCAGGGAGCCCATCTATAGAGCACAGCTCGAGGGCAAGCGATGGAATACGCCACCCATTATACACGAGCTCCGGCAAAAGGCCAAGGAGCGAGGATTGTTCAATCTGTTCCTCCCCAAACATTTCAAAGAAAGTCCTGGTTTGACGAATCTGGAATACTCTTGCTGCGCAGAAATCATGGGCAGATGTTATTGGGCCGCTCAGGCAAGTATATCCATTCCTACAACAACAACAACAACAACAACAACAAACACAAACACTCCTCTATCGTATCAATAATCAAAGAAAGAGCAGCGGCTAATAATGCTTCACGACACAGACCATGAATTGCCACGCCCCCGAAACCGGCAACATTGAACTCTTGGCCAAGTATTGCAATGAGGAGCAAAAGCAAAAGTGGCTCAAGCCCCTCTTGGAAGGAGACGCCTCTTCTGCCTACTCCATGACGGAGCCAGATGTGGCCAGCTCAGACGCCACGCAGATTGGCATCCGCATCACCCGCGACGGTGACCACTATGTCATCAATGGGCGAAAACTCTACGGAAACTGCCTCTGGAACAAGGAGCTGTCGTTCTACATCCTCATGGGCTGCAGCGATCCCAACAATCCCGACAAGTGGCGCCGTCACTCCATGCTCGTCGTCCCGTGCAGCACGCCAGGCATCACGCAAGTGCGCAACCTCACCATCATGGGCTACGATCATGCCCCCGAAGGACATGGAGAGTATCTGTACGAGAATGTTCGGGTTCCGGTCGAGAACATTATCCTAGGCGAAGGGAGAGCGTTTGAGATTGCGCAGGGAAGACTCGGACCCGGGCGCATCCATCACTGCATGAGACTCATCGGCCAGTGCGAACGCGCCTACGAGCTCGCCCTGATCCGCTGCAACGACCCTCGCAAGAAGCCCAGAGGCAAGTTTATTGGAGAGTTTGACTCGAATATCGAACGCATCGCCCAGATGCGCCTCGAGCTGGATGCGGCCAGACTCGTAGTGCTCAATGCCGCCGATACCATGGATCTCCACGGCAACAAGGCGGGCAAGCGCAGCATTGCCCAGAGCAAGATTCTCGTGCCAGTAATGGCCGCCAAGTGGATTGACGAGTGCATGCAAATCTACGGCGGCCAAGGACTTACTCAGCATACTGCCCTGCCCGAGATGTGGACGTATGCCAGGTTTGTGAGAGTTGCCGACGGTCCTGATGCGGCACACAGGCATCAGGTTGGGCGAGAAGAGATGAAGACAGCCCAAGGCTTTATCGACCGACACAGGAAATACCAGGAGGAGTACAAGAAGTTTGCCGAGCAATACGGAGAAAAGTACATAACTTTTGATTAATCACCTAGATGCTGAATTTGAGAGTTCCTACCACTACCTCGCTGATTCACCTGTTTTGTGTCTGGGTGCTTCCGGCACTACCAATGATAAAAATTCAAGATTGAATGGCGAATTACACATCTCCGGTAGTTACATGCGTGAAATCATCCAAGCAATCGACAAAGTGCAATCTGCCATTTGGGATTTTCTGCCTCTGCGGCGCAATACAAAAAGACTCTAGAGATGTCTTGGCTAGAATATTGCAACCAATTATATGATCAGCATAATACTCGTGAGGGAGTTTGTTCACAGGGGAGGACCATAAATCTCATGCGAGTCATGGCATCAGAAGAATGGACTCTTCAATGACTCGGACGGAAATGGTTAACCATGACCTTTTGCAACACGCGATTGGTTGCGGTCACCCAGGTTGGGTAGGCAGGCAGGTTCCGTATACCATGTGCTACTCCACTATCGGACCAGGTACCTACCTACGTACAGTCCTTCTCGGTTGACAAGGACAGTATTGGGGATGGGGGGGTTTTGTGGAGGTGGTATAGCATCGTAAACGAGATGCCTCGACTTACCCCGCGCGCCAACCTGGAATGATGCTCATTAGTCTCGGCATGGATATATCGCGATGTTCTATTGGGATCCGATGCCTTTCTGAGTAGTGTATCCGAGGGGCTTAGTGGCAGCTGAAGGGTAGCATCGGATGTGGTATTGCGCACTTGAATATCCATCTACAGAGTACTGAGGGTGGTGGGTTAGTAAGGTCCGGGTAGGGTGATCAATAGAGTGAGTACCATGCAGTCTTGGCAATCATCATAAGCTCCGTTGGGTTGTTATCCTTTTCCATTGAGGGTGAGACCTTTCTTTTGTAGGCTGATCTTGATAAAACTTTGCAAATCATTCTCCTCTCCATTATTTTGCAGTGTCGTTGTCATCGCAAAGTCTCCGTCACAACCATGTCTCACCTAGGAGCCTCGTTGAAGGAAGCCGTTGTTGGCAGTGCGTCGAGCTTTCCATGGAACAAGTCGAATTTGCCAAAGCAATTGTTCATTAACAATGAGGTGAATTAACTTCTTGTGAGGTTCTAAGAGGATACACACCACTAAGATAAACAAACAGTATGTCGATTCCAAGAACGACAAGAAGCTGGAACTGTACAGTCCCAAAGACGGATCCGAGGTTGCCAAGGACGTAGCTCTGGCTGGCGAGCATGATGTCGACGCAGCAGTGGCAGCAGCACAGGCGGCATTTCCGGGTTGGAAGAAGACGCCGCCAACAGTGAAAAGAGATCTCCTGCTCAAGTTTGCCAACCTCCTCGAGGCACACGGAAAGACGTTGGCGGAACTCACACGTCTCACTCTTGGTGCGCCTTTTGGCTCCTTTGGCTCTTTTGAAATCAACATGGCGGTTGAGTCGTTTCGCTATTTTGCCGGCTGGATCGACAAGTTCGCCGGAGAAAGCTATCCGCAAGACGACGGCTTCATGAAGATCGTACGCAACGAGCCCTTGGGCGTGACCGCCGGCATCATTCCGTGGAACGGTCCCCTCGGAAATGTCGGCATGAAAGCCGGTCCTGCTCTAGCTACGGGCAATTGCTTTATCCTCAAGCCGTCCGAGAAGACGCCCTTTGCGGCCCTCTCTCTTGGAACACTCATCAAGGAGGCCGGTTTCCCGCCTGGCGTCTTTCAAGTCCTGTCGGGAGATGGTACCACTGGTGCGCTGCTTGCGAGTCATATGAGCATCCGTAAGGTTTCCTTCACTGGATCCACAACGACTGGCCGCAAAATTCAAGAGATGGCAGCCAAGAGCAACTTGAAGCGTGTCACTCTTGAGCTCGGCGGAAAGAGTCCAGCTGTGGTCTTTGATGACGCCAATCTGGAGAACGCAATTACATGGTGTGTCAATGCCATTTGTGCCAACACTGGCCAAGTCTGTTTTGCTGCTAGCCGTGTCTACGTGCAGGAGGGCATCTATGACAAGTTTGTCCAAGGGTACAAAAAGGCCATGGAAGAGAGGGCAAAGACGGTCGGCGATCCCGATGAAGACAGTACCGTTATGGGCCCTCTCGTGGACAAGCTGCAATTCGAGAGAGTCACTGGGTTCATGGATCGTGGAAAGTCTCAGGGAACCCTCTTGACGGGAGGCGGACGCGTTGGCTCGACAGTAAGTCTATGACCCAGTCTTGGCTCAAATAATATTGATATATGACTGACATGTGTATCTCTCACTCAGGGGTTTTTCGTTGAGCCTACGGTCTTTACAAATGTTCCTGCAGATGCCGAGATCTCGCGCAACGAGATCTTTGGTCCCGTGTCCGTTCTGAACAGCTTCAAGACCGAAGAAGAGATCGTTGCCAGAGCCAACGATACTAATTTCGGGCTCATGGCGGGTGTTTTTACTCAAGACATTAACAAAGCGATGCGCGTCGCCTCTGACATTGATAGTGGTATGGTTGGAATCAATTGCGTCTCTCTGTGCTTCCTCACGGCGCCATTCGGTGGAAGTAAAGAGAGCGGGACAGGTCGGGAAAATGCCATTAATGCGCTGCGCATGTTTACGGAACCAAAGACTGTCATGATTAATCTGACCTATTAGATGGAAGTTGGCTGTAAGTAGTCTCTAGCTACCTAGTGACTGCGCATGGGCACTCGAATCAGACATTCATTTACATTGCATTTCACGGACAATTTCCAAGAATAATTCTTTGTCCCACTTGCTTTGAAAGACCGAACCCCCAATGTAGGGAATGTTAGTGGGCACAAGCTGCAGCTGGCAATTCTATATACACAAGTAGTGATACGGCATGGTCTTACAACCTAGAAAGTCTGCCAGCTGTTAATCTAGCTCCTCCATCCACCGCAATGTTGACTCCATTGCTAGAAATTTCATTAGTCAGTGACCGTTGTGCAACATTGAAAATCAGTCGCTTGGACCTACACATATCTTCCAGCTGGTGAGCATAGGAAAGTGGCAACACCACCAATATCCTCGGGCTCTCCTAATCTTCCCAAAGGATTGTCATGACTTAGACTCTCCTCTCCTCCCAGGTTGCTGATTAGTCCTTGCGCAAGCTTGCTGGGGAAAAACCCTGGAGCAATGGAGTTGGATGTAATATCGCGCGGTCCCAGTTCGACAGCAAGATTTCTAGCCAGGTGCTTGTTTCGATATTAGCCACAGAGAAGAGAGAAGAGAGAAAGGGGTAGAGATGGCGAGAGAAAAGACACGTCTTCTTTACATGCAGCCATGGACTTACATCAGCTGCTGCTTTAGAGGCAGCGTACATGATGGTGCCGTTTTCCCCAACGTGAGGAACATTGGTACCGGCAGTCGAGCTGATGATCAACAACCTCGATGGATCTTGTTTGGTGCCTGCTTGGGATAACAAGGGCAGAAATCTGTTTGTTACTGTTAGTAGCAAAATCCCCCGTCTCTATCTCTCTGTCTCTCTTTCTCCGAGGTCTTCGTACTGTTGCGTCAACTCAAATATTCCTCGAACATTGAGGTCCAGAATCTTGGTCGAACTGCTCGGTGGTGCATCTTCGAATCGCGAACCCCAAGCCGCCCCCGCGTTGCATACGAGAATGTCCAGTCCGCGACCACCCAAGACTTTCCTGACCTGGCCGGCGAACCGGACAATATCTTGCGAGTCGCCAACATTTGCTGCCAGCCCGGTGGCCTTGCCTCGGATGCCCGGTAGTGCGTTGAGCTTTTCAGCCGCCTGCGCGATGCCCCGAGGGCCTTCAAGTTTCCGCGCAGTAATGATGACGTGCGAACAGCCAGAGAGCAAGAAGGCCGTCGCAATGTGCAGGCCCAGTCCCCTGGAACCGCCCGTGACAACTGCCGTCTTGCCCTCGAGTGAAAAGATGGAGTCAAAGTTGCGCAGTTCGGACATGGTGATTTGTTTTTAAGTTTTTGTTTGATTCGATCAAGACCAATCATGCAATAATATGATACAGTTAGCTTATTGAAGCTTTGCCTTTTATTCTCATGCCTGGCAGAAACAAAGGCTGAATTGGTCAACTAAAAATAAATGATTTACTGCAAAGGATGATTAGATATCCTCTATCTAACCTAGTTGGCTACAAAGTTCACTCGGGGGGCAGCCAATAGAAACGGCGGACCTGAACAGACGCATTTTGGATGCTTTCGCTTCTAGCCGTGGGTATCTCGGTAGGAAAACCAGCTATAGCCCCATGTAATGGCGGGGGTTGGTGCAGTCAGTATAAGCCAAACCTGGGGTTCGGTTTGGGGAAATGGAAGGCGGTTCTACTTACCCCGCTGTCCCGCAGCAGAGGAGGAGCTCGACAGGGGAGAGCTCGAGAGGTATGATGGAGGTACCAGATAGCCGAAAATAGATTGCCACGGAAGCCCGAGAACTAGATGGTAGATCGTGGGGTGGTTTAAACTCGAGCAGTGCTTACCTATTGTTGTTGATGCTGACGCATGGGAAGTTTGATTTAAGTGGGAAGAAAAGAAAAGAAAATAGAGCCTTGACATCTTTGAAAAGGGCCAAGATTTCCATCAAAGCGAATCCAGATCTTGTAAAATCGTACGCAACGTGTTTCCGTTTGTTTTATTCAGGTGGACATTGCCATCATGATTTTCTCATCCCCCTTCCCGTCTCTTGAAATCCCACAGAGCAATATTCTATCCTATCTATTCCCGCGTTCTGAACCCGTGTCCGACGAACCGCTTTGGCACGATGCAAAGGACGACAAGCAGAATCTCTCGGCACGAGGAGCGCTGCAATGGGTCAAGAGGTTGTCACTGGGGTTGGAGAGACTGGGTGTAGAGAGGGGAGAAGTGGTCATGATTTACACCCCAAATCACATCTTTGTTCCAGTGGCATACCTCGGCATTGTCGGTGCAGGTTATGTCTTCAGCGGTGCCAACCCGGCCTATACTGTACCAGGTATGTAGTATACATTCTCCCACTGTCTCCCAAGTGTCGAGCCTCCGCGCCTGGCGTATACTTATTGAGGACTTTTTAGAGGTTGCGCATCAGATTGTAAATACGGGAGCCAAGGTCATACTTGTCCATCCAAAACACGTCGAAACAGCAAAAGCCGCAGCCGAAAAGGCCCAGTTCCCCAGCTCCCGTATTTTCCAATTCTCTGACTTTCCGAATCCCTCTTATCATGGAATCTCCGACTGGCGGTCTTTTATTGCCAATGAATCAGATGGCGACGCCTATCAGTGGCCTGAAATGAGCCCTGCAGAGTCTCAGACAGCCGTAGCTACAGTCAACTACAGCTCCGGTACTACAGGCCTGCCAAAGGGCGTTTGTGTTTCTCATGCAAATCTTATCGCCAATGCCGAGCAGACTATATTCATCAGATATGCCAAGAAGCCGTATTCCTTTGACAAAAGACCCCAAGAGCGATGGATAGGCTTTCTGCCACTATACCATGCGTATGGGCAGCTCTACACCATGCTCATGTGCGTAAAGCTGCGAGTCCCCATATACATCATGACTGAATTCCGCTACGAGGAGTTTCTGTTCAACATTGGGCGGTATCGCATCACAAGCTTACAGGTTGCGCCGCCCATCCTCGTCATGCTGTCAAAGCGCCCCGAGACGGCCCGCTACGACCTCAGCAGCTTGAAAGACTGCATGTGCGGAGCTGCTCCGCTGTCGAAAGAGCTCCAAAACGATTGCCAGCGCAGGTTCCGCATGCAGATCAATCAGGGCTGGGGCATGACCGAGGTGACGTGTGGTGCTCTCCATGTTCCCGGGGGCGTCTTGGACGACTCGGGGAGTGTTGGTTGTCTAGACCCAAACTGCGAAGCGAGACTCATTGACGACGAAGGCAACGAGGTTGGTGTAAATGAGCCCGGGGAGCTGCTCGTGAGAGGCCCCAACATTATGCTTCGCTATTGGAAGAACGAGGCAGCCACCAAGGACTCCATAGATGGAGATGGGTGGCTCAAAACCGGAGATGTTGCCGTATGCAACCAGGATGGCTTCTTTTGGATTGTAGACAGAAAGAAAGTAAGAGCCGCCCCCCCTGGCACATTCAAGGTGTTGGAGAAGATGTGATGTGCATTCCACATACTAATCCAAGATTGCAGGAACTCATCAAGGTTAACGCACTGCAAGTTGCTCCAGCTGAGCTAGAGGGCGTACTTCTCGAGAATGAACACATTGCAGATGCCGCTGCTGTTGGAATCACACTGTAAGGAAAAACAACACATGCCCTTTGGCAAGAGCCATTGTTTTGCTGATAAATGATGACATCTCAGGCACGGGGAGGAACGTCCACGGGCCTATGTAGCGATACACAGCACATCAAAGGGCAAGGTCGAACCAGCCGACATTCAGGAATGGATAAAGCCGAGGGTGGCAAAGCACAAGTTTCTGACAGGCGGTGTCGTCTTTGTAGATGAGGTGCCGAAACTTGCCAGCGGCAAGATCCAGAGAAAGGTGATGCGCGAGTGGGCCAAGAGAGATGCTGCAGAACTTGAAAGGGCTAGTCGACCCAGGCTATAAGGCAAGTATAGACCCCGATTGGACCGACTTGATGGCGATAGTAGATCTTTGTGCAATGCAGATGGAGTAAGAGCGGATGCAGGGTATAATTCCTCTAGATAAAATGGCAATAAAGAGCGAGAGAGCGATGAGGAGAATACATACATCAAACACCTACATATGTTGGTACCGCAACCACTGCTACCACGTCGTGTTTCAATGACCCTCTCTGAATAGAGAATTACTCAATGGACCGTTTCGTCAGACCTTTACAAACGACATGACCACAACCCAAGTACATATCTTGGAAGTACGAGGACCTCGTCAAAACTACAATTGAGCCAGTACTGTACTGAGCCTATGCGATAATAACAACAACCTTGTATACGTTCAGTTCAGCTACCTTGGGTCGCTGCATCAATACTTCGGTCCCGACTTGCCTTGTCAACGAAGCCGAATCAAAGCGTCACAAGGTGAAAGATGAAGTTCCAGGTCATCCTATGTAAAAACCCATGTAGGTTGCCCCAGACTCGTTGCCCCCAGGCTCCATACCAAGTATCTGGGTGTCGTTTCCCGGCCAAGACTGTACCCCATCGGCTGCTATACCTCAATCGCTACATTCTCAGATGCTGTGTTTCCCCACATGACAAACCCTGCCCCACCCCCCCCCCCCCCCCCCCCGGACTAGCTGCCTGCCCTCCAATGGCTGTACGTACACCTCATTCATGTCTAGTGACGTGAGTTTCAATTTACCTTCTGTGCTATAGCCTATGATGCTGCAATTGCATACTTTAGTGCACGCTGCGGGGCATGACATTGGTATAATGCCTGTGCCGGACTCTTGATAGACTCCGGCCGCAACATCACATTGGTTTAGCTAGCAAAGTAGAAGCCTTGGCATTTTGGTTACAACAAAGCCTTGCAATCGCACACAAGAGGCTTACATGAGTAATACAATTGTATCGTACCCTGGATTACTGATTCATGTAAGCTCCCCTTCCGAATCAGGAACCCCCGTACTATCTCTCCAGTATGATTCAATGCTCTCGGTTAACTTTCCCCTACTCCAGGCCAAAAGTACACAATGGCTTTGCGAGCTGTGCATGTTTGCCATCATGGATCCCAGCAGCTCTAAAGGAGCAAGTGCGTTTGACTGCTATTGGCCCGATCATGGAACTATGTTCCCTTTCTGAACAGCACTTCCGGCCCCAAGTGCTCCTTTCCCAAGGAACATGGTCTGCCTGCCGCTGGAGGCCAATATGCTGTCCCTCGGGTGTTGAGTCGACATTGTACATATATCTTGGTGATGCATACTTTGCTCTCCGCAAGTGTCCGAGAATGTATATGTGATATCTGTACAATACCTTCATTACAGCACTGCCAAATCTATCTCCTTCGTATTCGGTGCCTAGCCTTTTTAGTCGCTTCCCAAGTCCCTCCAACATGGCAGACCTCTTGTTACCCTCAGTCTCTGGACCCCAGGAAAGGGATGCAGCCCGCCGACTTGAGGCGCCAATTCATTCCGAAAGACACGTCCGCATTATTTGTGTCGGAGCTGGCGCGTCGGGGCTTTTGATGGCATATAAGCTGCAAAAGCACTTTGACAACTTTGGCCTCACGATATACGAGAAGAACCCTGCCGTCGCAGGAACGTGGTTTGAAAATCGGTATCCTGGGTAAGCTCAATAATGAAACTGCGCATTCCCTTTTTAGGAATTTGGCGTGAATCCAAGACTGACCATGGTCATGATGGCAGCTGTGCTTGCGATGTGCCTTCTCACAACTACACGTGGAGTTTCGAACCCAAGCTGGACTGGTCTGCAGTCTATCCTGCAGCCAAGGAGATCTACGACTATCACGAAAACTTTGCACGCAAATACGGCTTGTTCCAGTATGTCCGGCTCAACCATCAAGTGATTGGTGCATACTGGGATAACCAGACCGGCGGCTACAACGTCAAGGTCAAGGACAACGTCAACGGGACCGTGGTGGACGATCATTGTGACATACTGATCAATGCCGGTGGTATCCTGAACAACTGGAAATGGCCTGCCATCCCTGGCCTGGAAAAGTATAAAGGAACCCTCCTGCACACGGCCAGATGGGACGAGTCGATCAACCTGGAAGGAAAACACGTCGGCCTGATTGGGAACGGGTCATCGGGTATCCAAGTCCTCCCTGCCATTCGCGACAAGTGTAGCAAAGTCACAACATTTATCCGTGAGCCTACATGGGTGTCACCGGTGCAAGGGCTTGAGCAGCATATCTACTCCGACGAGGAGCGGCAGGCCTTTGCGACAAAGCCAAGCGTTTTGACCGACTATCGAAAGGACGTCGAGACTGGCCTCAACGGCCAATTTGGTATCTTCTTGAAGAACAACCAGGTGAACATTGAGACGCACGAGTACATGCTGGGACAAATGAAGGAGAAGCTTGGCGACGCATACCTCGAGTCCAAGTTGATTCCGGACTGGAGTGTTGGGTGCCGCCGTTTGACACCCGGGGTGAACTACCTCGAGTCGCTGACCAAGGAGAATGTCCAAGTCGTCTATGGCGAAATCAACGAGGTCACGGAGCGCGGGTGCCTCTGTGATGACGGCAAGGAGTACCCGGTCGACGTGCTCATCTGCGCGACCGGCTTTGACACGTCGTTCAAGCCTCGGTTTCCCGTCGTCTCTGACAAGGGCGAGAACCTTCAGGACAAGTGGGCAGCTGATCCACAGTCCTATTTTGGTGTTGCTGCCGCGGGCATGCCCAACTACCTCTTCTTCCTGGGTCCAAACTGCCCGATCGGCAACGGACCCGTGCTGTCTGCCATTGAAACCCAGGCCGACTGGATGTGTAGACTCATTGACCGCTACCAGACCAACAACATCAGGACCTTTTCGCCCAAGGAGGAGGCGGTGCAAGACTTTATCAACTTCAAGGACTATTTCATGACCAGGACTGTCTGGCAAGACCCGTGCCGGTCCTGGTACAAGCCGCGCCCCGACGGTCCGATCACGGCGCTGTGGCCGGGGTCAACGCTTCACTACATTGAGTGCATGAAGGACTTGCGCATGGACGACTTTGATGTCACCTATACGGGCAACCGGTTTGCCTGGCTGGGAAATGGCTACTCCCAGACTGAGTTGGACGATACGGCCGACTGGGCCTATTATATCAGGGACAATGACGATGATGGTCCGTTGTCAACGGCTGGCCGGAGAAAGCTTCTTACCAAGAGTGGTACGATACAAGGCAGGACAATGGTAAACTTTGCCGGCATGACGGATGAGGACACCCCCAAGGCAAGAGAGACCAGATTATAAACATAGGTTGATGGGATCAAGAGCATAATATAAAGCTGTGAATTCACTTGAATAATAAATACAACAACTCTCACAAACGTATGTGTATATATCATATCTTACAAAAGGGGTCCCTTAGCTTACGGGGAAAATAATTATCTTAATATTAAAGATTTCACGAAATAATATAATTCAACATTAATGTGTTTTACTTGATATTATTCCTTTGCTCATTATGATGAAATTTAAATTATAATTAAAAATCGCGGTAATAAAACGGTATTTAAATTATTATTTAGTTTTTTTCTTTTTTCTTTTTCTTCTTCTTTTCCTTTTTCCCCTTATTTTTCCTTTTCCTTCTTTGTTTATAAATCCTATAATTTTAAAAGGTGGCGATAATCTTTTAAAGGATTCTCCGGAGTAACTTTGCATCTTAGTGATCTGCTCGTAGTTCGTCTGAATCTCATCTCGAGTGAGAGGTGGGCGGACAAAGTCCTTGACAGCATAGTCTTGAAGCCCTTCTTGGCGCGCGTTGTAATGGTCTTTAATTCGACTGCAAAGATGTGAGTACATTAGTAGCATAAATACTAATATAAGTGACAACTGACACCGAGTTGTATAGGGCCTTCTGCGAAAGGAAGACACATGGGTCATAATTCCATTGCGTTATGATGCGCTCGCGACCTGCATCGGCCTGGCAATACGCACGGAACATTTCATCACTGGTCAAATGGCTGCCGCCATTGTTGAAGGTGATGTAGGCAACTGACGCCAACTTGCCAGTAGCACCCACGTAATCCTGGGGGACTCGTCGATTTGTCTTGTCTAGACGAGCTCGAACGAAGGCAGGCTGTCCGGCCTTGCGTGCGCTGTGGATCCGGGGGTATTTTGAGCGAGGCGTGTTTGTTAGATGTCTTGTTGGTGCATCCGGGTTTTTCTTCTTGTCCCACCTGGACTGCTGCTCGGAACTCGGTGGGAGGTCCTTGACCCCGGTGATGACTTCTGAGTGATGGGAGCTTTGGCTGTTGCGTTCTTTGATCGCTGCCCAGAGGTAGAAAAGCTGATAGTAGAACAAACGCTGCATCTCAGAAGAAATGGTGGGCGACGCACCCGGCCAATCTCCAAGGCGCGCGGGGCTGCCGATGATTGTGTAGGTATCTACTTACTCAGTGACTCTTGTCGTCATTCTTACGGTCTGCAGATGGACAATCGTGGATCAGACAATCACCACCGCTTGACTCAGCAGCCTGTGCAGGAGCACAATCACCACAGGAACAAACAAACCTCGCCTGCTGACTGGATTTTCAGCTATTAATACAATTGATCTTCTGCTCTTGCACATCCTTCTTTCTTCGCCCTTCTCCTCGCAACACAACAAAACCTGCATTGACTGCGTTGCATACCAAAGACGAAGCACTTTGGAACCACATCGTGTGACATCACGAGCTGCACCGAGGACACTCTTCGTCATGAGGTACGTTATTTTTCAACCTGGCAATCTTCGCATTGATTCCTGTTTCGATCCCAACATCCCTCAGTGACAGTCAAAGTGAGCAGAAGGCCGACCCGGCGATCCTGTTTAGGTCGCTGCCCGCCCCAGCCAAAGGCTTTGATGAGTGGCAACGATCTCGGCGGCAAAGACTTGGAAGTCTTGACGGCTCTCGTCCACCAGGTCCAGGCTACAATACCACCTGAGTACCAACGAGACGACTCGTTTGATACACTGCGCCAGCAGTTTATCGACAACACCTTCCGGTATTGGAATACGAGCAGAATGGACAATCCAGTGCCGAAATTCGCGAAGCCAGCTCTCACGGCCATGTCGACAAAGGTCGGATGCTAGAAGCACGACCTCGTCTCGGAAAAGGTTCGAAAGCGAAAGGCCACGGAGATGCCTGCCGGCGACACCAAGGCCCCAGTCACGCCAAAGAAGATCAAGGTGGCAGAGGGAGCGATTCCATCCCCATCACCGAGTCCCAAAGCTCAACCTGTCAACTCCGTCAGGGCCTTGAAGCGCAAAGGCGCGGTGGCATATTGTCGACCTGAGCTCGCAGACGCCACCATCAACTTCCGATTCATCGATGGAGAAGGCTCATACCACTTGACTCGAGACATCGAATTTGATGGTGGCAAGTTTACTGGAGACATGAGGAGGAACGCTTGCTTCAAGTGGGATTGTGCACAGTTACAATCTCTGGGAACCTTCAACAACGATCTCGTAGTCTTCAAGTTTCGTCGCTGGCTACACGTCAAATACCACTACCGGGGCTGTATGGACGATGCGCCCGCCGACGTTGAGTTTCGCGAGGTCGAATTGCAAACTCCAGTCTGGGATGCCTGCATCGAGACTATCAAAGCGACACACGATAATCCGCCTCTTCCTCAAACTCCATTTCCTCGCACATAGCACTTTTGGGCTCATGCCTAGAAACATATCCACAGATCAGCCCCCTTTTTTCTCATGCGAAAAAAAAGGTTTATCCAAGTCCCAGTGGCTGGATTGGGGAGAATTAGGTTGGATCATGTTACCGTTTCGTTTAAGGGTTTTTTCTTGCCTCTCTTTTTTCTTGTGATGGAAGATTATCTGGGGTAATGCGACGTGCATGGGAAGATAGGAAAATCAATTAATCGCTTTTCGGGAGACTTGAGTACTTGCAAAATGACACAATGAGGTTTCTGGCCTGACTGTTATAGGAAGATGGCAGCTAGTGCTAAAACCATATTGCTTTGGGGTATGCGCCTACGACCCCGGTATAATTAGAAATCGGCAAGCCAGAGAAAACGAGAAAACGAGGAAATAAAAAAAAAAGAAAAGAAAGGAAATACGGAGAAAAAT